ATAATAAGGAGGGGGGGGCACTTGAACAAACCTTCGCATACCTTCAACCCCACAAGGGGTGAAGGTATGCGAAACCCTGAGCACGCCTATATATTGGCACCCGACAGTGGACCAGAGGGCGCGACGAAGCTTTTTGGGCCGCCTCAGCATTGTTGCTACCGACCACCAGGGATACCAAGAAAATGAAACTCTCGCTGAACACATTGAGACGCTGAAGTGTCGGTGCCCTTTTTGGCACGTTTTCAAAGAACGCTTCCAGGGCGCTTACATAATCAGCCGTGATTCCCTGCTCACAAATAAAAAAAAAATGATATGCACGTGCAAGTCCTGTTTTGCTGCGTCTACCCGCTGGGCTACGCATTGAAAGACACGGTTTTGCTGCGCCTAGTCGCTAATCTGTGTGTTCTGGCGCTACCATCAGATCTCGTAAACTGCATTGCCGGGTGCCAATATTGAAGGCCAGCGCAGCGTTCTAGCGAAAAGCCTTTTATTTATTTATTTACTTAGCAGCCGTGTATCACAACGAGCCATACTACTGCGCGAAGTCTCCAGGATTTGTAAGTACTTCAGCTTGACGTCAAGTTAGTGTCGATGTCGGTAGGTGCACCGCGAGGAAATTGACTTTAATATCAAAATGAAATATCTTACCAGCACTTGCTGAGCGTCACACTTGCTCAGAGCCGTCCCTGTATACAGGGGTGCTATTCTAGACACCGTCTAATTCCACCACATTGTCAAATTTCGTAATGGCAGCATTTTAGGCCAATCAGGAAGGTCGTAGCAGTGCTCTGGGCCAATCAGCATCGATCAATGGCGGATTGTGACAACATGGCGGAATTTGACAGTGTCCAGAATAACACCCCAGGAGACTTGTATGGCAGAGTAAACTCGCCTCCGAAAAAAACGGTGTCAGTACAAAGGTTTGACAACGGGGGGCATCAGCTTCGCTGTTGATTGATTGATTGATTAAAACTTTATTTTTGTCCTTCGCTGTTGCGACGTCCTTCATGTAGTGAAGCTCTTCTCAGTTATCTGGCGTATCTACATGAGACAGGGTTTTTTTTTTGTTTTGTTTTGTTTTTTTTTTTGCTCGAGGCCGTCGGAAAAATAACAAGAATTAGAGCCTGTTCATCGAAGCGTTGCGAAGCTTAGCGTGGGTTCATTCGCAGAAAGGCGGGCCAGAACGCACACCCGCGTTTTGGCCCGCCTGGTTTTTTGTTCGTCCAAAGTTGCCAATGCAAAAAAAAAAAAGTATTAGGCGCTTGTGAAACCCAACCACACAAACGCAGTAAACGAAACGTTACAGCAACAACACACAGGGGAAACGTTTCTAAAAGAGTTGACTGTTGGGCAAGTTGGTGCTTTGACTTAGAAACCATCGTGAGGGCGCAACTAAACACAACCTACAAGAAGAAAAAAAAAACATACGAGGACAGGCGCAAACTGACAACAGCTGTATTGAAGAAAGATCCACACCTTTATACATCAATCAACACCCTGCGCAGGGGCACCGTCACTAGCAACCAAGAAAATTCAAACCAGGCGAGAAAGAAATTGGATTTCAGCATTGTACAACGCACTGGAGGTTTCACTCACACACTCGTCACCTGTAATTTGATAAAAAGAAGCTTCTAGCGTTTCGCGAGCCGTTCCATCTCTACTTCTGCCTAGGATTTTCATCCTATTCTGCCTATAGATGCGCAAGATTGCCGTTCTCTTGAAGAAACCGCGCAGCGCGCGCGACTGCGCCTGTGCGATAGCCAGGATCGTCTCCATAGCAACCGGGTACCGCTCGCGCCTGCGCGATAGACACGAAGATGATCGATAACCAAAACCGTCACCGTAGCAACCAACCGATCAATTCGGAAGCGCGAAATTCAAGCGTGCGTGCAAACGAAACGAATTGTTATCGCACCAATAAGGAAACCCTTTGTTGTGCTCGAATATCTAACGTAGGCTATGTATATTAATGCTTGCATGATTCTGTGTTTGAATTTCCCTCGTTTTTATAACCAGGGCACCATCGAGGTTTCCCAAGATACCTAGCCCCGCCACGGTCGTCTAGTGGCTAAGGTACACGGCTGCTGACCCGTAGGTCACGGAATCGAATCCCGGCTGCGGCGGCTGCATTTCCGATGGAGGCGGGAATGCTGTAGGCCCATGTGCTCAGATTTGGGTGCACGTTAAAGAACCCCAGCTGGTCGAAATTTCCGGAGCCCTCCACTACGGCGTCTCTCATAATCATATGATGATTTTGGGACGTTAAACCCCACATATCAATAAATCATTCCAAGATACCTACTTACTTGCACTGAATGACTGTTAACGTGTGCTCTATCAATGCAAAGAAGGTCGGCTTAGCGTAGCAGATTACCTCATAAATCATCACCGTTCCGGTAATATCCAGCGCAGTAAATTCAACAAGCGACGCAGCGCCTGAGGAAACCACACTTTCATCCACAATCTTTCTTCGAGCAGCAGCGCAGAACAAGACACCTTTTTGACGTGCACTGCCCGAAGACCGCCCTTGCACACAACGACCTAAATCCACGGACGAATACAGAAGCCAGCGGTTTCATCTTGGCGGGCCTCTAAGGTGGGGGAGCGCGACTTATTTTTGGAAACGGAGAACCCCGAAAGCGGGAGCTTTCCATAAGTAGCCACAGCCGGAGCCGAGCAAAAGACAAATGAAATGGTGACGCTGGCGATCGAGCTGCTCCTGTTTCCTCGCCAGCAGACACTTTCGTTTGTGCGTGATTACTTCGCGGGGTCTTTGAACGATAATACGTGTTTATGTTTTGCCATAAAGCTGGAAAGGATGCCTTGAGAAGGCCAGGGAAAGGGGGGCTTTCCTGTCAGTGCCGCGGACTTCCGTCTTGCGCCTGTCGTCGTTAGACTGCGCAACCAAGAAATGCCCGCCGCCTCGACCGAAATTGCGCCGGTGACCCAGTTTAACGGCGGCTGCGGGCGTCTCTGTGAGCGTCGACCTCGCACTCTTAAGATAAAGAAGAAAAACGCGGAAGTTGCGTAATCTCAACCTCGAAGCGCAAGCACGATTCATGCTGCAACCAGGCGCTACACGCACCCGATGTGAAGATACGACGCAGGCACTCGATCAGCTGACGGGCGAAAGTGTATTTTTTTATGTTTATGTACCTTTCAGGCCTAACGCCATTATGCAAGGGGAGAGGGGGGCTTACGATGCGTCTATACATATTTATGCAGGAGCTGGTTATAATAATGCAAAGCCATACAAGAAAAAAAAAATGCGAGACGGTGGTGCTGAAGGAAACCGCACTGTGCAAGTTCGATACAGGACGCGGAGCAGCACACGGAGGACTAAGATAAACTATATTATTATGAGCAAATACCACTATGATTACTGATAAAATTTTGGGCAAGAACGAAAATTCGGTAGCCACAGGAATGGTGGAAGGACATATCGGATGGAAAGGAACGTGATCGTCTCAATGACACGATCAATAGTCTCGAAATAACAAAGAAAGAGAATTTTTTAATTTTATGGGCTAATTTGACATGTCTTTTTGTTGTTATTACGATGGACAGTGCGCTTGCATACGTGGCTCTACAGTATGTACACAAGGAAACGCTTTTTCACACTAAGGGTAGCATAAAGCGCGTTACCGAATTCGCGCTCTCCAGTTAAAATCAACAACGCCCCCCCCCCCCCCCCCCCCCACACACACACACACAATATTCACTTAAAATGCGAGAAAAGAAATGCACAATGTGTAACAGCCGCAAACGTGAACCATGTTTTTTCAACGATTCTGAGTTCGTTAGCTTGCCACTTTACCTTGTCATTACCTTGCCACATTACCTACCACAATGTTAAGCATCGACCAATCAAAAACAGGTCACGTTGGGGCAGTAGTGACCAACGAAAACAGGACAATCATTGGAAGTGATTGCGGACTCAACTCCCAACATTCCACGCGCGCTTATAGGAAACGTTGCGTCAGAGAGGCTACATGGTTGCGTCAACTACGACGAGAAAGTAGGAAGCCCGCTAAACATTGGCGGCATTAGGGTAACGAATTTATTGATAAAGATGATTGAAAGCTCAGCTCAACAAAGGTGGCCTTTGCTGCAATGCTGCTCGGGGCGACGGTAAAGCGCGGGTTAATTACGGCACTGTAATGGAAGACCTATTATGCAGCCCTAAAGGTCACAGGGTGCACAACTACGGTACATAACATGCCCAGGTGAATTGGCATTTAAATAATTCAGTGCAACCAGTTCGTGAAATTTTCAAAAATTGTTTGCAGAAAACGCCACAGTTCCTTGAAGCTTTGCACCAAATTATGTACAGGCAAAATAGTGGTGACAATAAACTACGACGCGTTTAAAAACTATATAATTATTCTGGTGAAATTATTTCAGGTTGACTTATACACACAATTGTTAATGGTTTTGTGTGGCCTCGCACTGCCTAATTAACTGCGTTATGATACCCCTACAAACAGCTAATTCTTTTGCGGCAAATTTTTTTTTTTTTTTTTTCGTTTCGCATGTGACTCCATAGAGCATGTGAATCACGTGTAAGTACCGAAACCCATTCTCTTCGTCATGCACAAGTGTCGTCCGAACTGTGAGCGTGAATTTGCGACAGTATAATTATTCGACGACGCTGCTTCACATGATGTAAACAGTGGCGCAACGCAATGAAAAGCGTACATACACCTACACCAAACTGTTGCGTCGCATCCCGTCGACTCCATGTGCGTAGTTGTATCGGAAGCGCGATAAAGCAGAGACGACGGGCGCTGCTAATCACATCGCCGTCGATCAAAACAAGAAGCCCCAACAAACAACTGAAGAGCATTTCAATCGCGACGTCGTACAACGGATCGACGACACTCCTACGAGAGGATTCAAGGTGAATCTGTGCGCGCAACCTTCTGATGCGAACGCGATTACATAACGCTGCAGACAGCTGAGCAATTCGACAATAAAAACGAGGAACGTTTCGTGCTCACCAAGAACGGAAAGCGTCCACTGCTAACCCTGCGGCACGGTCCAGTCTTGGTCCCGATGAATAAACTTTCTGGGTCAAAGCACGCTCCGCCAAAACACAGCAGTGCTCCGCGAACTATTCAGACGAGCGCTCGCTATCCGAGAGAAAACTCAAACTCGACGACGCATAACGAAAACTCGGCAGTCCAGCCAGCCCAGATGGTCGCATCGAAGCAGGAGCTCGGAAGTTTACAAAGGAAGTGACGCAGCTGTGCGTCATTCCCTAGAAATTTAGACGTCACTTACCACGTGATGCAAAGTGACGCGTTCGAGTTTTTGCACGTGAAGCAAATCTTCGCCGTCCGTTCTTTCACGGGAAGATAAGTGCAAATCCATGAACCAATCAACTCTCTTGCGCATTACATATTTACAACATGGCAATCAAAAAATGTATCGATTGGGTAGTGCCGATTCTCCATGCACTTTCACGTGAAGCAAGTCTTCACCGTTTGTGTCAAGTTTATGGGAAGATAAGTGCAAATCCACGGACAAATCAACTGTCTTGCGTGTTACATAATTACGACCTGACTATCAAAAATTGTATATGTTGAGTGGTGTCATAAAGTTTCATACAGGTGGTGCCAATCAGGGCACACTTATCAAGAAATCTGTCAATTTAGTCATGATCAGATTATCAAGAGCTACACCAGTTTAGCTTAAAAAAGACATCGAAGTGCAGAGTGCAAACCTTTTGCATAATAAATATCACAGAGTAATCATCACCACCATGATCACTGTGGTATTTATTTCTTTGTAAAGCAATATGTACAAAAAATGTGGCTACCATCACGGCGACCACGACATTAATTGCGTAGCCTTCGAGATTTCAACACAAATAGCCACCGCCCATCTCATCAGCGGTAGGGCTATCGGAATCCAGCTGCAGCCTTTTCTGAAGCCTCGTTTTGCGTGCATTTGTCGTCATTTCGTCTGTTTCGTCGTGTGAACTGTTGTGAACCGCTGTGAGATCGGGAGATGCTGCCTTTCGTCGCTGTTTTCCCGCAAGAGATTACCTGAGAGACACGAACGTAACCGATCATCGACTCGCTGCTAAACCTGTGGTGAACGTAGTTCTAATGCGTTGCGTCTCGTATCTGAAGCTAATCGAAAGACAGCGGTAGCTTGTGAGTAGGCAATTCGTCAGTCCCGTTTACCATCTTCGAACCAAGTTTTTAACTACAAGGTAAGCTCACACAGAAGCCTCCTGACTATTGTGTGAGGTTTCTGAGTACATCTTTTAAAAGTGCACGCTCTTTAGCCGGCGGCAAACGGTCCATCCGTATGCGAATGCGCCGTTCGTATTGCTTGCAAATGTCGAATCGGAGTCGTATCGAATCGTGTAGTGTTTGAAGCACTGTCGTGTCAGTGTGCCACAGCCATGCGAATTAACCATTTCTGGATTGATATAGCTGTGTCAGGGTACTGTGCAGCATGTGTTTGCACAATTAAATCGTCTTGTTACAGCATCTTGTTAGAGACGTTTCGTGGTGTGTTTGAAGTTTGACTTACGTTTGTTTGTTTTCTTTTAGGTCGTCAGCATGGCTGGCGTGGAGATCGAGAACTTTGAAATCACCGACTGGGACATCGCCAATGAATTCAACATCAACCGAGTTCGGAGGCGGCCCACGAAAAATCAGCAGATTTATGGTATGTGTCACATAGTTTTCCGGTCGTGTTTTCCGTGTGACCCCGGAAAGGGGAAGCTCATTCATTTTACCTGTTGTTGCATATCGAATTTTCATTGTAATTTTGTCATACAGTGCCGCCTGATATTTTAAATGTATACATAATGGCCCAATGCAAAATTAAGCGACTTCACAGTGATGGAAGTGCTACTGCAGAGAAGAAATAGTGATAAATGTTGCTCCGAACTGTAACTTTTTGTATGTAACTGCTCCAAAACGGCACTTTGAGAATGAAGACGGAAAACTCCAACCGTGTGAACTACTTGCAAGCCCTAAAGAAACCTCAATCAGCCTAGTATGCCAGTATGCAGCTATATCGGCTGTGATCACGACAAGGGCCTGTTTGGGCTTGCAGTAGTCGTTTTTCAGACTTGGAGAGTATTTGCCACTGCAGTGCTGGCTTTCCGTATGGTTCCTGTGTAATCCGTTGTGCCTGTGCGGTCTGTTGACATAGGCCGTTTTACTCAGCAGGCCATGTGCAAAAGCCTGAGCCCCCTTTTTTCACTGTATGTTTCGCTCTACAATTAACAGATCATACTCAATTGTGCCTCGGAAGTAGGGAACTTACGTGTTAGGACTTGATGGTGACTCAAAAAGAGGAAACCCACGCGCAACGACGGATTTACCGAGGGAACTGAACGGTACCGCAAAATTTTGCACTCAACATTGGTAGCATTCTGATACATCGTTGTGGTCAAAGTATAGAATACCTCCGTAGCTGTACGGGCCGTTTTGGCTCCCAGGTGACTCGGGCGACTCCGACTCGTGACGAATGCTGGCAAAATACTGAAAACCCCGAAGCGGCACATAGGCTGCTGGCGTCCTAGTGACATGAGAACACCACGTACACTTGAAAAACAGCGAGAGCCAATGGGAAAACAATACAGGAAAGCTGTAATTGTACAAGCAAATATAGCTGCCAGATTTAGCAGCAGTCTGGCAATACTGGCCTCCCAAGTCTGGCAACTGACTTGTAGCACCAAACTTCGGTGGCTAGTGAGGGGGGGGGGGGGGGGGGACGAGAAAGTGGTCAGAGTGGCACTGTGCTGGCAGAAAGACAGCTTTCTCTTGCTTCATGGAAGGGCCGCAGACACACTATGGTGCTGCTGCAGGCAGTTCGATGCTCGCTACGCTCGCTCACATGTTTTCTTTCATGCTGTGCCGTGTAGCATCGTGTGTGTTTTGCCAGTTGTCCGCGATGTTTTACAGGAGTGCGTGGATTGTCCATGCACGTTTTCGTGAGCTACTCTGGCGTCATCAAGAAAAAAAAACGAAGCAGACACGCTGCTTCCCACCCGGCTGTTTGGCCGGGTACGTCTCGTCGAGATATAGCCAGCGTGTGTCATTTTCTGTGCCAAAAGAGCCTGAACAGTTCTCGACACAAGCTCAAGAATCTGCAAGGTGCAATTTAATAAGCAGTATATTGTGCGGCCGCTTACACACACAGTCCACGGCGAGACACTGACGATTCCTCGTGATCAGCCATGCTATTCTGACCGTGTTCCCTAACCTCCCCCAGTATTTGTCAAGGAAGGCACTGCTGCTTCAAGGACAGCTGCTTCAAGAAAAGGATGGGTCACCTGCAGCAGCATCTGTCACTCAAGCAGTCCACAGGGGAGGTCTCTGCACCCATCAGAATAACTGCCTGTACTCGTGACAGCACTTCAAAACACATTTACATGCTTCTTTAGTTTAAAGCGGGTGAACAATGACAGAAAGTTAGCATCATTCCTACAGCGTGAAAATCTGACCTTTGTTGGGTGTACCAAGTGCAGCACAATTATCACTGACAAGATAATCAAGTTTTACATGTTGATTTGGCTTTATCTGCTCCGGGTACATCATTCCTGCATCCAAATTAATCTCATGAGTACTTTGTTTTTCCTCATTTTTTTTGCATGATACATCACATTATATATCTGTATACTGTTACAAGTGCACGGTTTAAGAGAAAGTTTGTGCGAGTTAATCTCATGAGTACTTTGTTTTTCCTCATTTTTTTTGCATGATACATCACATTATATATCTGTATACTGTTACAAGTGCACGGTTTAAGAGAAAGTTTGTGCGAGTTGCAAGGAACTGCTATAATGTTTTTATTTATTTGTATATTCTCTTGATGGTGACATTTCTCAAAATGTTCTGTTTTTAAATAGCTTTATTTATGCATGTGGAACACGTTTTCTTGCTTCTTTTTGGCTTCATGTATATTCATTAGTTTCATGTTTCATATTCATGTTCTTGTAAATTAGTTGTGTGTGCAAAATACCTTTTTATCTCTGCAGTCCGCAGGCAGCGAATAAAAGTGGTGTCATGTTGACAGGGGCAGCGGCAATGCATTCTTACTCCTTAGCCCAGCTATATTTTTATCAAATGTGTGTGCTATGAACTTCAGCCGCACATCGCACACTAGAATGACAGGCTACTAGTTCCAAAAAGTGATTCCTTTTAGCCAAAAGGGAGTGCAGTGAAATAAAGTGTTATAAGATTATAGAGACCCCAATGTAATGATCGGATACTTGCGCCGCATCAGCGTAGTTCCGAAAGTTTAGGTCCATTCACGTGCTCATAAGGAAACAAGCAGCCAATAATTTCGCGAGTGCTGTGTCCGCAGTAGAAAGAAAGCTGCAACGTACAGGCATCTTTTGCGAGCCGCAGCGCCGCCACTACGTGTCATGAAGCAGCGGATCGCCTTTTGCGCCGCGCTTGCGCCACCTCCCCTTCTAGCCACCATGACCAAACAGAAGCTTGCCCTAATCACATTTGTGCAGCAGAAACCAGCACATAGAGCAACTCATGAAGCTGGTTTTTTATAATTTTTAAAAATTTTTTGCTGGCTATTTGGTGAAATCTGAAAGTGACTGAGACTTTATTGATCTCATAGTCTCATATCGTTTATCAAATGCTACTTTGGCAGCAGTTACTGTGGTTGCTTCTCTAATGCGGCACTCGCTTTATCAGTTTGATCTCATTCAGCCTCAACTACTCTTATTTTAGATGTATAGCTTGTACGTACTGTGAATTCAGTAGCCAGCTGTCTCTGTAATTGCTTGTATATTACAGTTTACAATATTAATTATTGTCTGCAAACTATCTTTTATGTACTAAATATTAACATTTATGAGACAATTCCTCTTTGCCTTGAACGTGAGGGGCTGATGTATGGCATAGTTTGTCACCTTCTCCTGAAACATTAACAGCTACTTTAAATTAGCACTATCTTTCCTTCTCCTAAAGTGCCCATGACTGCTGCAAGGCGATACTTTCCCTGCTCTATAAAGTGTTTTTGAAAAACACTTCCATCGTTGCTTGAAAGTAAATGACTTGCTCATGTTGAATGCATACGTCTTGTGCTTGGGCTGTCTATGAAGAGTCTCTGCTATTTACACATCATTAATTCTGTAAACGTTTTATCTAGAGCATTCACAAAATTGCTCAGTCAGCAAAATACCGTTTGTTTAACTTTATAGTGCTGAAAGACTTGTAAGGTTTGTTACTGTAATCGGTCATTATGATCTATTAGTTTATGTTCAGCCGCACTCAATTCTTTTGTGCCTGTGAATACAATGAATCTATTCAAAAACAGAAATAACTTTAAATGTAGAAAATTATGAGCTATTGTAGTTATAATTCTGACTATGAACTAGTAGTTTTAGTAGCTAGGCAAGCTGGAACATAACATTTATTTCTCTTTGGCGTTTGCTTGCCAAAATCAAATGACATTGCTTTGATAATTATGTCATGGTTTTTACAACACTACCTGCATTTTGTTGTGCATATTACTAGCCTTAGAATGACCCAAATTTCATTTACCGATGGCTGTGTTCTTGAAACTTGAACCTTTTCGGTGTGACTGTCGAGGGATTATTCAGAAGGATGAGTTGAAAGTCAGTGCTGTCTTGTTTCAGGCCTCTATTTTTGTTTGTTTTAATATTTACTATAAATCGTAACCAACTTACTGGTTTTAATGTAGTCTAACTTCCTTTGCTTTTTCTGTTTTTCATGTTTAAATTAAACAAAGGCCAACTTGCTGCCTTGCTTCAGCAAATCCAGTAGAACATCTTTAAAACGTTTTTCCATAAGACCACGAGAAAAGGGGAAAAAAAGTACGGTAGCCAAGACATTTATAACCCAAATGTGTAGTTAAAACCTGCAAAGTCCTGCCGAATTACAAAACAGACGTGTTGTACACCACTTAGAAAACCTATGCATAAGTTTAAAGGGCTGAAGAAGTCTATGAAAAGGCCTGGCATTTGTTTTGCAACTCTGCCTGAACCATACTTTTCTTGAGCACATTGATGGTGTTCTGGTTGTTGGAATTGTCAATTAATATAAGTTTCTCCTCGTAACGTCCATCACATTGACAGTTTGCAGCATATCGAGCAGTTGTGTTGGAGAAATGCGTGAAAAGTAGTTTCCAGGATATAGGTGTAGTAGATTCTTTGCTGGGACCAGATGGCAAAAATAAGGCATTCATAAACGTTCATGTGAGGAATGTATAAGCGAGTTTTTTTTGTACTACTTATTTATGTAACTATGCTTAACTATGTATGTAAGCTATGTTAAGTATGTATTTTATTAGTTGTCACCTATGTACATTAGCTGCTTACCTATGTACAGCCACCTGTGTGTAAACTGCACCTACATTTACATCGTAAAATTATGGTATGTTAATTTCTGGTTCCTTTGGTTCAAGGTGACCTAACCCGTTAAGGCTTTGCAATAAGCTAAAGTGAAATGCAAATAAAATACTCAAATTGAATTTAGCCAAAGTGGAGGTTTCCTGCAGCCAGCCCCAAATGTGGAACTAGACGGGTGCATGATTGCAAGCACCTTTAATCAATTTGTGCTTACTGACCTGTCTCCCCTCAATTCGTCCTAGGTGTCTGGGCTGACAGCGACGACGAAGGAGATGCACGGCCCAGCTTCCAGTCCTCAAAAAAACACAAGGACTTTTCCGCACCCATCAGCTTTGTCAGCGGCGGAGTGCGTCAGGTGGGAAAGCCGGAAGAGAAGAAGGAAGAAGGCAGCGAAGATGAGGTGAGTGGCGCTGAAGACCCCCTTCGGCGACGGTGGCTACATTTGTTTTCGCTACTTGTTTACGCTAGTTGAGCACATTGGTGACTAAGGGAGGGCAAGAAACATTGCTAATTAGATTTAAATTATACCAAAGAGCTCCTTGCTCTCTTCTGTCATTGTTTGTTTGGTGTGTGCGCACGCAAGAGATGGCATACAGCATCTTAGTTCTGATGCAAGCTCTTTGTGGCAAGGTCATCATTTCTGTGGCATATGGGGAATTCTCAATGCGCATAAAAGGTTGCAGTAGAGTTGCATTTTAGACATTTAACTGCAGAATCATTTAAAGGTGGCTGTCTGAAGCTGAAAAATTAAAATGATATTTACTATTTTAGCAGTTTCATAATTCAGGCATTAAAGGGTTTACCTCTTAAAGTCTAAAATGTTCAATGAACTGTCATCTATGGTTTGCTCTGATGATTTCAGATGCCTCGAGTTTTTGTAAAACTTGAGCAGATGCCCTTTGCAGCTGTTCAAACCCACATTATTTCAATACAAGAAAGGCCATTCTCAGTCGGGTTGAGCATGTGCCCCGAATGGTGGTCGGCAGTCCTGAATGTATGGAACGATCAGCGTGTTCCGTGGTCGCCTAGTTACTACACTGTTTGGCCCTTAAAAACTAAACAGCCCAATTAATTTAGAGCTACTTTTACAATCTTGATAATACTTTGGCATGTCAAATCTCACCATTCAGTTGGCTACAAGCATAGATGCCACGTCTTATCTTGTCAAGTCATGAATTATGTGAATTTATCATGTTATAAAGTTAGATTATTTGCAAGGTGCAGTGTGTCCTGCAAGTCTTTCTAAAGACCATTATGTTCGCTTCAGACCTACTCTTGGCAAGTCTGAATTGTCTTTAATGACACCTGTGCTAATGTCTCTTGCATCTGTAAGTATATATTCTTTTTATAATTAACTTAATTATAAACCAACAGGCAATGAAGCCAGCAAAAGTATAGAGGCATTACTTGGGGTCTTAACTGTACTGGGGTAATTAGTATATAAATTTAAAGGAGATAAAGTGCATGAAAAGGCAACTGGCCACTGGTGGGGGCTGAACTTACAAGCTTTGGACAACGCGCCTTGTTTACATGTGGAGAAAATTCTAATGAAATTTCAATAAAGCGGTCAGAAGGACGGCTGCCACTGTAGCTCTTTTGGCAGAGCATCGTACCCGCCCTCTGAGGATTTTAGGCTCACGTCCCAGCCAGTGGAAAGGTGTGTTTTCTTCCACTTTAACCTCAATACATTTATGTCTTAATTAATGTGCTATGGTTCAAGGCTACTAATTAGGCTTCCATAACTCCAATAGATTTGTACCATAATTAGTGAATTACAGTTGAAGACTAATACTTAAGCTTCCATATTTTTCTTGCCTTCATTGTCGCGTAGTTTCATTAGGTTGTACGTAGCAAATAAAATGAGCCCTTAATCAATCACCCTTCCAACACTCATTAGTAAGGCCTGGCTATTCTTATTTCAGCGTGCATCAAGCAGTGAGGAAGAAGTTAAGGTTCCAGCGAAAACCCTGAAGACCGGATTCGCTGGAGGTCGTGGCGGCGTAGCTCACGGCCTGCTAGGTGCCGAAGGGTAAGTTGTTGCATCGAGTGCTCTGCGTGTGTAGCGCACTAAACGCTGTACGTATTGTTTACTGTTCTATACGTATTATTTTCGTATAGTTGTGATCATTCTTTATATTATAGTCATCACCCGACATCAGGAATCGTATAAACATACTGGGACGCAACGTTACCCTACGTCACCTTCGCTTACAACTCCTTCAGACATCACACCGCAGGCTATTTCCCGTTCTACCTTCTTTATAGACGTGAACCCTCTCTGCCTCTTGATACACTCCTTCCCGCTGGTTCAAGCTCCCCTGTCACATACGTCCGTGATGCCATAGAGCGAGCCGACGCAGCACGACAGATTGCGCGAGAACGACTCATACTTTCACAAGCCTCTCAGAAAGATCGATACGATCGTCACCACCGCGAAGTTTCGTATGCACCAGGTTCTCTCGTACTCTTGTAGACCCCATGTCGTCACATCGGCCTCTCAGAAAAACTTTTATTTCACTATGACGGACCATACAAAGTCCTACGCAAGATCACCAACCTCACCTACGAGATACAGCGAGTCGTCGACGAAGCGCGTCGACAAAGACATGTAGAGATATATCTACAAATGCTCATATTGTCACTGTCAAAAGGGGTAACTGGTGCTGGCATAATGTCACTCAATGCTCGATTGTCTATAAGTTCTAAGACGCGCATTTAAATTTCATGCCGAAATTGCCACAAGTATGTCACAGATTTCAAAGTCTATTCTCCTCATTTCAACTGCATTTAATTCACTGAAATTTCTTAAACTTAGCATGTTAAGTTTATGGTCTCCTCATAGTACAACATACTTCATTTTTACCGATAGTAAACTACCCTCGAACCTAATTATTAATGAAGTTGCACCTTACACAAAAGTAAGTTCGTTATATCCAAAGATTTCTTATAAAAATGACATATGTAAAACTATAACTATTGCAAAAGTACTCATCACTTACTTTGTTATAACTGATATTCTATTATATCTGAGTTTGTTATATTGAGGTCTGAGTGTATTTAGAACTTAGTAGAGGCCGTCAAAATCTGTGACATTATGACGCTTGGTGCTGGAACCTCAAGGTGGCATTGTCCCCCCCCATTTTTTTTTTCGCATTTTTCTACTAACCTAGTGTCTTCTTGTGGCAAGCGTGGTGTGTTTTTGTTACAAGGAAAAAGTAACATCCTCATACGAGAAATATTATGTCTGTCTTTGTTGGAGTTTCATCACTTCTGCCTTGACATACATTGGACAGATTTTAGCCTTGTGATGGTCAGTCAGATTTAATGTCAAATTGTGGGTTTGGTCACCACTGATGAGAAGTTCTCTTTTTCTTCTTTCATTTATGCATTTACTCTTGAGGTACCAATTTAATAATTAATATTTACTCTCAAACCTTGATATAATTAACCTTACTATAACGAAATGTCTGTTATAACAAAGTAAATGAATAGTAGTCTTACAGTAGATATAGAATTACAAATAAACCTTTATAACGAATTTTTTGATATAGCAAACCTATTTTTGTGTAAGATACAGCTTTGTAATAATGAGGTATGAGTGAACTGTACTATGGATAAAAAACAAGAAGAAAGTCTCATATGCCTTGCTTGGCTTCATCGTTGGCACTTCATTGCAGTGGCTGGTAGGGATTATATTGTAAGATAAAGTGCAGGCGCACATACAAAAAATAATATTTGCTCTCAACATTTCGACCAGGGACTGACTGGTCTTTTTCTTGAATATACCAGTGCCTGGTCAGAATGTTGAAAATAAATATAACTTTTTGTTTTTGTGTGTGTGCCTTCACTGTATCTCACTATTCATTGAATCCAAAGATGATAAAGTTATGTGCTATATATATCTATATATGAACAAGGATATAGCACGCCTTCACTTCTGTAGCAGCAGCATGGAATGTGATAATGCCAAGTGAGTTAAAGGTATCTCATTTTGACTCTTATTAGCAACACATTATCTGATATTTAATATTTCTAGTGGTATCAATTCTAAATATTGGTATATATGTTTAACAAATTCCTTGTAAACACATCTTTGATAAATGATGATGTCAAGGTGAAACATGACCAAAGAAAAAAAAAAGACTAAGCAAATAAGGAAGAATTAATGTTCTGAATGGATTAAAAGATGCCTAATGTTAACATGGCCGAATTTTTATTTTCTAAGAGTGATTATATATGAGAGGAGCTAAACGTAATCTTACTGCAATTCGATTTGTATACTTGAGCAAGGGTGCGCATGTGTTATTTTGTTTCAGTTGCAAATTTGTATATTTTCTTTTTTTGATGTTGTGCTCTTGTTGAAATGTGCCTTTTTGACTGTGTAGTATTACATAGTTGCTTTAGAATTGCTTCTTCCTGTCATATTGGGAGGCAAGGGGTCATCGAGTGTCTAATGTTGCTTTTTTTATGATGAAATGTCGATGTAGTTTCGGTATTTTTTGTGAATGCATGCGTAATGGAACCAGCCCTGTAGCTTGTTACCTCTTGGCATAACTTTGTAATTGTTCCATTCTCTTTGTTTTGCCAAACCCGTGCGTTTGGTATCACATAAACGAGCTCGATGGTGCAGTTGCATCGGAAAGCCACGAAATTTGTTTTGGCAGAAAGTGAACAGAGTTTGTTGAATCTTCTTATTGGTTATAATCTCCCTTTGGGCCTTAAAGTATTGAATAGGCCTTAAAGTATTGAATAGGCCTTAAAGTATTGAATAGGCCTTAAAGTATTGAATAGGCCTTTAGAATATTTGAAAGCCTTGTAAGTAATGAAAGAATGTCATTTTGGCGAAGCATATAGGAAGATGGAGTTGTTGTGATTCTTTTGTACAACGTGCCATCTCCAGGCTGGGCACTTTCAGCGGTATACAAATGGTTGTACAGAATTACATAAGTTTTGTGTACTCTTGCATGATGTCTGAAATGCTTTTGCGGGATTGGGATAGGAAACAGATATTTGATAAGTATGACTCGTAAAGGAGACAAATAAAAACTTTCAAAAATAATAGAAAATGATGTAACAGTCTGTACATTGTGCCCTTTTTATTCTGGTATTCTAGAACCATCACTTATTGACACACTTTATAAACTTTAAGCTTGGCTCTTGTTCAGTTTAACATGTCCCATCCTGACCAGGTGAAAATTGCTCTCGACTTGTTTATGTTTGAAAGTAGGTGTACTTGTGTTAGTTTGATTTACCAGTGACGTAGCTGAGAAGCTGCGACATTCAGAAAGTTAATTGTTCGTAACTAGGAATGTTGCTTAGGAATTAAATTGTTGGTCAGTGAATCAGTGACTCACTAGACATGATTATTTGGTCTTCGAATGCTGTCAGTCATATTATACATTGAATTAACACCCCATAACCAATAAATTAGTCCAATAAAATCTTTACATGTTACTGTGAAATGCCAAACACTGTCCACGAATCAATCATGAATTTCTTTTAATTATCTTTGAGGTTTCTTTGACTCAATCATTTGTTCCAAATGTTTGCGTCCTGATTTGATTTTTGTTTATATACAAGCGGTGTTCTGATAGATTACTTTTTGACTCTGCCGTTTTTCTCTCTCCTTCTTTGCAGGGGCTTCGGCAACTGGGAGAAATACACGAAGGGTATTGGAGCTAAGTTACTCCTTCAGGTGTGAGATTGATCGATTGACTTTTGCAGAGTGATCATCGTCGATCGAAGCCGCTTTTCTGGGCTTTTTCCTTTCTTTTACATTAAAAGCCCTTTCTTTTTTAAGCCTAGCAAACAAAGCACTGTTACCTGCATATCTGTAATATCTTTGGGGATTTCATCATTAAAACTTTGTCCGTGCTGCTGAAATAACCAGAAAGCCTAAAGAAAATGTCGGGGCTGGATTATTTTTTCTTGCTTAACTTATTTGCTAAAGTTAAGTGCTTTGTGTTAAAAGAAAACAGTTAATCACAAATTTTTACCAGCTTTCCGTGACACCAGATCACTGCAACATATATTAGAATACTAAACAAGATTGGAATGTCTTTGTATCATAAATTAGGTTCTAAAAGGTTATGGCTAATATTAATTTCACTTTAAATTGGCACAATTATTTTCAATAAAATTTACATTTCACAGCTGACACAAGCGGAAAACGAACTTCAACTTTTTGACATTCTTTTGATATGCTAGAATGCAAATGTTTTGAATTCAGTAGGCAAATTGGCCAGGAAATACACTATTAGTATGTTTATTAAATGTACATGGCTTGCATTTAACTTGTGATTGCTAATGTTTTTTAGACATCAAATTTATTGCTTATTGATGCCTAGTGAACCATCCAGCAAGAGAGTCAAAAGTCATCGATATTACTGTTTTTGCATAAGTACTCAGTAATGAGATATAGTCTTGGTGTTCTTAACAACGCTACTGTTTCTTAATTTCTAAGAAGGAAAATCTCTTAGTTTTTAGAAACAGTTGCTCATTTTTTCTATCTAAAAAGAGGTTCGAACTTTTTTTTTTCTTTCAGCAAGACGTAAATCATGTTGACATAGGTTGGCCGATATATTAATCTTTTTATGTAGATCATCACGTTGACTGCGTCGCAGGTGCTGATAAGCTTGTTACTGCAAGAAGGAATGCTGCTGCTATATTGAGTAATGCTCATGCTTGCTCTGTTCAGAATTTCCCAAGGACTCCTGCAGATTCTGTAGTATTGTGTCTGTATTCTAGCCGGTCATGCTGGACATGATCTTGTTAATTTTAATGTACATGATAGTGCTATTTACTGTGTCTTTTGACTTTGGTTGGTACACATGCAACTTAACATATGTACCATAGGTAATCAAAGGAATTGTTCATTTATGTGTACTATAATAATTCCAATAACAAAGGGGTATGAGCGTTGGGAAGAATTTCATAAATCTGCAAAAGGAAGGAATGAGAAAACAAGCTCTAGAAGCAAATGATGCAGAAAATTAAGATCTAATTTAATTTCTTTTTACTTTGAAGAGAGTACTGACTGCATGGTGAAAATTGGAATAAGCACTCATTATCAAATAAGTTATTCAGCCATACACATGTTAAACTCATGTTAAAATATTGATATTTGGTGGTACATCAAATTGGGTGTAGTAATATTTTTTTTTTATTGCACACACAACACACGGCACTGTCCGCTGTTAGGAAGTGTACCTAGTCAGTAATGAGGCCAATCTCGGCTGTGGCGGCTGCGTTTCGATGAAGGCGAAAATGCTGTAGGCCCGTGTGCTCAGATTTGGTTGCACGCTAAAAAACCCCAGGTAGTCAAAATTTCGGGAGCCCTCCACTACGGCGTCTCATAATTATGTGTTGGTTTTAGGACGTTAAACCCCGCATATTAATCATCTAGTCGGTAATCAGATTGACGTTAGTGCAGTATGTGCATTCCTCTGCTAGTATGAGACGGCTGATATAATCAGTATAACAAATGTTTATACATGAACAGATTATCCTTTAAGCCTTTATGGCATATCTCTATGATTATGAGCGGAAAGCAGCTAATTATGCAAGAGATAATTTATAAACACTTTTTTGTAGCATGCAGCCACGAGGAAATTCTTGTAGATTCTCAGGAAGCAAAAATGTCCTTGTTCCAGGATTGAACTTCGGACCAGCGCTTTCTTTAATATTTAGCACAATTGGTTGAGTGATTACTCCAGCCACTGAACTAACCTATAGAAGGCCTCAGAAAGCTGTTGGCTGTGGGTTTCATTCCTAAACCAGGACAAATTTTTTGGCAACTAAGAGAGCTTCTTTCTGAGGAATTAGTATAAATTTCGTTCTGACTTCGGGCTACGAATGGGTGGCTGTCAATTTCTCTTAAACCTCTCGCCACCTTGCGTGATTTACACAACTGACTTACTTGCAAGGCTAATGTAAAAGTGGTATTTTCATGCCTCTGTGGGAATGAGTCGTCCGATAGGATCAGCAAGACAAAGATTTGTACATGAACAGTCTATCCTTGGGGCCTTGATGCCGTCTCTTTACGATTATGAACGAAAAACTTACAACTCTGAGTTTAGTCACAGTCACTAAATTTTTTAGTTGATTATTTGTATTGGCAAAACCAGAGCTTATTTCCATGTATCCTTTCCCTCTCTAGATGGGCTACCAGCCGGGTAAGGGTCTCGGCCGAGACCTGCAAGGCATCTCGGCACCCATCGAAGCAAAAGTCCGCAAGGGCAAAGGAGCCATCGGTCTGTACGGACCGGAGACCAAAGGCCCTAAGCTTATGACAGCGGAAGCGGAGGATTCGACGAGTCGCAAAGGCGCGCTGCCCGAGCTTAATCAGTGGCGGAAGCGCAAGGTGAGGCGAAAGAGCTGTTTGCTGAGAGCTGCTGCTAATAGGACTCTGAAATTTTTGAACACGGGGTGTGGCTGGAGCCAGTGTTTCAACAAGCGGACATGTCTTCTTCAAGACTTCAACTGAGTACCCTAGCACATCTGTGTGTATGTTTTGTACCATCTCCTTCCAAACCAAATCTAGAGAGGAGAAGAGGGCAAGTGTGAAAGGAGTTGGTGACAAGGAGGGGTCAATGTGCTGAATTTCACGAGTAAAATAAAATAGTAAACAGTCAAAAAAATATAGAGAGGAGAAAGAAGTGAAAGATGTTAATATGCAAGATATTTACATTATAAATTTAAAGACAACATTTAAAACTATAACCGAAGTGATTCAGATTAAGTGACATAATGTCCAATGTTTCAAGTATTAGATGCAGACATCTAATAAATGAATGCATAAATGTTCGCACAAGCGTACAAATATTTTTCACATCTAGATACAGGAAATTATCATGTCCTTGAAGAGGACCTGGAAAGACTAGGAGAATCTGGGAAAGTTTCACATAGTTCATTTGTTTGCGTCTCTTCATCTGTTCTTTTCTATCTGTTTCACATGCAGGAAGGCGAAAAGAAGGTGACATATGTCTACAAGACAATCGATGAGGTGAAGTCTGAAGGTGTGTACAAGAAAGCACCAACCGGTCCACATAGCAAACTCAGCAAGGTGAAGGTTATCGACATGACGGGACCGGAGCAGCGAGTTCTTTCTGGTGCGTACATGGCTTCTCAGAAGTTTCTTCAAACTTGAGAGACTTCAAACTTTTGGAGAAAAATTTCTCCAAAAGTATGGCAGTTCAGAGTGGAGGCACAAGGCCTAGCTCAGTATCAATTAAATTTAACTAGCATAATTAGACATGCAACTCAAGTATCTTGGGTTGGCTTGGTTTAATCACACTTAACTTAGGATTAATTGGGTACTGTCATAAATAGATGCAAAAAACTAATTAGGATTAACTGTGATTGGCTCAATCAGTACTGATTAGTATATTTCTCAGCTTGACATTGCTAGATTGATGAAAATTTAACTTGGATTGCTTTGATTAATTAGGCTCAAATACCAAGATCAGCTATGTTTAATTAGATTTTGTTAATCCTATCTTGGCTCCACTTAATTAGGCTTAATTTGCCTGACTGGTTCTGTGAAACTGAAAAATCTTGGGTGGGCATAGTCTGATCACACAAAGCTTAATTAGTCCAAGCTTCATCATGATTAACATCAGACTCAAACTGGTTAATTAATTTGACTTAATTAGTTGCAATTAGTATTGTCCTGGGTTTGGATTCTTTAGTCCTGCGGGCAATTAGGCGTAAGTTGCTCACACACTGTGGTTTTCGCTCATTTCCAAGTATAATTTTCTGGTGACGAAAACCAGCATAACGAAAAGCTTAACAGCTCCACTGTAAAGTTAATTTCCTTAAACATCTTTTTCATCGTTTTAGACATCTAAGAGAATCTTTTGCGTCGATAATAATGCATTCTGACAAGTGCTTATATTGTTAATGCACTTTTAAGATCAGCTTCATGGCCATTGTCGCTTGCAAATGCACCCCAGGATTGGGTGTTTTTCTCCTATGTAGCTTGTGAGTTCCTACTCACAGCGAAGCTAATGAACTAATTTCTTTTGTGAAAAACTTTTCTGATGGGTTGTAGAACTGATCACAGTTCAGAATTTCTTTTTTTTTTTTTCAACATATTAGACATAGAAATAACTAAAAATAGAGCTAGAATTACCTGATATTTTAGTGATTTCTGACTTTTCTAAAATATTTCTATATAATTTTTTCTAAAATAGGGCACCCTAAAGTTGCAAAAAGTTAAGAGGATGAATTTTTCATAATAAATATCTCAGTAATTACACAAAATAAGAAAAAATGGCCTGTATTTCCTGCTTGCAGGCCGAAATATACATTGCCTGAAAAATTCAGTTGTATTTGATAAAAATTAAAAAAATTTTAAGTAGACCAGTGCCTCCCCTTATTCAGCACCAAAATTCTAAAATTCAATTATAAAATTTGTCACGTAGTCTATCAATACAATTGGTGCCAGAAAATTTTCAACTTATTCTGGCGCATCTTCACAGCATATAATTGCTGAGATACGCTGCATTAGTCTATTTATCTACTAGGTAAGTCTACTAGATAGGTTGAAATCTCGATTCAAACCAAGTTACACGTGCCAAAAGGAAAAAAAAACTTGTTTGCAGCATTAGTTAGTGGATAAACGTTTGCTCGTGACTGTACAGTGGCAGGGAAGTGGCACACTAATTACAAAAAATCGTAAAACATAGACGGTAAAAATTCCCACCCTCCGCCATGACACACTGGCTGGCATTTTGTCGTCAAAGTGCAAGGTGGTGAGTTCAACTCCCACTGGTCATAGTTTTGGTCCCACTGGTCAGCTAAATCACGTGCACCTACAATCACAATCTGACCCCCCAAGAAAAGAACTAGGTTTGGCCCGTTACGTGTCAAGTGCGTCGTGATGTTGATATCACCGCACTACACTAGTGCCACGTGGAAAAGTGCCTAAAGATTAGAGGCAATTTATGGTTGTGGGACAACACATTTTGTCTGTTATTTTATTTATGAAATACTGCAGGCCCATTCAGAGCCCAGGCAGGAGTGGATAGAAACATAGGTAATAATAATAAACATCATGCATTGAGAGAATGCGAAAGTGTACATGCATATATGTATACATTCACTTAATTGCCAACTATTATAATAGCAACAAAATCTATATATATATATATATATATATATATATATATATATATATATATATATATATGAGAAAACAAAAAGTAAAATGACTGAATGACTGATAGGTACAACAACTACAACAGTGTGCTCTGTGCCTATAAGCTATAAAGTAAGTGCCGACAGAAAATACCACAGTTCTCAGTATACCACACACACACACATACACGTGCACACACACACACACACACACACACACACACACACACACACACACACACACACACACAAAGAAGATTGATCGCCTATGCACAACAAATTACACCACAAATTATAAAAGTAAGAAAAAAAAGGAGGGTACTATTATGCCTTATTTAACCACTTGTTCTATAAGTTCAGCACTATGTAGCCATGTCGATGATTGCTGAACGAGTACCATTATGATCACTGACATGTAAAAACTGCTGTCAATGAGGTAGAGCTGTCTATGGCATTGCTGTAGCCCTGAGGAATAATAAATGCAGAAACATCAGTTGGTATGTTGCACCGAGTCATATTTATGAGAACTTCTGATTATTCAGACTTTTGATAATTCACACAAAATCTTGAGGTTCACTCGAGCTTGAATTGGCTCGGCTTATTGTCATCCTGATCTCGCAGGTTATCACGAGCTGCACCAGCAACACTCGAGGCCTGACGAGCGCGAGGAGATCGAGCTGAAGCGCGCCGTCGGGTCGCAGTTCTCGGTGCCGGAGCTGACGAACAACCTTGAACTGCTGGTCAACATGACGGAGCAGCAGATCGTGCAGAACGACCGCGACGCCAAGCACGAGGAAGACCGCACCATCAACCTCCGTCACGAGCTGGACCGTCTCGAAGAGCTCATCACGGCCGAGGAGAAGCAGGAGCGCAGGCTGGCGAAACTGAGCGAACTCGTGCAAGCGTGAGTTTGGTGCTCCCGTAGCGTGGGAGACCTTAGCCGCCAATAACAGCTTGTTTATTGCCCGAACGTTGAGCTTTTTTGGATTATGCATTCTTTTTCCTGGTTCCCGAAAAGCTGTTTCACATGCTAAAATTGCAGTGAAAGTGTTTGTTTCGTTTACTCTATTTGCTCTGTTAACAACTGCCACTCACAGAAGTTGCATTTCTCTTGCGCTGCGAATTGGCTGCGAGTATCGCTTTGCCACTGCCACTGCATGCAAGGTTGCTTGCTGCCGTTTGTTGCGGTAGACACTGTCATTTTTTAAAATGTGAATCTAACAGTCTGTGTGTTATGATGTTGATGAGTCATGATATTGTAAGTTTTTATCGGTGGTAGTGAAGAGCATGCATCTTTTATCATTTCAAAACAACTCTCAATCCAAGTTTATTTTCAAAAGGGCAACAGCGACCATAACCAGAATAAACCCGTCATTGCAATTATGGCGGCCTAGCGCAATTTCGACGGGTTCCAAACCAAAAATTCCTACTCTGCTGGGAATGCAGGGAAAGATTGCCAACATGTTCGTAACCGCTCACAGTCGTGGCGAGAGCAATCAACCGTTCTCTGTAGGCTTGTGCGAACATTCGAATGCTTCGAATATTCAAACAAATAATGCAGTATTTGAAATCGCTTCAAATCGAATTAAGTTATTGAAAATTTCAAATGATTGAAGACAACCGAATAGAAGCATAATAATCCGCATGCTATGCAGTGTAAAGGTTGTGTCGCTGCAGGGGAGGGTGCTAAGCCGTGAAAACATTTATACAGGCTTGTACCAGTTCGCATGTACAGTCGACGTCCGATTTCCCAGACCCTCAAGGGACCGCGAAAACATCCAGAAAAACGGGCAGCCCGGAAAAATGAATGCAAGCGAAAACGCACTTTTTAATAAATATTTTTTGCTGACAAAGAGGGTTGCAGTACCCCTGGTATCAGTTGTCCTATGCTTCCTATGGTGTATCTGAACACAACATAGGAAGCATAATAATGAAGTTCTTTCGACCACAAGCTACAGAACTTTCATTTAGGCATTGCAGCTTCTTCTCAGCTTCCTTCGTCCTTTTTGATTTGAGACTTGTCGCGATGATTCCTGGTGACTGTAGAACTGGCTATGTGTGCATTGAGCAGTGCCGTCGCTTGCTTGACCATTAACTGCTGTGTTAACGTGATTGATAGTTTTTTCTCTCTCTCTCATTCTCTTTTTTTTCCAAACAGGATGGTTGATCGCAGCCAAGAGGATCATGCAGAACCCTTGACGTTAGAAGAGTGCGCAACCATGTTCCACACGTTGCAAGACGAATTCTACGAAGAGTACAAGATGTACGGGCTCTCGGACTTGGCCATCACCGTCATATGCCCGATGGTCAGCCCTATCATGAAAATTCGTCATTTTCACTATAATCTCTGCGGGTCCTGTCTCGTGGCCAGCGGCATCACCTGAACGTAGTTTTAAAAAAAAAAAAGGTCACAGTCGAGCATTTTGAAATATAAAAGCAGCGACAGCCCAACCAGTTACTGTAATCACGCAATACAGTAAAAGCTCATTAGATTGGCTTTCACAAGACGTAAATACATGTTCAAATTAACCGAATTATCAGAAGTATCAAGAATATGATAAACGAATTCATAATATGTCGATACACTTTTATTTTCTTTCTTTCTTACCTTGCATATGAGCATTGCAAAAGCCGCAGTTTTTGCCACTTGTGACTTTGTTCACAGTGTTACCACGGCTCAAGAACTCCCATAATCTGAAACGTGCTAACCCAATATTAATGTGAAGCATTGTTGTTGCATATGGTTCGTGCTGAGGGCGATAGAGAATGTAGACTGTGCCTTGTGATTTTGGCTGTCCGCAAACACTGTTTCGGCCGTCTAGCGTTGCACAGCGAAGCACTATGTGATTGGTGCACTCTGAGAATTATTCGAATTGAAGACCACACTTACGGCTGCATTCGCAGAAAACATCTTTGGGCGAACCCCGCCCGAAACAATATGATTGTGCGAACTCGCATATGAAAGACAAAGAAGGGCAGACGTGGTTATTAAAAACTTTTTTTTAGAATCTTGATTGATTTTGAAAGAATTTGCTCAGTTTAGGTATGTTTGTAAGCTGATTTCACATATTAATTTTTTTCTATCACAAGTAGTTTCCAAATATCACGCGCAGCTATTTCTTTGTTTAAGGCTTAATTAGCTAACTAAGCACAAGCTACGAAGCAATGTAAAACCCATAGAATTCAGTAAAGATGTTTTTAATGTGTCGTAAAGTAAAAAATTATTGCTTGAGGCCATTTTCTATCAATGTTGTGGGCTGCTGAACCAAATATAGAAAATGCCCTCATTAAAACTTAAACAGATGCTCTAATTTAGAACAGTTTCTTATGTTAGTATCATGGCAAAATTTACCTTATGACGCACGAATCTGCTTACCTCAACTACAAAAGAATTTTTTAGAACAAAAATATTGCTTCTCCATCACAAGAAGGGCATCAAAAATCGTTTGCTCTTCGCCCTCAATTTAAACAGCTGGCAGCATGGGTTTTGGTCTTTTAGTGTAGGATAATAATGAAGTTGATGGTATTCAGTTATGAAACGTTACAAATTGGTGTGCGGTTAGGTCAGGAATGTAAAGAGATGGTCTGCAAAAACTTGATTTTCTGGCTGTTTTTCGTTCTTTCCTTAAACGGGTCGCGACCATATATGACTGACTCAACAAGTTAATGCCCACGAACAGTTATGCCTTTAGAAAAATTGCATGAAATCGCTGACTGTTTTTTCTCTTCTTGAACAATTCATTTTAAGGAAAATATGAATGAAATTTAGTTTGAAGCATAACTTAATTATTCATAACAGGAAATTAATAATTATTATCATAAAATATGTAGGTCACTGCACCTCCTTCATAACATGTCAAATCTGCAATAACTGCCTATCTTGACACCTTTAGTGGGTTTTAGTAGCTTTATTGAGGTATTATATTCAATGTATCAAATATGATACAGTGAGCATTACAGGGAAACTATGCACAGGTTTGCTGGGACCAGAGAATGTGTCCTAACTGTCTGATTTCACCAATTAACTGGTGTCAAGTTAAGGAGCTTTTAGTGTATTAATAAATCTTGGTGCACAATTCGTAAATAGAACCTCAGTAATATAGATTTCAGAGAGATCACGTATTTGTTTGAATACTACACAGATTGAACTAAACAGAGCTATGAACGCCATCTTTGCATGCCCCTGCTTGCAGTGCGAATCGCCAATCACTTTGAATTATGAGATTTCTGCCATCTTTACATGCTTGAGCTTGCAGTTCGAATTACCCATCAACTTGAATTGATAAATTTCGAACTATACTCAAACTTCATTATAACAAAGCTGCATCCTACAAGAGAGTAAGCTTATTAGTATACCCAAAACTTTATTATAAAGGTTATTCCTAACACTGTACCCATTGCAGAACTATTTTTCATTTACTTTGTTATAACCAGTATTTCATTATATTCAGTGTTCGTTATATAGAGGTTTGAGTGTATTAATATTCTTCTTTCGGTAACCGAGAAAGCTGTGGCACACTTCTGCAGGTGAAAAAGGAGCTGGAGTCCTGGTCACCCTTGAAGGAGCGGGACGCCCACGTCAGCCTGTTCTGCAGGTGGCGGGACCTGCTTGAGATATATGGCAGCAGAACCCACGACCACCGTAACGCGCCCGAGGACGACCCCTACCACTACTTGGTCTGGGAGACCTGGATGCCACCAGTGCGGCAAGCGATACTGTGAGTCCAGCCACCTTTGCCGACCATTTCGTCTCTTGTTTGGTTCTTTCGGCACTTTATCTCAATGACGTCATAGATAATCGTTGATGGTTTTATCTACCCAAACTATGATACAGTATATGGGAGAATATATATGGAAGGGCCCGGGAACTTCAAATATTCATTCAAATATTCATAGCTCTTTAATGTGCATCTAGATGTAAGTGCACGGGCTCACAACATGTCGCCTCCATCGAAATTCAGCTGCCGCAGCCTTTATTCAGTGCCACGAATTTTCGGTGCAGCAATCGCCTTAACCCAGTTGCTGAACCACCATGGCAGACGCATTGATGTGATGGTGACGAAGTCTGTGAAGTAGTTTCAATGAAGAATAGATGGTATGTTTCTTTCCCAATACATGTGATGTCAGTTTTCATCTTCCGTTTTTAGCTCTGCCATAGTCAAGCACAACTTCGCGTACCTCATAGCCGCATTGCATCATTATAAGTGCTCGTGCTAGCAGAGCAAGAGCACAGGCATTGCGGTGCTTCAAATAAAAAACAAGGAAATGAAAACGGTGAAACACTAGGAGATTTACAACATATTCACAGCTGTATGACAGCATTGTTTATCTCTAAGCCACAAAATATTCTATTGCTCTACATAAAAGTGAAAGAAATGACATTGTCGGTTTGAAACACATGGAGGAACTATTTCCTTGTGCATACACATCTACTGCAAGAAGCCTGTGCAGCCAGAGTGTGCAAATTTTCATTCATCTTTTTTTATTGTTGCGTTTACTTTGACAACAACTCGCTCCTTACAACACGGGAAAAATTCCGTTGTTGCTGATTGTGGCGTGAGACTGTTTTTCTATTTTTCTTTTTGACCAGCAGGGATTGGTCACCACGAGAATGTGATCCGCTGATTGAGTTGCTTGAGACGTGGATGCCCCTGCTGCCTCGATGGATGTTGGAAAACATCCTGGACCAGTTTGTGCTGATGAAGCTTCAAACCGAGGTGGAAGCATGGAATCCACTGACTGACACCATGCCAATCCACTCGTGGCTGCATCCATGGCTTCCTCTGATGGGTAAGTCACAAAAGCATCACAATGGTGACACTCTGTAGAGTTGTAATACCGTGACGATAAGGCAGTTGTCAGAAACCACATTCTTCCCAGGCTATCATAATGTGTTTAACAGCAGATTTGTTCAAGAGTTTCATTCTACCGTGACCTGAGTAGCACATAGTGCATGCTATGCTTTTGTTCAGCCGTCGCATGCTCTTTTCATTTTGTTCATCTTAGGATTGAGTGTAAGTACAGTTTGCGATTGGCGACTTATATTCAAGAAGAGAGGATAGTTATACTACATTTTTCTGTATTGCATTGTAATTTGGCAGATTAGGGTGGATGTGCAATGTAAGCATTTTTTCGGTTCGTGGGCCTGCTGAACAAAACAGAGGAGCACAGGATAAGCAGTAGACAGAGAAAAGAAGAAACAATCACTAAAAAAACAGACAGGGACAAAGATGACTGTGCTAATTAGGATCAAGAAAGTTATCACTGTGTTAATTAGTAATTATATAATGACCATTATACTAATTAATATTACGTTATAAGGCTCTTGCTAAAAATTTAGGTCGGCCAAAAGCTCTGCTGTCAGTCCAGCCTTGCACCACTACTACAAGGTGCTTTTTGTGTGCGTGTGATGTGAACAAGCTTGATAGAAAAACATTGAAGCAACACTAAGGAAAGATGCCTTGTTGACAGTAATATAAATCGGGGAAAAATCAGTGGAGAACACATCCTGCTATGGCTGCCATTTCGTTTCAATAAATATACGGTTTGTTTCCAATAGTATAAAAATTGAAATTGCCCTTTGAAAGTTTTTAAAAACTAGTATTATTATTTTTAATTACACAATCATAGTCAGGCCATCAAGTTCACACCTCATCGTCAACAGCTTCTTCAGAATCATCAACATAAATAAATAATAGTAGATAATAAGGCATCTTTTATTTACTTTGCATTTTAATGCCTGCATAATAAAACATTTGTGTGGCACGTCAACCGGTATTATTTAAGAAAGCTTGTGCTCTGCAGTGCCTTTTGAAGCAAAAAGTAGCTTTCGTTTTTGTACTTCGTTTTGGCTCTTTGGAAGGGCTTCAGATTTCAGAGTTGTTTTTGTGTAGAGTGTGCTTTATTGTCAAGCAATTTAAGAAAGATTTTTAAAACATAAATCTCAAGGGGGGTCCTGTTGTGCGATGTCCTTCTATCAGCCTGAACACAAGGGCGCCTGGACCCGCCTGACGCTTCTGTGATTTGTGCCAGATCTTGTTGAGTTGTACTAGGAAATTGCACTTCTGCAATAGCAATTTGGTCATTGTTGCAACAAGGTGGTGCTCAGTAAGCCAACATTAGTGTTGCTGCTGCCAGTGTGAGAGCTTTCAGGCACATTCAAGCTGTGTAGTGCAGCTTTTTGCCTCAAGGACCCTGAACTATTGGATTGTAAAACAGAACCATTTCTGATTCTTCAAGAAACACATGAAAATTAAATACCTCTGGTGGCACAACACCAGTATTTCCTTGCGCAGTTTTTGTGATGTCCTGGCTTTGAAACCAGCTGCCACTAGTTTGAATGCATATTCTTGAAGAAGAATCAGATCACGTTGCAAATAAGCCGGAAAGTAAGTCTAGTGATGAGGGAACTCTTCGTTGGACTAAGTCAAAAAGCCACAATGCAATCTGATACACCAGATTGATAAGCTGTGGTGTGGTAAACCTGTGGTTGACCTGAGAGGTCTCCAGTGTGCAAGTGCTCATGTTTTCGTGCAAAAATTTGGCTATGCCTACATTTTCTCTCTGTTAATCAACCCTTTAAGCCCATTAGATGGAAACAGAAATCAGAAAGAATACTTGATAAGGATATCTAGAATATTTTTTTCTGTGTTGTTCTTCAATTCACTACCCATTTTAATATTTTTAGAAGTTTACTCTTTAAAACTTTTTTTAACACATGGTGCTGAATATTTTCTTTTTTAAAAGACAAGTTCTTCCTGTTGAAAAAAAAAAGACATAGCACATGCAAAGTTATAGTCATGAAAAAGGCCAGCCACCTGCTTGTTAATAGCAAAAATAAAAAACAACAGTGCTGTTGGGAAGTTGTGTATTCTGAAAATATGAATCATTCCATAACTTTAGTCGTTTTATTGATGGAAAACGTTCTCTTTCAATAGGAAGAGCTTCACTCATGCAAATGGTTTAGGGACAGTTGTGCAAGGACGAGCTGCGCTCGTCTGAAACAGGGAAAGGGTTGACGTTCCTGAAGGGCGTAAGGTGCATTTATCACAAGTTTTGGAATCTAAAACACCTGAGGCATTCTTAATTGAAATTTGACAATTTTGTTATGCTGCATTGTCAATTAAAATTGTTATGCACTCAAACCTCGATATAATAAACCGAGATGTAATGAAATATTAATTATAATGAAGTAGATGAACAACAGTCTTGCAATAGATATCATGTTAGGAATGTACCTTTTAGATGAATTTTCGTTTACTACGAACTCAATTTTGTGTAAGACACAAGTTCGTTATAATTGGGTTTGAGTGTACTTTGGTCTCTTGTAATCTTGAGCAACTACCGTATTTACTCGATTCTACCGCGCCCTCGATTGTAACGCGCACCCGATTTTCACCGCGGAAAAAAAAAACGTAAGGGCCAAACCACATAAGCGCGAAAATGCACGCGACAGCGGCGCTATGAGCGACGAAACAGGGCGTTCGCGCGACGTGTCGCGTGTTCGTTTTCGCGCGATCACTCGGTTCTCCATAATTCGAAACCGTCGCTCATCGCCCGGAAGTGCTGGGCTCAAGCAGCCAATAGCGAAAAACCGGAAAAGACAAAGACTACGTAGGTGCACGTGACCCTTCCCGAGTCACGTATGCGCAACAAAAATAACGCAATGTTTATTACGCATGTACCAAGTGCTGCAAGGCAATAATAAACACTTTCCGTTTCATTACACAACAATACATCTTATTTTTAAATTGCATACCGCTCGCTACGCGGTTTTCTTGGTGCGAGTAGACGGCCTCATGCCAGCAACAGTGAAGTTCGCTCGCCGAAGCCGTCGCGTGAATGAGGTTTGCCTGCGCTAGCGACTGCTCGCGCGAAGCCGATCTACATCGCGTCGCTCGTCGCTGTCGCGTGCATTTTCGCCCTTATGTGGTTTGGCCTTAAGACACCGATTGCAACGCGCACCCATTTTTCTCGCTGGCCCACACGATCACACCACTCGAAAAAACGACTCCTTTCGGGAGCGTCTTCTATTTAAATATGAGGTGCGGGCGAAGCTTGTGCCCATCTGACGTGTAACAGAGCATTGCCGTCACTGTAGTTTTACCGTGGACCGATGTCAGCACGCGAACTTGCTTCGCCCCCTTCTTCTCGACGGTTGTGGTGCCAGGCATGTCGAAGTAAAGAGGCGTCTGATCGGCATTCCCGATTTGCCCAAGCAGGTAGCCGTTGTTGCGCCGCAAGTTTAGGTCGAACCTCTGAAAACTGTGAAGCTTTTCATCGTACTCCTCCGCAAAACTTTTCGCATATGCATGTTCCCCTTCGGAGGGAAAAGCCTTTCCTCTTCATAATGTTAGTTAGCCAGCACCTGCTCGCTTTAAACTGGCTCCGCATCAGACCTTTTTCTAAGACTAATTGCATAGCCCGCACTTGGAGCAGTTCTGTCGTCACGGGCCGCTGTGCCGCTCGCTGCTCAAGCACATACTCGCCGAGCAGCTCTTTAATTTGCGGAAACCGACCCTGCTGTGGTCAACTGAAGCCTTTGCGTGAAGCTTTGCTGTCGACAATCTTCTGCTTTTGTTTCCGCCGGTCCCGCACGCTCGTTGCGGGAACTCCGAACAACCGCGATGCGGCCCGATTTCCGTCCGTTTCTGCACACGCGATGACTTTTCTTTTAAAAGCGGCATCGTGGTGCACTCGAGTTTTTGGAGTCGGCCCTTCCACACCGTCGATGCTAATGCACTACTAGATGACGAACTCCTCAGCACACGTACGAAGTGCCACACATGGGAAACACATAGGCAGAAATGGCCGACGCGCCATGCCGACGCACATAGGGGGCGGCCATTTTGGATTTGCCGATGGCAATAGATTGACCGTAATTTTTTTTGTTCGTACTTGATTCTAACGCGCATGCGATTTATGAACTCGCTTAACCGGAAAAAAGGTGTGCGTTAGATTCGAGTAATTACGGTAATATGTGCACGTGAGAAAAATCGCATTTCGCTACAAGCTACGCCCAGATGCTTACGGGTATCTCGTCGCGTTTCTTGTTCGTCAAACGCAGGAATGCGACTGGAGCCTCTTTACCCACCCATCAGACTGAAGCTGGCCAATGCCCTCAGCGCATGGCACCCGAGCGACGGCTCAGCCAAGCTTATTCTGGAACCATGGCGAGGGGTCTTTTCACAGGGCACACTGGAGGCATTTGTTGTTGCCAACATTCTGCCCAAACTGGCACTTGTCCTACAGACCATGCCGATCAACCCACACCAACAGCACTTGGGTGAGTGCAAGCAGGATCTGTCCTCTTTGTCGCTGTTTGTCACATTCTGTGTCTCTCTGGTTCTGTCACAACTATGTTTACTAATTTCATCTCGTTCGTTGCCTCTCCGTTGCATTGTGACCTTGTTTCTTTATCTCATCACATTCTTGGTTTCCCTTTTATGTCATGACCTTGTTTGATTATTTTATCACATTCTTCACTTTCAGGTGACAGTACAGCCATGTCTCATTTTGTCATGCTCTTCATTTCTCTGTGACGTAACAGCAGCATCACATAATCCAATTGCATCACATTTACTTCCCAATTACATTACGACTCTCTTCTCTCATTTCATGGCATTCACTTCCAAATCACGTCACATCCATATCATCTCATGTTGTCTTATTTTTAATTTCTGTGTGATGTCACGGTTCTGTTCTCTCATTTGTTCACCCTTTCCTTGTCCTCGAAATGTCGCAAGTGGATGTTGATGTGAACATCAGTAGAGCACATTTTGTGCTGACTCGTTTGCTCATTTCATCATATTCATTGCCCTTTAATTGTCACTACTGCAACATTGCATGATCACATTGTATCATGTTGCTTACCCTGTTATGTCACGACCGTGTTCACATTTTGTGACATTCGGTACTTGTCGACAATGTGTCGAGTACACCATCGCATCTACTTTTGTGCCGCACTGCTCATTGCTTTGTGACATCACAACCTCGTTTCATCACACTTCGTCATGTCTCTCAGTTTTTTGATAGCAGATTCATGACATGACGTTAATCATGTGACGTTCCTGACGTGACATGAAATCACAAATGTGACTGCTTTTTAGCTGGCCTACTTCCACTTTGTCTTTTCATATGCTTTCATCTTCTATGTTAATGTTGGCAGAATGCAATGGTGATGTTTTTTTTTTCTTTGAAGCCTAATGATATGCTTCCAGGTATGACATTAGAATGCTTGTTGCATGCACTTCAACTCATTTTTAGTTCCTTGATTAGGACTTCGATTACGAATCAGTTTAATTTGAGCCAATCTAACAAATCTTGGTGGAACAAAATTGTGAGCTTGCACAAATTCTTTTTCGGTGACAAAGTGCGCAGCATTAGGGTAATTGCTGGTCGCTCTTGCGACATGCAAGCAATATGTGCTTTCATTTCACTTTATTCATTGAGTCAGTTACTGACCCCACAAGGGGCAATAAATATTTGATACTTCTTTTTTCTGTGAAGCTTGTGGGTATTATTGATATTACTTCTAACGACCTTGTTAACGAACTGTTCACAGATCCGCGTGGCCTAAGAAGTAAGTCCCTATCCGTTTATGGATAAGTGCCAGCATGGTATGGAATTAACTGTTTGGGATAAGGGCTGAAAGCTGCGGCCTATGTGCATGCTGAGAATTTTGTTTTTTGAAAAGACATTTGCGCAGTTGTCATAGTCAAATATGCACATGAATTTCATTGATTTCTTGTAATAGTCCTAGTTTTTTTTTTTTTTTTAAGTGTTAAAGAAATACTTTTGCTGTCGGGTTGGTCATTTCAAAAGGACTTCAGTGTGGCATTATATGCCACAAAAAATATAAACACCTACTGCCTATGTAGCCCCCAATGTACAGTTAGTTGTATCCGCTTGGTGTGATGAAGGATATAGGCACATGTGCTGTCCGCACGGTTTTACAGGGCTGGTCTGGCATTTTGATGTGACTTTAGCATCTCATATAACATGAGCACTCTTAACACTCTTGCTTGCCAAGCATTATTCTTTTACGTTCAGGGAGCATGTGGTGGATGTTCTGCGACTTCAAAAGTATGCAGCGGTGTTTCTTCAGTCGTCCCAGGCAATTGGTGATTGATTTGTGGGGTGTAACGTCCCAAAACCACTATATGATTATGAGAGACGCCGTAGTGGAGGGCTTCGGAAATTTCGACCACCTGGGGTTCTTTAACGTGCACCCAAATCTGAGTACACGGGCCTACAACATTTCCGCCTCCATCGGGAATGCAGCCGCCACAACCGGGATTTGATCCAGCGACCTGCGGGTCAGCAGCTGAGTACCTTAGCCACTAGACCACCGTGGCGGGGCCCCAGGCAATTGGACGTTATCTGGAGATGTCTACGTAGTCTGCAACTTTTCTTTCTCGTTGTGTGTTTTGTGTCACACAGCAATTATACAGTGCTTATTTTCACTTATTATCAGACATCAGCGCTCATTAGGACAGCAGGAAGAGTACATCATTCAACTGGTGCTCTGAAGTCATTGAACAAGGAATGTTGCTGGAGCCAATGTTTGGAGTTGGGGCTTGCCTTTATCATGGGCTGACAGATAACAGTAATTGCTGGAGTTTTATGTCCCAAAACCATGATATGGTTATGAGAGACACCATAGCGAAGAACTTTAGGAGGTTTGACTGCCTGGGGTTCTCTAACGTGCATCTAAATCTAAGAATGCCGTCCTCTAGCCTATCCGCCTCCATCAAAGTGCAGCCGTAAGATTTAGGATACCATTCCGCAACCTTTCGATCAGAATTCGGGCACCATAACCAAGCGGTCAATGCGGCGAAGCTGTGGGGGTGGGGAAGACAAAGGAGGGTCCCATTGGCGAAAAGTTGGCTTCATTGACATTTCTTCTTTTGATGGTTCTTTGTCTATTCAAGCCTCCGTCCTCCCGTAAACTCTTGTCTTGTTTTATTCAGTGAATCGGTCACTCCCACCGTCCCATTGTGTCACAACCGGTCTTGTTGCGCAGACGTCTGGCAGTGGGTGATGGCATGGGAGGACCTCTGCCCAGCGTCCAGCATGGCCACTCTGCTGGAGAAGACTTTCTTCCCCCAGTGGCTGCAGGTGCTGGCGGGATGGCTGCAGCACAACCCGAACTATCAGGAGATCTCCAAGTGGTACACAGGCTGGAAGTCCCTCTTCTCCGATGCCCTGCTGCAGCAGACCTGCGTGCGCGGTCAGTCTGGCGACTATTTTTATTTTAACAGGTTTAAATGTAGGTAGGATGATGGAAATTGAAATGAGTTGAATTGGATAAAAAATGTTTGGTTCATTTTAATTAATTTAAATTTATGCCCCAATTAGTACACTGAAGTTAAAGAATACTTTGATTGTCATCTATGCTATCCCTGGCCTAATTGCCTGTTCAACTCATCGGGTGATGTCTAACATATTAACGAGCCCCATGGAAGAAGTTTATTCTTTTTTGTTCAAATACTTTATTCTCATGCATATTAATGGTAGTACAACATATATTTCTGCTCAGATTCATAATGTACGATTGGAAGATTTAGGGTTTTCAAGCGCGAGACTACCATTTTCTATGCATAAAGCATTACTGCACAAGCGTCTTTCGTTCATCTTTGTAGAACTTTGCACAAATAGTTGGCAGGTTCAATTCTTTGACACTTTCAGCTGGCTCCATACTTGACCCAGGTGAACTTAGTGGCACTAAGAAGGCTGCTGTTACTGCTCTGGCTTACATTTTTTTCGCCACAGTATTTGTAACGATTAAGTGATTTCTCCAGCTGCAAGAAGTTCACGGTCATCTCTCCAAAATTCTGAGAGCCTTTGTCCTCTGGCCACTGTTTTACGCAGAGCAATTCAAGGTGGCACTGGACATGATGAATCGTGCTGTGTCGGGCCTGCCAGTAGTGCCACCCATTCCCGGAGGTGGGCCGCAGGCACCACCAGGGCTCTTGGGATACAGGCCAGCACCGCCACCATCACAGCACATGCCTCAGGAAGCTACTGGCGGACGACCGGAGTACAGTGTAAGTGTATATGTGGGACTAAAATACAGTGCGTGTTCTGTATGTAGCTTGCTGCCACTACCATCTGTGTAAAACTACTGCTCAAAGCCTCTCAAGCATAGCAAAGTACTGTGTCCTATCACGTCCTTTGTTGCACTTGCTGAATTTGAAGATGAATGCATACTTTCACATGGTTGTGACTGTAAAGGTAGTTGTGACAGCGTGTCATTGTCAAGGTTTCCCGTGCACTGTATATGACGCATACCGAGGTAAACCATGCATGGCTAGGTGTTCCAAATGGACGTCGAATAAACTTCTCGTTTTACCTTGTCACAGCCTGTGACAACATTCGTTTGCAGGACTCGAATACAGTGAATGTTTCTTAGGTGGCTGGCTGTCACTGACTTTTTGTGAGAAACTAGATTTTACATTTGAGCGTCTTTCCTGTCAAGTGCTTTCCTTCCTTCTACCTTGTGCGCTCATGTATTTACACATTGACTGGTGTCCTGTTTGTTCTTGTATCCTGCCCTTTGGTACACTTTGTAAGTTATAAGGCGAATGCATATTTTGTCACATGATTGTGACAGTGAGGGTGGTTGTGACAATGGTCTTGATGGTGTGTCATTATTAAGGTGTGCCGTGCTCTGTATTTAATGCATACTTCAGGGTATTTCAAATTAATGTGAGGTGAACTTCTTTTTAAAAAAGGAAATTGTAGAATCAATTGCCCATGTGGTCTGATGTGCTCAACACTGACCTCCTTGTTGCTTTGCAGCACATGCAGACGATACGAACTTCTACCACTCCAGCCAATGCGCAGATGACCTTCAAAGAGCTAATCGAGCAAAGAGTGAGTCTACGTTTCTCTGGTCACATCTCTTACACTGTGTTACACTGTCTAGGATATACCAATCATTTTCATATGAGAAGCGGACATTTTGATTTCAAAATAAAACAGTTTTCAAGTTCAGCCTAGTGAACTACATATAGTATACTGAAGAGTTTCTGTCATCTTTTACACATTACGAAGCACTTGATCAGAACACAAATTGTGCATTAGGAGCAAATAAGCAGTTTAGCTATGCAATCTTTGTGGTGAGAGCGAATGAGAAACATTTGCCGAAAGGTCAGTAAAACCCAGGACAAAGCTTAGTCACATCTGTGAATTGCCCATCGTTCACGTGCAGGCTGAAGCTATTGCAAACAATCGTTTGCTGTTTTCTTGCTTAAGTAGAATGGTTCAATAGTGCATCCACACAGCTCTTGATGTCTTTCTCTTTTTAATAAGTTGGGCGGCATCCTCCAGCTGTTGTCGTAAGTGAGGTGAAAGTTCGCGTGTTTGCTCTTGGCATTTCCAGGCCCAAGAGAAGAACCTTCTGTTTGTTCCCATGGCACACCGATTTCAAGAGGGCAAACAGGTCTACCGGCTCGGCCATGTTATGCTGTACCTCGATCGAAATGTCATCTTCGTCTTCAACGGCAAGACGTGGGTGCCCACTTCCCTCCAGTCCCTGCTGGACATGGCGGGTTGACCCTCTCTCATGCAGCCCCTTGCGTCACAGTCGTGACGTTGTGTTGGAGCAGTGAATAACCCTGGGTCGAATCCTTTGTTGCTAGCTTTCATTCCGTAACAGTATGCCCACCAAGATCAGCATTGCGGCTGGTGCCGACACCAAAAAGACGGCGCGCTCGCAACGACCAGGGACATACCTAAGTCCGGTTCTTGTAAAAGTTCCACCAGGATAAAGACGAATATCGGGAATGGTGGCAGCATTCGCTTAGTCTCCCACTGCGGTTATTTGGTTGAGTTAAGCTCATCAACATCGTCACGATGACCCCCGCATTAGGTGTTGTGTGTGACGGGGTTTTTAAATGCTCGTGGCGGTAGGTTCTATCGTCACGCCTGTTTTCGGTCAATTGATAGTATGTGCGGTTTCACGTCCCAAAACCACCATATGATTATGGTGGTTTTGGCATGTTAAACGCGTTTTTCCTGACGCACTGAAGTTGAAAGTTGCTTTACTGCACATTTCGTGATGCCACATTATTATTCAATTAAAGCTGAATGGAAAGGTACAGTCATTTCTTCTGAACAACCTGGGACGTTCTCGTGACAATACCTGCGTGATGTTGTTATTTTCACAAAATCCACCTTTACCGAAAAATCCGTGCATGAAACACTACCCTGGTTATACAATATCACAATTTGGCTCACACATTACTTTTAATGAACTTCAAAGCTCTTTGTGATAAATCAGGTTTGAGTAAACCACACGTACTGCTTAATTTTATTTTTTTCACTTGTGGCACACTTCGTGTATGCATGACACGAAAGACGAGGAATATCAGTCTTGTCAAACTCACTGCTGGAAAGCCTTATTTCAAACATCGACTAGGCAACGTACCGGTGGTATACATGAATGTGTGACGTGTACCAGCAATTTTAGTTATGTGATCACTTTGCTCTCAATACAGGCCTTGCACAGCGCAAGACCCATTTACATGGTGTATTGTGGCGATATTGAGGGTTACGATTGTCTTCTTACTAATGAACTATGGTTGTGCTGTTATCAGCAGGGGTTTTACTGAACCGCCCCGAGTTATTTAGAACATGCTGGTGGAAATTCGCTCTTATCAGTTGAAAAGGTGCTACAAAAGACATTTGATGCCTGCGACTGCAAGAGATCCGTGTACATAAAAGCAGCAATCATTTGTTATCACGTTTTATTACGCATCGTAGCATTCGAAAACCATTTTATTCAACATGGTGGAAGTGGTGGCGCAACTCCAGATGGAGTGCTGAGATTGCAAAAATTTTTGTAACTCGGTCCATGCTTCTCTTGCTGAGCTCCTTGTAAATAAATCTTTTCTTTGGTGCATTGTTACCCTTCTTATTTACCATGTAGCACATGCTTTTTAAATGCATTTTGGCAAGGTTGCTTTTGTAGCTGGTCTCTGTGCGAGACCAGCTACAAAACATTTGTGTTGCTACATACATTTGTGTTGGCAACGCTAATACATTGCAGCACTTGCCATGGCATCTTGCGCAGCAGCTGCAAAGTTGCAGTCTCATTTGTGACAAACTTGATATGCAGCTGCACAGGAATTACATTTTTGGTGGCACAGCGCCACGAATCCTTCCGTCCGACTATGCCAACATGTCTTCCGGTCCAAATACCACCAGCGAATACACTCGAACCTTATTATAACATTCACACCTGCCATGAAAATACTTTGTTAGAGCCGAAAATGTGTTATAAACACACAATTGTGGCACTGTATCTATGACAGAGCTTTTTAACACGATAGCGTTAAAGAGCCTGTTTTGCAGAAATTTCGGCGTCGTTGATTGTGAACGAAAAATCATCTAATGGGTGACCGACAAATTTAGAACAATGAAAATAAAATAAAAAAATCTGGGTCAGAATAGGGATCTAACCTGGGTCAATTGCGTGGCAAGTGGATGTTCTACCACACAGCCATGCATCTGCTTGTGAATACAGTGAAAATAACTTCCTCTGCTTGGAAATGCAGTGAATGCAACTCATACTTTACATACGTGCCCTGTATACCCGATTCACAGTACACCACGAGATATTGCAGTAATATTGCATGGTACAAGCGTACATTTCTATCAGGTGTCAGAACATGTAATTATTATGACGACTTCAAAAGAGGCACACATGTTACTGCACCTATTTTCTTAAGGCCACGTGGTTGATTCATGGCAAGTTCAAAAAGATTTCATGCACCTAGTGTTCGGAGTACGCACTAGGGACAGGATGACGTCGCGTTCAGCTTTAAAGGCGGAACTTCAGGGTCCTGCATTTTTTTATTGACATCATTATATACAATAATTTGTTATATCCAGGTTATGTAGGTTTCAGTGTACAACTTACCTTTGTGCTTAGCGAGTCCTTTGGCACTGCCTTAACCAGAACAAGAGATTTATGGGTTGCATTCATTGCACCAAGACTGCTGTGCCCTCTTAATTACGATGGGTCGTTTTGCTCTGCGGTTTTGTCAATGCATTGCATGTGCAGGTTCCCACAGTAAGTGGGCCTGCAGTCATAAGTATGAACAGAGCTAGGGACATTCTTATTGGGATACAAGACTCTCGCACCTCCGAAGTTTTATTGCAATAGCAATTATATGGACTCACGGCTGAATTTTGCCGCCGGCATCCCCGCCATTCACCATATGTGTATTCATGAAAACACAAAAAATAATTTTAAAAAACACTCCGGCGCGCGGAATCAAACGCCTGAACTTTTGCTTGTCAGTGCAAAGCGTTAGCCACTGAGCCACGAAGGAGCACCTCCTTCAACATTGAAACGGCAAGCTATTTATATTTGCCACTTACCGCTGGCGATCTTGGGGGAACTATCATGTTTTCAGCATTACCAGCGGGATGTGTGTGCAACTATCACACGACGCCAGATCGGCACGACGCAGCGATGCACGCTGATGCGTCTACGCGTACTTTGCCCCGCGAAAGGGTGGGGGTGGATGCTCATGCGTGCGTGCGCTCATCTCGTAATGGGTAGAATCGTACGCCTTGGGCTTTCACTGGAACGATTCTGTTGTAGTTGCCGGGCGCACAAAGGTCACTGCCTTCGTTGCACAGTCTCCATTTGCGAAAAGGCACGCTTTTCAGACACGGCAAAGTAATAACTGAGACGCCTATTCACGTTCAACTGCGCCTCCCGAGTACCTTTCATGCGTCAATTGTGCGTGAGATACGCCGGGCACGTTTCGATGTGCTTGCCATTGTCAGCGTGACCTTCCTATTTGTTGCTTTCGCATTCATTGCTTCGCCTTTGCGACAAAGCTGCGACACTTTTTTAAAAAGTAATACCTTCGTGCAAAACTTGGATAAAGCAGTTTTATTATATATTACAGCAAGTATGCAAGCGATTGCAAAACAACTGTGGAGGATGCATTACATTTGAATCATTGCTGTCCATTAGTGAGCTTACTAGTGGTACATCTGTGCTTTTTTTTTTTTTTTCAATGTTGAAAACAAGGTGTGGCAGGTCAGCTCAACATGTGTACCAAAGGCTATGTTTTGAAGCTCATGCTTGCTTGTAGCCAGATTCATCTTGTAAAATTGAATTGAAAAAGCTTGTGGATGGCACAGGCAGCCACCTAATTGCTGCACCAGTATAAGCTTTTTAACTGGAATGTGGCTAGTTTACAGCGCAATACTGTTCAAAGCAGTCTAAGTTCTAATATTAATTTTCGTTTGCTTGCAGCAGGAACAGTTCTTAAAAGAACACCGTTTTAATATTAATTTTTGTTTTCACGCAGTAGTAACAGTTATGCCGAATTTCTATCAGTTTGCATAGTAAGAAATTTAGAAAATTTACGTAAGCACTCGCAGTGCCCATACTTTCACTTTCAGAGCTTGTGCACTGCAACACCTAGCTCATGAAATTTTGTGAGGTCCTATTTCTTACAATAACATAACATAGAAACGTAAAGTGTGATTTTGGCAGTCAGTAGCACCATTCCCCCACTGATTTTTCTTCTCAGCTTCCAAGCTTGAACACTGGCTGACTATTACTAAAGATCAGGCAAGCAGTCATAGACCAGCATTATGCTCTCTCCTACTGGAGGCATTAAGGTGGAAGTACGCTTCTTTTGTTTCTTTGTTTGAAGACCACAACAGCATCCTCGGCAAACGAACGTAATTTTTTTTTTATACAAGACTTAAAAAACACATTTTGCGCAGTTCCCTCTAGCCAAAGTCAGGCGCAGCGTCTATTCTCTTCGCAAGTTTTCGAGTCTAGCCTGGAGATCAGCATCGGCGTCGCTGACGGCAGCAGGTGTGGCCGCCTTGCCCTTTTGTGCGGCCGCACTCAGCGATCCGCCGGCTTCTGGAAGATCTGTCAGCTTTTCGGAAAGCTGGAGACCCAGTTCGTCCAAGACCTCGTTCACAATGGCATCACTAGAAAAAATATGGAAGAATTGTTCATTGTTTATTCAGCTTACCAATTACTGAAGTTTATGTTCACCAAATAACAAGATTTGGATGGCGGTAGCAATCCCGACTTGCATATGAATCGGCACAGTCATCGTACTGTGTCGTAAAGCAATAAAATCTTATTAGCGAACACAAAATTTCTAAAGATAGTTCATGGGCAAACGTGACAGAGACCTCATTTGTGACCAGTCCTCGAGAAAATTGCCTCATACAGCAGCCATTTGGTTCATGAGATCCAAACCGCAATATAACTAACTGATTATTTGCTAAAGACGAATTTGCTAATTGTAGCTGGGTGAAACTGCAAGACGTGCCACCTTTGAAGGAAGTTTCACGGGGGACGCTGATTTCGAAAACGTCCATTCCCAAAGTGTGCAATGAAATACACGGGCCTCACATTTGTTAAATGCCCACATATGGCATTTCTTGTAAGAAACTGGTACAACAGAAAATTTTTACTGTCAGTTTGATGGTGCACACCTCAGAACTTTCGCCTCTCGGGCTTCATATCAAGTGGATATACCTGAAAAATTTTGAGCCTGAAATCGTCAACTGCAATAAGCGCTCTTTCTGTCTACCCTGTCTTTTTTTCTTTGTTCGCAGCGCTCTTTCTGTCTACCCTGTCCTTTTTCCTTTGTTTGCAGCACTCTTTCTGTCTACCCTGTCCTTTTTCCTTTGTTCTCGCGCTGAAACATCTTGCAAATATGACTACGCACCAACTAGCCCGAGCTTCCACTATTGTGCAATACGTGTACCACAAGACAAGCAACTTTTGTTGAGTTTACGAGCGATAAATTTTAATTACATTAATAACAATATCCAGGGTTCTACGTCCTGAAACCACAATATGATTTGATTATGAGAGACGCTGCAATGAAGGACTCCAGAACCTTTGACCATCTGGCGTTCTTTAATGTGCACTGACATCTCGCGGTACACCGGTCTCTACCATTTCACCTCCACCGAAATGCGACCGCCATGACTCGGATCGAACCCCCAACCTTTGGGCCAGCAGCCGAGCATCGCCGCCACTGGTCCACCGCGGTGGACAGCTTTAATTAAATCAGCCAATTATTAATTCAATCTTTTGCTTGTGTAAAATCTATCACTTCGAGTAACTGAGCCCAAGAACATTTAATAATGCCATCTGCTGCAAATTTTAGAAAATCCTGTATTGTCTAGAAAAGATAAAAAACAGTATAAAAGGGAAGATAGCAGCTTGCGATGAAAATCTGTATAAGGGGCTGTGGCGCGCCAACGTTTCTACAAGCGGACTTGTCCTCCTCAAGGCCAGAAGAGACATAGAGTTTCCTGAATATTCATTAGAGGGAACTCTGGCGCTAGTGTCTATAGGAGCTGCAAAGCATGGCGCTTCAGCGATCATGGGAATTATGGGTATGATACAGATTTGCCTAGTCTTCGCACTTTACATTCGTTCTGACCACGTGTGGGTTGAAGCTGCTTTCTCCCGAAACAATTGGCAAATCTTCGGCAGTTACGCTACACCACCTTAAAGGGGCCCTGCAACACTTTTTGAGCTTGGTCAGAAATCGCTGCCGATCGATAGAAGAGGCTCACGACAACACACGAGCCAAATAACACAGCACGTGGCCTGGAATTCACAAGTTATCAAAGTCCGCTAAAGATAGCTTTCTCTTCTCTCGACAAATCACAGAAAATAAGCCCAGTAAGCCCATCTATCAGCTATTGGCTGATTCGAACATGGCCAGCTTGGTTATTACAAAGATCACCGCAAGAAACCGTCACTTGTCCACGCGCGCGCGATCCCACTGAAAAAGCAGCGCATTCTAATAAAAAAAAGAAAGAAAAAAATTATCAAGGTCAAAAGGCACAAGTAACGCTTTTTGTCCTCCGCCCCCCCCCCCCCCCCCCCCCCTGCTCAGCTTCCAGAGCTTTCGTCGGGACGAGAGAATGTGATTGCAGCGTGTGACAAATCTTTGTAACTCCACTCGCACTGGGCGGATTCTTAAAATTTTCGCGGCGTTCAATTTGTGAGGTAATACACTTTTCCAGTGAATTAATTCCATGGTTATTCAAAAAAGTGTTTCAGGGCCTCCTTAATCTTTTAAACTTACCACTTAAAATTGGGTCATGCAGTTTAAAAGGGTTCATTCTTTCATCCGAAACACAGCAATAAATGAAGCCACAAGTGTGATTCGCCGTCTGCAAGAACAAAGACTAGGCGAACCCATGCCATACCCATAATCCCAAGGTCGCTGAACGATCAAAGCCCCAGAGTCCCCTCTGGGTAACTTTGTGGAACTCTACGCATTACAGCACATTACAAGCACGAAAAGACATGTAACCAGTCACTTGCCTCTCCTCCTCATCTTCATCATCGCCCATTGCGTCGTCGATGGCATCGTTCATCATCTCCTCTTTCATGTCCATAATTTCAGACTGCTTCTCGAACTCCTGCATTATCTTCTGTATCTGTGGCAGGTTCAGCTGCAAGCACAGAAAATCGCGACTCGAGTCACACCACCCATTCGTCACAATGGCCGCGGCATTACCCGTCACAAATGGCAAATGTAACGGAAGTCACATCTTTCTCTGGTCACAAAGTGAATGGTTCACGGCACACTGAGAACCTGAAGAACTTGATTAAAACATCTTTGCTCCTTTTGTATCTAATCAAAACATGCTTCATTACTGATGACGCCACATGCGCCAGGCAGTTGCATAGGGGTTAGAGAAGAAGTACAATGGCATGCTAGATTGTTGATTCTCTTTACTTAAAGAAGAAATCTGTTGTTACCATGCTGACTGGCATATGAATAAAGTTACTTTTATTAATAATAATGAGCATGCATGCGATAACCATTCTTAATGACTACTTCAAAGTTGGGCTAAGCTGAAAAAGAAACCCAAATTCGCACCCAACTACGGACACAAATTGCCTCTGTTAGCCCACGATATTGACAGCTCTTTTTGGCAACACGTAGGAGAGCACGACCCTAGGTTGTCAACAGACAGTCATTAAATTACTCGGATGTTCTCAGTTGATTGCATTGTGCCCCCTCCCGAAGTTTTGAGTGTTTCAGGGTCCCAAGCAATGACATCACATGACCGCACATCATTGATGACTTCAGAGCATGATGTCAGGCGATGTAATTGTGGTACTATTTGTCTTGTCAAAACTGTACTTTTGGACTCATTGGACATAGAAGGCACTCACCATATTGAACATAGACCTTTTAAGCATGAGTCTCAGAATGCATTGCTTTCACAGAATTACCGTGTTAAAGTCATGCGACTGACATGCACAAACTGACCTGTTTGTTCATGCTCTGCATGGCACGCGTGACGCCTCGCATGGCTTGTGCCATGGCATTCTGCGAGCGAAGTGTCTGGATCTTCAGCGAGACCGCCTGGATGTTGGCCCGCATCAGGATGAACTTTTTCACTTGCCGCCGTGTCCGAACCAAATCCCGCGCCATGATCTTCACGGCGTCCTGCACGAAATGAACCGTTTCTAGTGACCAGTGCTACCCTTACTAGCATTGAACACAATTGAAGTTGGCAGTTGTGTAGGCGTAGCTTACTTGTGGAGTCAAGTTCTAATGTGTGTAGCGTAAAACAAGAACAACAAAAAAAAAAGCCAAGAATGCGAACTGCTTTTGAGACTATGTACTGTAATTGCATGATTATAACTCCCCTTTTGTTGTGGCGCTGTAGTAATTTTGTATTACGAAAAATGAAAAAGCCCCTTCACTCTTATTTTGTGTTTGAGCCCAAATATAGGGCACACACAAATTGGAGGGCAACATCTAGAGAAAAAAGTGTGGATAAGAATGATGCAAATATGTTAGTCATCTGCATATGGCATCATCCAATGAGTAGCATCTATAACTGTGTGATGTGTTCATATCTTTGCCTTCTAACAATAGAATATTGGTCATCTTTCTAGTTTTTGAACCTTTGTTTCGTGTCTTTTGCCATGCAGTACGAGATGGCCTTCATTATTATAACTGGTTAATTCACTTTCATTTACAAGGCTAGACTATGCAAGGCATTTTAGCATCAGCGCACGAAGCATGCCGAATGGAATAACAAGGTACATTGCCATGCCTGTTGGTGTGGGCATATAAACATAGAACTGGTGAAAATTCAACTAAACAGGAAAAAGCACAAAGGCAAGGCACTGTTCCTTTGTGGCCCACAAAATTGAGTGCTGAAAGCACATTCACTGCCGCAATATGCTGAAGAAACTTCCTTACGGCCAACAGGATCAACGAAGTGAAACTTTGTGTGAAAGCTGCACGCGATGTAATGGTAAGCAGGTATAATGCATCGATCTTCAAAACTTCTCAAACGCTGCCCACCATCTGATTGTCCTTGGCCATTTTCTTAATGTCCATGATGATCTTCTTTTCCTGCTGTTCCATTTTTACGCGCTCTCTGTCCAGGTCACGCATGGCTTTATTGAGAGCCCGCTGGTTTTGCCGAAGCATCTCCTCTGGCGACTTCTTGCGACCAAAAAGCCACTCCATGTTTTCTTTTTAAACTGCAAAAAAAAAAAAAAATCGTAAAAGACAGGATGTTAGGATCCTATGATGAATGCAACACAGATCTGACGGCTCTAGAGACACTCCAGTCGTTTAGCATCAAGGTACATTTGTCAACACTTTCGAGTAATACGGCGATGATTAGGGCCACGGGAATTTGCATTTCTAACTTAGAAACCACGGTAGCACATTCAGCTCTGAAAGTGTTTCAACAATACGAAACCTGCGTCTCCTTAGTTTCCAGTGCACACAAAAAAAAAAAACCAACCATTCGTACACGTAGAATGAGGAAGACTGCTCAAGGTATTGCTAAAGCATTACCCCGCAATCCGCCCACGCTAATAAAACTAAATAACCAGCGCATAACGCCGTGAAAGTTGTACTGCTGTCACGAAAGCCGAACAAGAAGCAATGCGGGCAATGAGCGTGGTCGACGAACGACTTTGCACCTCCGGCTCTTAGCTTAACGTGATCTGATGTCCGAGGACGTTCGCACAAAACGATTGCTGCGTCGTGACAGCTTCAGTTCAGCTTAAAAAAACCGCAGTATAAGTTGCGCGATATGTGACTCACAGGGACGAGCTCTTGCTTGCCTTGCCCACAAGATGATTACGCTATCGATACGGCGCGAAGAGTACGGACAACTTTCGGTTGTGCATCGGGTTGGCAACCGCCATACTTGGGGGGCATCCATGCTTGGGGTGGTTTTTCGCAAGCTCACCGTGGCTAGAATACTGCACGTATGCTTCAGTGGAGTGAAAGAATTAAGTCAATGTTTGTGTGTAATTATGTTATACGGGTTTTAGTATGATCGTCCCATGTCGATAACGACAGCATCTACGTAGTTTGGCCATTGTGAATAGGTTGACTGGACCAACTGGACACGGTGAATGTCAAGTTTAGTGAATGTATGAATGAACAACTTTATTTTTCTTTTGTCAAGGGGGCAATAGAACAGAGGGTGACGCAGAGGAACTAGGAGGATGGACAAGGGGTAATATATGCGGGCATCTGTGCAGAGACCAAAATCAACATCACGTGCAGAACTCGGCTCCCAAATTCAATCCTGTAATGATTGCATAAATATCAGTGACAAAACCCTCTCATTTTGTGCAATTGCAGATGAACGAGTACGTGCTCTGTTGAACAGAGCGCTCATAGCCTATTACATGTCATTGTCATATGTTTTATCGTAAAATACACGAGACAAACAACATCGTTATCTCATCAGAGTGCAATTCGCGCCAAAACTTTACCCGCCATTTTTTTTTTCCCGGCGTTGAACGAAACCTTGACGTGTATGTGGTACTAGAAGAAGCGTGCGAAAGAAGGAAAAAATAAAAGGCGAAAGTTCCATTCCTGTCGTAACCTTCTGTGTTCCCGTGAACCAATTTTGTGCCAAAAACATTGTGCGAGCGACATTCGCTGCTGCTGGCTGCCATCTTGGAGGGTCTGTGGTGCTCCGCTTTCAACGCCAAGACAGCTGACATGATGTTCGGCTGCGAACGGACCGTTAATTCAGCGTGCCCACAACGCTCGCCCAAGAGCTCGTCCCATCGGAGCCTCGCTGTCGGCGCCCTACGACTGTAACGTTTTTAGGAACCCCCCTAAACCTTGTAAGCAGGTTGAGAAAAAAAAGAAGTCAACCGCCGCTGTTCGGATGCAAGGCACAGTTCAGAAGTCACTCTCGCACGCTGAATCGCCGTAGGCCTGTCAAAACTCAACTAATCGCTTAATCACCATCCGCCGTTGTCTTTTGAAAGCTGCAGCATCGGAGAGCCCGTCATTTAAAAAAAAAACGTGGTGACCACAGTGGACTGAAGTGACCAGCGAACACCGCTGTTCTGTGCGTGCGTTAGTGTTTGTGATTTGTTTTTCTTCTTCTGCTTCTTCCAATTGCGCCCATTTCTTAGTCTTGTCTCGTTAGGTCGAGTGTGAACGGCTGTTTTTGTAGGCCTAAAAACTATTAAGCAGAAAAAGACAGGGTGCGCTGAGGAAGTGGCGGTGGCAGTGTGTTTTTTGACGTCTCGTGGCTTTCTGAGCCCCAGCGGTGCACCTACACGAGTACTTTTGTGACTGTGGGGGTGATGTGTTTCGTGAACTCTCGGTGAGAACGCTGTCAACGCTGCCAAAGAAACGTTTCGAAAGGAAGAGTGCGCTGTTTCCTCCGAACTTGCTCGGACAGGTCTGACGCTTTTGGTGCTAAATCGTCAAGCGCGCTTGAACCTCGACCGTTTCTCGCGATGCATCGAAACGGGATCGGTCCTTCGCCTTGGGGTTGAAAGAAGAAAATAAACATAAAAATCGGAGCGACAGCCTTCACAGACCGAGAGGAGAATCGGTAGAAGAGTGCGCCGTGGTGTAGAACCCCTCCGATCCTCGGCAGGTATTACGGAAGCAACCTTTTCCCAAAGACAGGTAAGCCCGCGACCGTTTTTTTACCTTCTTTCCTTCTCATTACAACGCTACTAAAACGTGTGCCCCGCGCGTGAGTCCTCTTATCTTGCCCTTCTTCCCACCCCCGTAATCTTATCGCGGTATGCCAACTTTCGGTGCTGTCGCAAGAGACCTCCCCTCTAAACCACCGCTTCAGTCGCTGTTGTTTCTAGCCCCCGGTGGCTGACGAAATGACATCATCGGTGACACCCTCCAAACGTTGCGTATTCAAAGCTGAATTAGCCGAGCCTGGTTTTATTGCCGGGCAGCGTGGTTGACGCCTTCGCCAACCAGTTCTCGTTAACGCGCGTTGGGCCCGCATTTCTTATCGGCGTTAGCGTAGCGCAGCGTAAAATGGGCAGCGCACCGCCCCCAATTCGCTTCGATTTAGGAGAGACGCTGTCGAGGAAACGTCGTGCCTAGAATGTGGAAGGCGGCCGCTGCTCTAGTGACCAACGAACTTAAGAGCTCCTGCCCGTCTGTGGCTAGAGGTGGGTTGACAGGAGGAGTTGTTGTGGTTTCTTTCGGTCCGGATGAATGATTCTACGAAGTCGGCCTCGGCGTGCGCTGGCGACTTGTTTTGGTTTTTCAGGGGCGCATTTTCGTTAGCCATGCTGTCATTAGATTACACGGATCATTACTTCAGTGGTTTGTTGCCACTGCACAGGTGTCAAATGATATCCCCTTGTGTACATACTTAACGAAGATGGGCAGTTTTAGAATAGGGTAACACTATGGTAGCTTTTGTTGGATGTGCGTGCGATTCTTGTCGCTCAGCATTGGTACACATAAGGATAGCGTGCAACGCATGTGTTGCTGTGACAAACACTGACCCAAAACTCGGCAAACACTGCCCTAAATTTTATAATACAAAGCAAATCCCATAATACCATACCCAATGAATGATACCTTTGCATATGGTGTTGTTAAATTACCTCTTGTTGTATTAAGGGGACTGGGGGACACCGGTGTCAAAATGAATGCCCCTACAGAGTGTCACGAATGGCTGAAATTGTGTTCCCAATGTGCATCGATTACTGTCGCGCAAAACTGTGCTTGAATACCTAGCCTCAAACTACCACGGATAATTTGGACCAATGCCAGACATGCCTTATCAGACCTTGCGGAGTCCTGCGACAGTAGGCATATTTAACTTGTTGAGGAAAGGCTGTGCCCTTATGGTTAGGTGACGCACCTAGTCGAAACGATGTAACCAACATGGACGTTTTGGCTTCATCTTCGTTTGCATGTTGAAGCCGTCACCATGTTCTGGAAGTTCAACCTGATCACCACATCCCATGTGGAAACGCTGCTCAGCAAAGAGGTTTGTGTTCACTTTTTCTAATGTTCTAGCTTTAAAGTTGGAATATTTTCTTTAAAAACCTTTTTTGACAGTAAAAGGGTTAACGTAGTGTGATGCTTTCATGATGCACTTGCTGTATGGAAGATCTCTTTGCAGGGACAACAGTGAAGTTTTGTGTATGTCTTTTGTTGTTGTCTGCTAGCGTTGCTTTTGAAAAACCAATAGTGTTTGTGTGTGCACATGTGACATTTCTCGTTAAATGGGCAATCCTAACCAAAGTTAACTATTATCGTTAAACATGTTTCGTGAGGTTGCACAATAGGCCAAGCAACAGTTAGTATGCCAATTGTGGTTGACCACTAACTTTACTTTCCAAGTGGGTAAAGAATAGTGGAATGTTTGTCACCTGAGAGCATCGTAAGCCCTTTAAAGTCTGTGGTACTATTGCCAAAAAAAATAACACAAGAAGGTAATGAGTCGTGATGCACATAACGAAGTGTGAACACAAATGATCGCATGGGATGTCGTGTAGTTAACCTGTGTAGCTCTGGCCCTGAAGCTGGCATTAACTGTGGTTGAGCAATTTAAACGACTGTTGAGTTTAACCATTCTTAATTGCTTATGTTAATGGACATTGTGATGCACTGGTACAAATATTTTTATTATAATGGCAAAGCTGTCTTGGCACACAGTTGCATGTCACCTAGGGTATGTGGCTTGAAACGGCCTTTCGACAGTAATGTTTTCACACGCTGCATACTTATCGTGGAATCTGTATAATGCACGCATGATCTACAGTGCTCACGGTCTTTTTCATATCATGATTGGCATCTGTAATCGCTTGAAATAACTGCAGTATGTTGTTACAGATTTTACTAAAGTTGATGTTGCCTGTGATTGAAGTGTTAGTCAGAATTATATAAGTATGATGCAAAGCGAAGACTGTTGAAGTAAAACTATGTGTGCAACGTAGGTGTAAGGTGTCGCATTTCCATTTGGTCACACTGTAAAGTTCATACTACAAGTTTACAGACCCATAGGTATAAGTAAACTTCAAATTTTCTGGTAATTTATGACTTGTTTTGCCCAAACTACACAGTACATGGAAAAATGTTGTAGGCCATGCTGGAAATCTAAATTAAAGGAGTACTGGCACGAGCTTTAAACATTGATTGATTGATATGTGGGGTTTAACATCCCAAAACCACCGTATGATTATGAAAGACGCCGTAGTGGAAGTCTCTGGGAATTTCGACCACCTCGGGTTCATTGACGTGTGCCCAAATCTGACCACATGGGTGTACAGCATTTTTGCCTCCATCGAAAATGCAGCCGTCGCAGCTGGGATTCGATCTCGCAACCTGCGGGTCAGCAGCTGAGTACCTTAGCCACTAGACCACCGCGGCGAGGCACGAGCTTTAAACATGAAATGAAATCTTTGTTTCTCTTCAGAATGCATAAGGATAGAACGGACGCAAGGATTAAAGTGACATACAGCAGTTTCAGAAAAACCCCATTGTGCCCCATAGTGTGGCGTAAAAGCAGATGAACTTAACAAGCGTAAAAAAAAAATCTAGTATGCTCGGATTGTTGCTTTAAATAAAAACACTGGTGTTGAGACCCCTAAGAAGGGTACTTCGCTTCCTGGGAATGATTCGAATATATTTTCAACACCGCCTAAAAAAAGACTTTTGATTTTGATATTGAGGGGGCTGCTTTTCCTTGACGTGTCATGGCAGCGTGATGTTGCGGTGAGACAGCAGCTTGCGAAATACTGGTGGCAGATCTGTCATCTGCTTGAGATGCACATCAAAAAAGATGAGTGAATCATTGCTTGCGACACCGACAGTGATTTCTTCGATTTACAGGGCATGTATGATGCAGAGTTCGCAAACGCTGCGGGACTGTGTCGACTTGTCGGGATAATATCCATTGCGGTGGGAACAGCTGGTAGATGCTCATTTAGTCAAATTTTAAAAACCAAGCTAAAATATTTGATAGCTGTTTTCTGTCTATGGTGTGAGGAGGCCGTTAAAACTGCTTACCAAGATAGGAAAATTAGTCCCTTTGTGATGTCTCAAGGCCGTGTCAGTACCCTTTTTAATGCTGCCTGCCGAAGCAGCGAAGGAAAGAGGTGCAACTTTAAAGGCTACCACTTTTGTGTTACTCCTCTTTTCTACGCCTTTAAAGGTGAAGGAAAGAGGTTTAGCATGAAATTGGTGAATTAACAGACAATGAGGCCGAGGAAGATGTAGGGCATGTTGTAACAAGTAACTGTTATGCAAATGGGAAAGAAAAGTGGATGAAAAGATAGCGCCGTTGGCAGGGGGACAGAACCTGCTACCTTCGAGTATCGCTTCGGGCGCTCTACCATTAAGCTACAGTAGTGCTCACCCCTCCGTCCACTTTATATGCATATATGTGTATTGCATAGATGGATGAATGGATTGATGAGGCTGTACCCTTTAGATCGGACGGTGGCTGACGCCACCTATCCGTAATTTAAACATGAGAGCAGCGCCGCCAGTGGCCATTATGAAAAGTGTGGAAACATGTTTTTTGCCTATTGGCGTCATGTAGCATGTGATCATATTACGAGCTGGGCCCGCAGCTGACCATTTATAACAAGGTTCTAGTTCTACCAGACGTGGCGCCTTCAGGTTGTATACGGGGGACTATTGGTCAGCTGCCAGCTCGTATTACGGTCACGCGCTATGTGACGCCAACAGACAATAAAAAATTGGTTCTACAATCGCCATTATGGCTACTGCAAGTGCTGATTTATGCTCAACGTTTCGATGCACATATATACTCTATAAAATAGACGGAGGGATGACCGCCGCCGTAGCTAAGTGGTAGAGCGTCTGACGCATTATTCGGAGGTCGCAGGTTCGGTTCCACTTGGCGGCAAGCTATCTTCTCCACTTTTCTGTCTTCACATTGCCGCGCCGCAGTGGTCTAGTGGCTAAGGTACTCGGCTGCTGACCCACAGGTCGCGCCATCGAATCTCGGCTGCGGCGGCTGCCTTCTCGATGAAGGCAAAAATGTTGTAGGCCTGCGTGCTCTGATTTGGGTGCACATTAAAGAACCCCAGGCAGTCTGAATTTCCGGAGTCCTCCACTACAGCGTCTTTCATAATCATATGGTGGTTTTGGAACAATAAACTCCACATATCATTCTTTCTTCACATTTGCATTACAGTTAGCTATAACAACATTCCCTATACGTTCCTTGTCATTAATGTTTTGCCAAAGCGTAGGTAATCAGCTGTTTCTTATGTTTTCGAGTCTGGAACCCATCATGCATGGGTCTAAATGCCGACTGCCTGCCACGAAAGTTCAGCACTTATCTTGCGTACTGTGTCCTTATGCCTTCGTCCTTTTTGGTGCAGTGTTTACCCAGCTTAGTTAAGCTAAGTTAAGGTATTACACTGGTAAGCTCGAAAATGTTTTTGATTCTTGTCGTCTGCAGCCACATTTCAATAAGAGCGAAGTGGAACATCATCCGTGCACTTATATTTGATGGCACGTTATTGAACCCCAGGTGGTTGTAAGTGGTCTGCATTCACCTGCTGCCGCAGGCCTCTTAATTATCGGGTAGTTTTGGCACGCAATACCCCAGAACTAAAAATTTGTGTCGGGCTGCTGCCATGAATCATGCCATCATAGGAGAGATATTGTAGCGTTTCTCGGGGCAGCTGTTTGGTGATTTGGTTCATTCATTCGTTCTATTTTCATTTACGCCAACCAGAGTGGTCTGTCGTGATGTGGACGCCGTACATTAAGCCAGCTTTACTAAGGGAGAAAGCGAGGGCTTCGAAAAAATATAATATATGCTCGTGGCAACATGTTCTTATACAGAGAACACACAGTGATTTTGAATCAGTGAGACAGAGAATAGTCTTCCATGCCAAGTAACAACTGCCCATAGTGAGAAGGTTGCAGAAATTTTACGGCATCTTTTTTTTTTTTAATGAGCTTTGTGGCATTCAAACTTGAGATAAGGGTAGCTGGTAGGCGTTTTCATACATATTTGTTCAATCTGCAGTCTTATTAATGGTTCACTGTTTCATGACAAAAACAACAGTGTTCATGCAAGTTTCAGTTGCCCCATATCCTACCCTCGAAGGTCATGCCTTCGTGAAATGCTGTAGTTGCTTCTCAGTCAGATTTAATTGGACAATTCCACCCCCATATATAGAAATGCTCCTTGCCACCGCTTCAAGGCGGCGCATTTTAAATACATGTGTGCTTCCTTGGCACTGCCTAAAGACTGCGTTCAAGACATGTTTGTGCTGCATATAAAATCAAGTTTGATGGGGGGGTCTGAATATGGGGAAAGGAAACTTGCACAAATGGCCACAGCCAAGTCCCTGAAAATGTGGAAAATCAACATATTGCTTATTGTTTCGCTGCTGCTTCCAAGAGTAATCATTGCTAACAAATTTTGTGTGTGTACGCACATGCATGTGTGTGTACTTGCGTGCAGTTGGGGTAAGCATTTAAACGAGTATTGACACAATTTTGAGGCACCCCAACAGGGACATTTTTCATTTCCACGTTGTGGGCCATAAACATCCTCTATAAACAAGAGAGCCAGACAACACGTATGAAACATTTCAATTTTATTTCGAAGTTTTCGTCGCCCAGCATCTGCTGGCTAGCTCCACCACATTGAATGCTATCACAACACGCCCACACAGTTCTCTGGGTTTGTGAAATCTTCGTGCAGCCCCAATTGCAGAAGTCATTGTTGGTAGTCTTTAGAGGACAATTCATTCGTTTACGTGAACCACGTGTAGCTGACCTCAAACTGGCAGCTCTTGCTAGTATGTCGACAGTTGCAGTTTTCCAGTGAGGTCAGACTTGTGTCGACATGTCGCTGCGAAGCTGCCCTGTCCATACCGAAGCTGAAATTGCCGTTTTAACGTAGAGGTATCAAAAATATATTCAATGCATTCCCAAGCACTGCGACTCTATTTTTAGGTTTCTTGACACCCATGTTTTTATTTAGAGCAACGACCTGAAAGTATTTGAAATTTAGGTCGGTACTTCTTCTTTTAAGGAACACAGAACATTTACGAACTTTAAAGGGATTTTTCTTGTAATTTGGAAATGCTCTTTTGCGATACCAGAAATGTCACACTTCGTCAGCGAGCCCTGCCGCAGTGTACCAGTGGTTATGGCACTCGACTGCTAACCCAGAGGTCTCGGGATCGAATACAGGCTGCGGCGTTCGAATTTTCGATGATGGCGGAAATGTTTGAGGCCCATGTACTCAGATTTAGGTGCACGTTAAAGATCCTCACTTGGTCGAATGTTCTGGAGCCCTCCGCCACGCCACCTTTCATGATCGTGTCGTGGTTTTGGGCCGGTGAACCCCAGATGTTCTTATTATCGTCACACTTGCCCCAGCGAGAAAACACACGAAAGAGGAATGTGGGTGGTGACAAGGGCAATGGTTTCTGCGGCTTCTCACGATGAATAGTGGTGGCAGTGAATTCTGCACAGTGACGCGCTGGCGGACCAACTCGGGGCTGTCCAGAGGGCCCGTGTGGCGACAGAGGGGCTTGGCCTCTCTGTCCTGACGTGGGAGCAGCCAGCATCAGTCTTGGACTGATCCTCAGGACTTCAATAAAGTTCTCCATACCATATACCACCACAATGTTCCCACACTAGTCGTCGCGATGTCATGGACTTTGCTGGCTTCTACTGAGGCCTGCGTAGTTCATGATCGGTAAAAGTGAAATACATTTTCTTCTGAGATAGCCAGATACATAACAGTGCAGTGTTTTGACAAATTTAGTTAAGGCGATTTGTCCAATATACAAAGAAGCACTTTTAAAATCTGTGGTGTCGACGTTGGTAGAAAACTTCAAAATGAATACTTTGGAAATTGATTTAGTCATATAATAAATCTATGGTATTGAAAATTTTAAAAATAAAAATTTTCAGAGTGTAAATAAGCTTGTTTATTACTTCAGTTTAGTGCCGCGTTGAAGAACCCCACACTGTCGAAATTTCCAGGATCCTTCAATGGTGGTTTTGGGGCATTAAGTTCAGATTCAGCAACTGCGGGTATTTTTGCTTTCTGTTCTTTTCAGAATGTGACGCTAAAGGAGTTGATGGACGAAGAAGACATTCTGCAGGAATGCAAGGCACAGACGAAACGCCTCATCGAGTTGTAAGTTTGCATTTCGTGTGGGTCTAATTTTACCTGTGTTACTAGTTTCTGTGTACCAATTTATTGTTCATTGTACTCGTGTGATCTGCTTCATATGTCACCCAAGGCATTGTGATGCCGCCCTAGTTCTTGTAAAACGGCTGTCGAGGGGAAGGGGGAATCTCCTATAATTAGTGCTCTCATAATTATTATTAACTCGACAGCTGACCTGCAGGTCGCGCGATCGAATCCTAGCTGCGGTGGACTTATTTTTGAAGCAGGCAAAAATGCTTGATGCCTGTGTACTTAGATTTAGGTGTGTGTTAAAGGGCCACTCACCAGGCCCCATACCAAGCTTTAGTTAGACCGTGGAAGTTGTTGGGTGTCCGGTGAAAAACATTCTGCCACAAAAATTTTTGGATCGGTTGGTTACGAACTGAGAAAACTGTTTTTTTTTAAGCGGCACGAAATGAGTGTAGAGAAAAGGACGAGCCGCCGTGCCCATGGCGAAGCCTACCCGTCGACCTGTTCTTTATTGCTAACAGTGATCTTAATACTGATATCACCACTCTTCGTCTTCTACATAATTTTCAACAATGAGCATGAGAGGAGGCGAGCTTGAAACTCTTGCCACTCCTCTGCCTAGCCTCCGCAAGCCAAATCTCTTCCCTGCTCTTTCAGGCATTGGACCAAGAGGTCACGTGCGCATGACGTGCCAGAACAACCCCAACCCTCGTGCACGCGAGCGTCTTTTTTGTTGTTGTTGACCAGCTGTTGTTTTGATGTCTACTGCCTGTTTCTGCGGGATGGTTTGGAAACGCTGGGTTAGATGCGGTACAATAGATGAGGAGGTCGTGAGATCAGCAAAATGAGTTGCTGAACACGTAGGAACGTTTCACAACTGTTGTCTGCTCGCTGCGCAGACTGTGGGGACACAAATTCATGCGAAACCCCGGCACATTAGCCCCTGCATCTCGTTGCAATTCACAGGGGGAAAAAAATAAAAAAAAAAATGCTCACATTCTGTTATAGCGTCTCATTATTTATCTAGAGATTTAATTATATCTTCAAGGAACAATTACATAAACTACGCATGTTGTGTTAAATAATTTTCGCCAATCGCGTGCCACTGTTGGCAACATCAGAGCGTAGTCGTCTACGTAGACGACCAACATCACTATATTGCCGTGTACATAGGGCCATTCACAGGCGCACGTCATGCCCTCGTTCTCTGGGCGCGCACTCGCAAAAGGAAGAGGGAGCAGTGTTCATCTTGAAATTTGACCCATCTCCGCGGCATGTAGCATTGCAAATTTTGGCAGACGTGATAATGAACGCCTTTTCTACATATTGTGCTTGTCAGCTTAAAATTGTCAAACCTGGTTTGTGGCCCTTTAAAAAAGCCCAGGTGATCAAAACTTTTGCACCCTTCCACTATGGCATTTCTCATAACCATATCGTGGTTCTGTGACGTTAACTCCTACCAGTTATTATTATTATCACAACTAACAGAGTAGACATTAGAAATAGTGTTAGAAAGAAATTACATTTACAACCAAAAGGGAACAAACTGGGTTCAATAGAATACTTGAACTATCATAATACAAGTAATATAACACTGTACATTGAGAAAAGACATGACTGGCACTGCACAATAACATTTACACCATGTTATGCATCAACACAAACAAAAACAAAAAATTCATGCAGTGCAGTTCAGGCATACATGCAAGGTGCCAAACTTGTTGTGAACTAAAGTGCGTTAGACATTTTAAAAAATTGTATCTGACCTACGAAACCAGTCATAATAGTTGAATAGAATAAAAAAAAGCGTAGAGTGGTTGTAATGTAGCAAAATAAAATGCTTCAAAAATTGTCTCTCGAGGAAGCACTGACACAAAATTTTGAAGGTGAGATAATGAGTCGGATAGGTTTATCTAGGCAGAGACACGACTACAAATTATCAAAGGCAAATATAGCCTAGAACGTGTTTAAGTCAATTTTAATACACATGCCGTGCGATTGAGCTAAATGTGGTGCCCCTCGTAATGCCACCATCAACGCAACGGGAGTGTAAACAAACTTACTTCATGAGTTTGTGTTGGCTGTTTGCTTGGCATGCGCTTTGCGCTACCTGCAATTTCTTCCTCAGTGTCTGTGGCCTTGCGTGTGCTGGCTTTGCTGGGTGTCAGAGCAGCGCGCACTCATGCACGCTCTCGCGCGCGCCATCTATGTCGCAGTTTTGCGCAGTCACGTGGCCGGACATGTATGAACCACGAGGGAACTTGCCACGCAGTCCCCAACATGAACTGCTCCAGTCGAGCTGGGTGTTCTTTGAAACAGAAGTTTCGATTAAGCACTTTGAAAACATCTTTAAATAAATAAGCATCGTGCTCTTTCGCAAACAAGGTTGTAGTTGGAATAAGTAGGTTATAAGCTACCTATTGCAAAAAAAAAGGTGCAAAATTTTTTGTCAGGGCTTCTCTTAGGCTAACAATCTTTCTACTACTGGTCACTAATCTTTGCTGGCAAAGCAAATGCCTAATAAATGGACAATAGTGTCCTGATTTCTTGAGATTACATTTAGGAAGATTCTACTGTATTTTTTGTGAAAGGTAGAAAATTGTTAACTTCTTCGAAAAAACTTGGTGGAAATTTTTTGGGGTTTTTCTAAAAGAGTATATCGGAAGTATGTATTATGAAAGGCTCTGGATAGATCGAGTACATGCTATGTGCACATAGTTGTAGTGCGGCCACTCATGCATAATAAAAGTGCTAATTAAGTTCTGCTATTGAAGGGCCAGTCAACAGGCTCAGACTTTTTTTTTTTACACCCCCAAGGAAGTTCTGCAATTTGCAGAGTAGATCGTGGTGATCGTCTCTTTCGAATATTACAGTGCTGCACTCCGCACAGAGCCTCGATTTCGAAAAACAATTTCTGTACTCATTTGCTATGCCTGACTGATCCTCCTTTCACATGCAGTGACGCAATGTCGCAGTCAGTGACTTGACGTAGCATGTAGCACGTCGATTGGTCTAAACCAGTCACGACGATGGGCTACGCCTTCAAGCACCCTTTGAGGGTTAAGGGTAGCGAGGCCGTGCAAAAATTTGAAGCTAGCTGAAACGGATGTTCCAACCCCTGTAACTCCCTTATAGTAGCACGTTTTCGCAAAATTCTTTCGGTAGCATGATCGCAAAGCAAAAGTGCACATATTTCTTTTTACAACAATTTTCGGACCTCGGTGTTGTCTACTGGCCCTTTAACCTCATTTTACCTTGCATTCACACCGACCACATCTGAGAGTCTTACATTTTTCAGCATTGTTACATGGAACGCATCACTTTTAAATTTAAAACTGCTGAAAGCTCACATGTTTAATATTGAGCTTATGAACTTTTTTTTAACTTCATACTTCTCATTATTTTGGTATGCCTCTTTTGTGTTATTTTTAATCGCTTGTGTACCTTTCTATTTGTTTATTTAAAAAAATGTTATCTTTGTAGCTTTCACTATTACAGTCAAGGCTTATGCCTTTTAGTTTATCTACGTACCAGGAAGTCATGAGATTGAATACCAGCTGCTGCGGCGATATTTAGATGGGGTAAAAGTGCCAGCGGCCCATGTACTTTAATTTGGGCACATGTTAAAGATTTCAGTAACCCTCCACTACGGTGTTCCCCATAACCATATCTTAGTTTTTGAATGTAAAACCCCAGAAATTATTGTAATGCTTATGGTGTCATCGATTGGCAGATTCGGAGTGGCCAGCGAACTCTGCACCGGAGCACTCCACTCTGGCGGAGAGCAACACGAGGGAATCTACCAGAGAAACGCACATGCTCCCTCTGGAGCAAATGGCAGGGTCGGAATAGAACGCGATGCGCGCGTCTCTCTTCTTTCTTGAGTGGGCAGGCTGCGCTCAGCGATGCTACGCTAGCAAAACGTCAGCTCCGACGCGACGCACCACCAATGCGAGCGGCGTCCGTTGGCGTGCCCAAAGTTTGCACCGTTTCAAGGCATGGGGGCGCCTGCGACGTACGGTCGAATCTGCAGATTTTCGCAGAGCAGAGGAATTTGCTCCGTGGAGTGGATCTCTCGAGAAGGGGCTGCTTCAGATCTGCCAATGAAACATACATAGAGCATTCTCAATCTTCCTATGAAATAGACTTGCTCCGTATGGAGCAGAAAAAGTATCGCCAGAAGTGCTCCGAATCTGCCAATGGATGACACTATTAATCATGTAACTGTTGTTTTTCTCTTCACTTATGCCATGCCTTATGATTTTTCAATATGGTTAAATATGGTTTTCAATATGGTTTACACATTGCCATCTTTTTATGTTACAATAATTCTTATCATGGAATGGAGGTCCCATTTCAGTTTCTAACTATGAGACTTCCTTCTGTATATACACATCATGTAATTATTGTAATTTATTAAGTTGAATGTGTTTGTAAAATGGCCAGAGTTCTGGCCGATATATTTACTTGCTTACTCGCACTCTTTCGCTAAACAGCCTCGTGAAGCCAGAAGTCATGGAAGAGCTGGTTGACCTAATCACCCACGAGCCGCCCGAGGATATTGACGAAACGATGAGATACAAGTGAGTGCCCTCGTTTCTTCACATTTGGGTCTCCCTGGCAGTTCGACAAAGCTTGTCTGCGTAGAATTGTCACCTTTAGGAATGATGTCACTGCTATCACTGAGGCGGAAGCCATAGAGGCCTCGTCAGATGGGAAAATTGACCGTCGGCGTTCCTTGGCGTCAACACGATGCAGAAAATCATGATGTCACAGATGGCGAAAATTGATCACGTAGCATGACATAACATCACGTGAGGCTGTCGCTTGGTCATAGGTGGGCTGGTCGTCGAAGCAATGTAAAATTATAGGTGAGGTCAGTAATACACTCAAAACCACGGTATAACGAACCCCGATATAATGAATTATCCGTTATGACGAAGTAAATGAAGAATAGCTCTGTCACAGATACAGTGGTACAAATATGTGTTTGTAACAAATTTTCTGATGTGGCGAAGCATTTTCCTGGCAGGTGTGACTTTCTTATAGTGGGGTTTGAGTTGCAACGAAAACGGCTAATTGGTTCGTGATGGCTTGGCAGTGGTCTTGTGGTAGGGGGCTAAAAGCGTGCAATGCCTCCAATCTTTCAGGCCATGCAAACCCATGTAATTTGCCAAAAGCTTTCAAATGTGGCTGGGTAGAATCGGTATGTCGACTGATGAGAAAAAGAATGTGGCTCTCACCGTCAAGTTTTCTTAGTCGACTTAGTCCGCCAGATATGGTGAATCCGAAAAGGACCACAAAATCGGTTCTTTATGTAGTGGTAATTTTATATAGAAAATATCTTGTGTATCAAATACGTGGTCAAGGAGATTTGCAACTATTCAATGTACACAGTAATTCTTTATGCGAGTTTGGTGTAACAGGTTCGCCTGCTGTCGTATTGAAATATTATTTTATGCTCATTGAGAATGTTTGAAACAAAGAAAAAGTTTTTATACGTGATAATGTTTGAAAATTGAAATTGAAACTTTTAAACGGCACTTGTGATGTCTTTCTTCATTTTTTTCCGTCAAACTGTGTACGAATTGTATGTTAAACTTTTTGCAGTTCGAAATTTTCACGTACCTTTCCTACATGGAGCGGTGTAATGGTATATGTGATGGTGGATGTAATGGGAAAACGTGCCTGTGAATCGACCATGAGCGACATGAACTGCTGTGGCCTTGTTGTGAAGCTGGATGGGGTCCAACAATGGACCGCGATGGATTAAGACTGACACATGCGCAGAGGCCTGTTATGCATGGATTTCACCTTGCGATTCCATGTAGTTACTCGTAAAAGACTCTTCTTGCTGTTCATTGCCATTCATGTTTCAATTTTCGACAGTATTCAGTACCAGGAGAGGGCTGACCCTTGTCTTGAGTGATGTAGAAATAAAGAAAAAAATTAAATCTGTCATTGTACCGTAAAGTCATGGTCAAGCACCCTCCCCGTACAATGAAGGATAATCGGGCAGTATTTAGGGGTGGGGGGGGACCTTGTTCAGTTGCAAACTGAAATTCCAGGCGGCGGCGGAAGAGCCTGTAAGAAGAATGCACACTTTGCATTTTAATGAAATGCTGCATTGAATACACACGTGATTACTGTTCTTGCTGAACAGTATACAATTCTCGTGTAAAATTTGTGTTATGAAAGGGGGGTGGGATACGTTCTTCAAACATTTCAACCATTGGTGACAAATCTGAATGCAACCCATAGGCACCGCATTGTAAAAAGTATAGTAGATTCTCGTTAAACGGAACATGAAGGGATTAGAATAATTTTTTTCTATTTAACAGGCATTCCGTTCACGGAGAGTTGAACAAGAGTGCATAATTCAAGTACAAAACCAATGTTGTCAGTAGCACTTGTTGCATTTAAGCAGCAGTTCCGTTTAGGAGAGTCTACTGTGCTAAGAAATCTCGTATACCGGGTGTTCAAAATTAAGCTTTATGATTTTTTTAAAATTAGGCGCTCGAAGGCACGTGAGAACCACTTGTGCAAATAAGTTAAGCGGCCAGGGGGACAGAAAGTTAGATGATAATTATCGCTGTCAGCAGCCCAATTAACTAAAATTTAATAATTAACTTTTTACTGGCTGCGGTAAGTTGGCATGTTTATATTGAAAAAATGTAGGCAGTGGTGTTTGTACACAGTTTCAGTTGGAAGATTTTTTCTAGCACGCCTGTGTTCCGAGATATCCGGCTCCAAAGTTTAATTGTCTTTCGCACGATTACGCATGCAAGAGGGTGAGGGTCCGCGCAAAGCTCCTCCCTAAAGTGACGCATCTGTTGCGTGTGGTGTTTAGTGTGTGAAGAGGGTGGAAGCGTAGGCATAGGTGATAGCAATTACCCTTGCCCTCTTCGGCCGGCGAAATCAAAAATCGAAGAACGCTTGCAACCAGTGTCGTAACACGCAACTGCAGAGCCTCTAACGATAGTGGCAGATACCATGCCGAGATAATGGTGCGAGCGGAGAATCTGGATGCCAGTGCGCGTGCGTAATAATCACTAGAGAAGCATGCGTGGTCGTTGCCTGGGCTACGCGAATAGCGTGACTGCTGATGTCCGAGTACTGTAACTTTTATTGAAACAAGAGCAACAACTCCACCAATAATAACTGAAACAGTTTTATCCTTGCTAACGCATATTTCCTGCTGCTACATAAGCATATTTCGGTCATGCACAAATCTCATCGAAACTCTTCACCTCTCAAGACGTCAATGCCCCAAAAAGTGTTCAAAATGCCTGCCTTCGGCAGCAACGCAAAGCATGAAACCGCTGTCGCGTCGACTCGATGACTCGGCGCAGTACTTCTGCAGGAATACTCGCACAGGCAGATGTTATCCTGTCCTTCATGTCATTAACATCGCTGGGCTCTGTTACGTAAACTCGATCTTTAACGTAGCCCCAAAGGAAAAAGTCGAGCGGAAGAAAGGTCAGGTGATCTTGGTGGCCAAAACATCGCTCCTGCGCGCCCAATCCACTGTTGTGGAAAACGTCTGTCCAACCAGTTCTTCGCCCTGGTAGAAAATGTGGTGGTGCTCCATCGTGCTGAAACCATACTTGGCGCAGGTCATTCAGGGAAAGACTGCAGACAAGATCATCAATGACAACACCTAATATTTCTTCTGTGTACATCTTTCCGTTCAAGTTGTCCTCAAAAAAGTGAGGTCCGATGATCCTGTCCCCGAGTATGCCGCACCACACATTCACACTCCAGCGAACTTGATGCTTGTGCTGCCTCAGCCAGTGTGGGTTTTCTTGTGCCCAATAATGGGCGTTGTGAAGATTAACACTTCCATTTCGGCAAAACCGAGCTTCATCAGTCCAAATTATTCTGTGCAAAAAGTCATTTTCTTGATCAGTTTTGATGAGGCCCCAATTGCAGAAGTCAACTCGCCTTTCAAAGTCCGCCTCATTTAGGTCCTGATGAAGGTAAACGTGATATGGATGGAACTTGTGCTTTCTTAAAACATTTGTGACTGTTCCGATGCTGCGACCGCACTGATCGGCAATCTGTCGGATGCTGAGCTCTGGCATCGAGGTTACGCACGCGACAACGTCGATTTCAAAGTCTTCATCGACGATTGCCTTCCTGGTCCGTCTCGGAAGGTGGACAGAGCCTGTTGTGCAGAAGCGTCGAAACAGGTTTGTGAAAGTGGGCCTTGTTGGAAGGGGACGGTGTGGGTGGCGAGACGCGTAAAGCTCCATTGCTAACGAAGCGTTGCCATTCATTTCAGCCATTGCAAGCACCACGTCTACTTTTACTTTGGTAGAATACCTCACGCCAGAAGCAGCCATATTAGCTCGAAAGGACTCCACGTGGATTTCCTTGGTAGACCTTCAATGCAGAGACGCTGTGCTCTAACCGGAGGCACCCTAGTGCAGGACGGTCCTGCTAACGCGTTCACAAGAAGATGTCTCAGTGTGATCTAAAGTCACGAAAAAACGTCGCGAAAAATGGTCTCCTGTTATCGCGTTCATCAGGATCATGCGTAAGGCTCATGGCGCACCGCGCTGTCACATTTTGATTTCGCCGGCCGAAGAGGGCAAGGGTAATTGCTATCACCTATGCCTACGCTTCCACCCTCTTCACACACTAAACACCACACGCAACAGATGCGTCACTTTAGGGAGGAGCTTTGCGCGGACCCTCACCCTCTTGCATGCGTAATCGTGCGAAAGACAATTAAACTTTGGAGCCGGATATCTCGGAACACAGGCGTGCTAGAAAAAAATCTTCCAACTGAAACTGTGTACAAACACCACTGCCTACATTTTTTCAATATAAACATGCCAACTTACCGCAGCCAGTAAAAAGTTAATTATTAAATTTTAGTTAATTGGGCTGCTGACAGCGATAATTATCATCTAACTTTCTGTCCCCCTGGCCGCTTAACTTATTTGCACAAGTGGTTCTCACGTGCCTTCGAGCGCCTAATTTTAAAAAAATCATAAAGCTTAATTTTGAACACCCGGTATATCTGAAGACTGTCAGAACTTGAATTCATATGAGCTGCTGTGGCAGGATTTTGCAGTGAATAGGTACAAAGATGGTAGCAGCAGGGGTAAGGGCACTTGCTCGAATAGGGGTGCTTGCTTTGGGTTTTACAGTAAGCAGTTTCTGTTGCGTTTTTCAGGATACATGAATATGTAGTGTCAAAACTTGCAGTATTATGGCACTTCTTAACCTGGCAGGTACCCCAACATAGCGTGCGAGATCCTCACGTCCGACGTGCAGCAAATCAACGACACACTTGTTAGGAGCGAGACGCTGATGGCCAAGTTGCTTGGCTTTCTCGACAACGATCCACCTCTCAACCCGTTGCTGGCCAGCTTCTTCACCAAGACGGCCGCAATGCTCATCGCACGAAAGGCAGACTCGGTAAGCACTGTGCAATGACCCCCAATGGTCACCCTATAGCCACCCTGAAATGTATAGAAAGTTATAAACCTATGCCCTGCTGTGGTAAGTCTATGGCCCGTACCTTGTTTGGCGCTAGAATATTAGATACAGTTTGCTACGTCCTACCGTTGGTTCTGAACTTCTGCACGCAACTGTTTTAAGTGCCAGTAGTGAACAGTGACTTCTTCAAGCCCCAATGTGATGGAAATAAATATGAGGTCAAGCTGTGCGCATTGCATTGGCAGTGGGGTGCAAAAGGGACAACTGCCCGCTTTGAGCCTCGTCAGCACCCCTCCATCAGTTGCAATGCAACACAGGTTTGCATGCCCTCCCCCTCGAATCAAAATCCGGTGAATGCCTATGACTATTAGACACTTTTTAGCACTTTAATAGCATGTTTACATTACACGTTTTTTTCGGTTTGTGCACTTTTCTTCACGGTCTTGGGGAAAACATGTGGGAGGGGTATATACTGTAGTGAAACTCCTCTTTGGCTTAGTATGTTGTTCAACATTCTTGAAATCAAGAGGTTGCGCGAAAATAAGACGCATTCATAAGTGGGGCACAGAGACAATCGCAATGTTCCTGTGCCTCACTTGTGCACATTGCGCTTGTTCCTGTGTCTTGCTTATGTCTTTTTTTTTTCGCAACCTCTTGTTTTTAAGTATGGGAGGTGTTTTGCTGCATTCATATATTAAAGTTGTCACGCACATCCTTGAAATATGTTCCTCTTTTCCAGATGTTTCACCTGTGCATGCAGAAGGAGAACTTTGTTCGCCTGCTGCTGAAACACATCGAGACTTCAGCCATCATGGACTTGCTCCTAAAGTTTGTCGCGTGCACCGACAGCGAAGCGTTGCGTGCTTCCATCACGCAGGTGAGGAATAGTTTTTGCAATGTTGCTGCGGCTGCATTTTTGACGGAGACGAAAAGGCTCGAGGCCAGTGTTCCTAAGTTTAGGTGCGCGTCAAAGAAAACTCGATGGTCTAAGTTCACGGAGCCCCCCCCCCCCCATATGTGTGTCTCTTCTAATAATTATTGTGGTTTGGCACGTTGAATAGACACTAAAGAGGAACAGTGACTTGGTTTAGATCAACGAACTGCACTCTTAGAACCCTAATGCCACATGTTTTTCTTTGATGAGTTCATTATTAGCGGAGAAAATTAAGGTCGAAGTTTCATTTTCAAATTCCAGGCCATATCTCCGGGGGACCCAAGAAGTTTTAAAATTTATTTTAGGTATTTTCGTGGCATTGGCTCAATGACATTATCTAAAACTTCTTATGCTAAGTCTCTGGCACCCACAAATTACAGTGCACTTCATTTTTATCGATTGGAAGCTATGTAGGACCCAGTAGGTGTCTTCGAAATTTCTTACATCACGGTGTTTGGTGCAGGAATATCAAGGTGGCACCAGTTGGATTGTGCGCATTAATGTGAGCGTATGAGAGTGGGAAATGTTCGAGTGCGTTCGTTTCTTTTTCTCCTCGCCAGTGGCTGGACAAAGCGCAGGTGGTGCAGGAGTTGGTTGCGCTTATTGACCCCGGCTGCTCTGAGGAGAAACACAGCAATGCCGCGGAAGCGCTCTGTGAAATGATCAAGTTGACCCGCGAACAGATGTCCCTTCTGCAGGAGAAGGCACCGGCAGACCCACTTTTGGAGTCACTCGAATCGTGAGTCGGCCATGCATTGTGGGCAGGCATTTACAGTTCATATCAAACTTGCTTGCAGCGCAGGAAAAGATGGGACGAAACCACTGCAGTTTTAAAGTTCAGCACACTGAATACCCTCAGACTTGGATATAACGAAACATTGGTTATAACGAAGTAAATGAAAAAATATTCTTGCAATAGATATAGTGTAAAAAACAAATCTTTATAACGAATTTTTGGATTTAACAAACTTTTGTGTAAGGTGCAACTTTGTTACCATGTGGTTCGAGTGTGTTGCGGTGTGCTTTGCAGGAGTTCGAGGCGCCCTGGCGACACTTTCTGAGCATGGGCAGAAAATGTGGCCTGTTCCTAGCCGAGGCTCCCTGGAAGACAGGGGCCAAACATTACAGCTCAGCACGTGACCTGGAATTTACAATTAATTTTAAATCGGCTAGAAAGCACTTCCTCTTCTCTTGACAAATGATGCCAAAGTTAAATATGACCATGTCCTAAATCCCAAAGTCCACAGCGGTTGGCTGATTAGAGTATTTCAAGCTGCATAGTTGCCTTGGTCGCCGTGTGACGCCCTGCTGTGCTCGGACTGCCTGCAATCTGTGCTGCTAGAAGGGCATACACTGTAGAGCTACACCAGCACGCTCCTTGTGACGCTGAAAGTAAGCTGCGTGCTTAAAGAAAAACAATAAGGTGCTAAAGGTAATGACATGGGCTGATGAACAGACACCTTCTTGCCCCCTGCATGGCTTTTGGCACCCTTGCTAGAATGAAAGGAGAGAGAAAGTGCTTATGTCCTGTACTCGGTTTGACAGATTCCAAAAATTTTGTGGCAATGAATTCGTGAGGCAATAATTGTTCTTTCTGCTTTTTCAGGACTGAGACGGTTGCGGCACTTCTGGAGCACATGTTCTCCGGGGACCGAACATGTGAATCCGTCTTTGTCAATGGCATCTCCGTACTACTCTCATTGCTCGAGTTTAGAAAGCAAGGGTGAGGGCCTGTTTCATTGTGTCGAAAGCAAACTTGTGTGTTGTGGTGTACACGTATCCCGAAGGAGTACGGCCACCAGCGTGGGTCCGGTCTTAGCGAGCCGCAGGGCACGCGTTAACCGTCGCCGTGGCGGGAAACACGATACTGCTCAAGTCGCAACACTTTATTGTGGCAACACCAAACGCAGTACAGCCCGTTGCAAAAAGGCGCGGCGGGAAAGCACGTAGGCTTATCCACGCCACGGGCACAAAGTACTACACAGGGTGCCACGAGCACGTCTCCGCGGTAAAGGTGATCCACGGAGACACCGGGACAAAGGGGCCCGGTTGCTCGAGCGAGGGCAAAGGCGCTCGCGTTGGCTTCGAAGGGAGACGGGTCGGCGTAGCTAGGCCACGCACTAGGACACCGTACTGCCCTTCGGCCGTGAGTACGCAGCGGGGCAACAAAAGGTGAGCGTTCGCATCGGGCGCGAGGCGCCGTCAGCGAAGTCCGACGAGCCCCGAGCGACGGGACTCGACGGACGGAAAAGAATGCGTGGCTCACCGTTTGAAGTCCCGGACTGTACTCACTGCTCCCGACGCAGCGCGCGAAAACCTCTCGGGAGTCCCCGCGCGCGGCGCCACAGTCAACATCCGCTACCGGGTGAGGGAGTTAAACGTCACTCCGCCCTTCCCAGCGCGGCTGACGGCAAAGGAGGGCAGACATGTTGGGACATGAGAAAGGCGGGAAAGCCCGCGCAAAGGCAGCGGGCCAGCCTCAATTCCCACATCCCCCCCTCCTAAATTTGCCCTTTACCGGTCTGCAAAAGGCAGCCGGACGTCACCCATGCAGTTAAAATGACACTGCTATGAGCTACAGCTAACCTCAGTCCAGCCCTGTTACTGCTGCTAAAAAAAGATCACAAATGAGAAACAAAACATAAATAACAAAGTAAACACATGACACTATACAAATAACTGCGGAAGGGAGGACAGAAACGTGGCACTGGTGTTCGTGGTACTTAAGGGGGATAGCGTCCACTGCGCGGAGGGGCGGAAAAGGGCGTGACAGTGTCCGCTGGGTGCGATGCCCGAGTGCGAGGTCAGAGTTACGGGAGGGGCTCACTGATGGCTCGTTGCTGCTCTTGATAAGCCGCGAGTCCGACGAAAGCCGCTTCGGTTGTTCGGAGGCCCCGCATTTCCGGCTCGATGACGAAGCTGGACGTTGCGGGAAGCCGGGCCTCTCCGGTGGTCAGGGAGGCCGAACCAAAATTGGCTGCGAGGCGCCCTGGCGTTGGCCGGCAGCATATAGCTGCTTTCAGCTGGCCTCGCGCAGGAGCCATGGTAGAAAAGGCAGCACGGCTTCTTCGGCGACGGCCAAGAGCAGAGCACAGCCAGATGGTCTGACGTCAGTGGGTCAATGACCCCCCAGCACCTCCAGTGTCCGCGTCGATGGAGGGCAGCCATGACGCACTCTTCGCGGGCTCGCACTGAAGCGTCACGCACTTACACACGCACGCACACACACCGCCGACGGCTGCGCGAGCGTAGGCGCAAAGCGTCCTTCGTCTCTCTCCCTCCCGGCAAGCACCGACACACAAGGTCACACACAGCTCCCTTCGCGGTAGACGAAACGAACACGAAAAAAAAGTAAACACAGAGCATACTGACACTAAACATCTGGCAAAAAAAACAAAATACAAATAACACTTAATATTAGACAAAAGAAACAATATACACATGAACACTTAAAAAAAAAAAAAAACTGGCAGCAGACAGAGCGGGGTCAACTTCTTTACGAGAAAAGGCCGTAAAGAAGCTAACCTATATTGAGGCTAGACAGTAAAAACTGAGGGCCTTCGGTTGCGGAGAAGTCCGCCGTCCGGCGCGAAATCACAAAGGTGACCGCTTCCTCAGATTATACCGGTGCGGGGTCCGAATGCGGTCCGCCGCTCCGGGTGTGCCTCGTTGCTGGCGTGTAGTGCCACAGGGCTCTGGCGCGAGCTCGTCAGACCGTGATACAAAGGGTTTCAGGTCTACGATGTGGGCACGGCTGAGTTTTCCCAAAGGGGATCTTTCAGCTAGTACGCGCCACGGACGCTCACTGACAATCGGTTCATAAGACCGGGCGGCTTTCCAACCCTTGGCTCAACCGTTTGTCAGACGTGGCAGGCACGGAATAGCGATAAAAGCCACGCTTCGTGCCGGGCCAGGTCACAACATTGCTCAGTTTGCAAAAACTTTCGAGCCACTCAGGTGACCGGCCATGGGTTCGTCGTGAGAGGATCGCAACAGTGCGGCTCTCAGACTTTTGGGCATAACCACCTTAAACGGGTCTATGGACTCGTCGTCAGTGGCTATATATTTCAGCAGGAGCCCGTCATGGTCCAGCAAAATGAATCCGCCGGGGACTCAGCGGCACACGCTGTTTCAGCCCCCTAATCGCGCCCGCCGCAGAACAAGCAGCGTAACGGCGCTCCGCGCCTCGTCAAGACGGTTTAACGGCGCCCGCCGCAAAGCAAGCAGCGTATACGGCGCTCCGTCCCTCCGAGACTCGAAACGGATCACTCTGCTGAGCCTTCAGTAGCTCTTCGCTGCCGAAAGCAATTCCCAGTCTCCCAAATGGGGGAGTCTGGTATCGCGCCCACTCAGGACCGCAGCAACCGCCGCGTGAGTCGGCGTTACGGGTTCGCTCTCGGCCTCGTGGCCTTCGGAAAGCTCCCCCGCTCGGCCGCTTCGCGGTGCGCCGCTTACCTGGATAGCAGCCAAGGTTTGTCCGCATGGGGACTCACCTTTCTCGCCGAATGGCGGCGAAGCTGCTGTTTCGCCCCCGACGCTTGCATGTGCTAAGGCACCGCGAGCGGCCGTCGCACCGAAATCCAGGTTCTCGGCAGACAACAAGGGGCACGAGATAGCGCGTCAGCTACCACGTAGGAGTGTATTCACCACAAAAAGGGGTGACGACACAGGCGAGCGCCGAAGGGCGCCCGTCGATAGAGGCGGTGGCCTCTTGGTGCAACGCGGCATGCCACGAAGCAGGCATAACGTTCGGGTAGGGCAAGAGGCCCATTCCGAAGCGACGCGCCATCTCCAAAGGGAGCGGCTAGGCGCCTCGTGTCGTCACCGCAATAGGGGGTACCGACACAGACGGGTGCAGAAGGGTTCCCGTCAATAGAGGCAATGGCCTCCGTGTGCAACGCGGCATCCGCTAAAAGGGACAGCGGACAAAAGTCCCGCGAGGCAGCCATGTTGCGACGAGCCCGAATCGCGCAGGCGAACTGACTCGCTAAGAGCAGTCAAAAGCTAGAGCTTTTGATACCACGTTGGGCGCCAGTGTGGTGTACACGTATCCCGAAGGAGTACGGCCACCAGCGTGGGTCCGGTCTTAGCGAGCCGCAGGGCACGCGTTAACCGTCGCCGTGGCGGGAAACACGATACTGCTCAAGTCGCAACACTTTATTGTGGCAACACCAAACGCAGTACAGCCCGTTGCAAAAAGGCGCGGCGGGAAAGCACGTAGGCTTATCCACGCCACGGGCACAAAGTACTACACAGGGTGCCACGAGCACGTCTCCGCGGTAAAGGTGATCCACGGAGACACCGGGACAAAGGGGCCCGGTTGCTCGAGCGAGGGCAAAGGCGCTCGCGTTGGCTTCGAAGGGAGACGGGTCGGCGTAGCTAGGCCACGCACTAGGACACCGTACTGCCCTTCGGCCGTGAGTACGCAGCGGGGCAACAAAAGGTGAGCGTTCGCATCGGGCGCGAGGCGCCGTCAGCGAAGTCCGACGAGCCCCGAGCGACGGGACTCGACGGACGGAAAAGAATGCGTGGCTCACCGTTTGAAGTCCCGGACTGTACTCACTGCTCCCGACGCAGCGCGCGAAAACCTCTCGGGAGTCCCCGCGCGCGGCGCCACAGTCAACATCCGCTACCGGGTGAGGGAGTTAAACGTCACTCCGCCCTTCCCAGCGCGGCTGACGGCAAAGGAGGGCAGACATGTCGGGACATGAGAAAGGCGGGAAAGCCCGCGCAAAGGCAGCGGGCCAGCCTCAATTCCCACAGTGTTAATACTTTTATAGTAGACTCCCGATATTGAAACCTTTGTTTAATTCAAATGACTAATAAATATTCGGTTGGCCAACTGTTTGCAGTGTACAGTAGAATTTTAATGATAGGATTACGGTTGATGTGGATTTCACGATGATACAAATTTTAAGGTTGTTTCAAATGGACTACATTATATAAAATACGCGGTGATGCGGTGTTATACAAACAGTTTTCCCAGCCACTGCGGATGATACGAACGTGCAATTGATATTCGGGAGTGCCGTTTGCATGCGCAGCACAAACCCAGCTTGTCTGTGGGAGGAACTACCGTTCATATTTGGCCTCAAAGGGGGTGAACTGGCAAAACTCAACGGAATATCCCTCGCTTCGCCACCAAAGTGGCCGGAAAACCATGCCGCGAGGTTGGTGTAAAAATAAATGAGACCAATTTTTCTGCCACTTGATAGATGATCGTTTTTTTGCTTAACGGCTTTGGTTGCACTGGCTGCACTAGATCTCAAACCATGTGATGTAAACAACTAGCCGCAAACTCAACATGGCGGCAAAGGCGTTGGCGGTGGATCGTGTCACTGCTATCGCATACTACCCGTGCAGCACGTCAAAGCTCATGGCCTTTATGTGGAGGCGTTCATCGAAAGCCTGGTTTGGATTACGATAGCCGAGAACACCGGAAGTAGAAAAATGTGCTGCAGCAGCAATACGGTACGCCATAACATGTCCCGCTTTTGCACTGCCGACTGAAGCTGCAGGTGTGTCCGCTCGTGTTGTTTGTGCTGGCGTATTTTCCGAAACAATGTTTGTAAAGGCGTAGTCTGTTTCTTTTCAGTGGTTTGCTAGCATAACTAGAACACAGTAAAAATTTTAGGGCTCTGGGAACGGGCGAAATGAAATGAATTCACAAGCGGCGATGGTGGTGGCATGTACATGAGGCAGAAAAAATGTCAATATTTTCTACAGGCTTGGACGTGGTTCCCAGAAGGGGAAAAAACGGTAGAGCAGGAATTCAATCAAGGCCCTCTGTGGGGCAGTCTTATTTTATCGCTTAGCTGCAGCGGTGCTTGAAACTCCTTCTCAGAAAGACAGTAGAGGTGTCATATTGGACTATGAATCATGTTTACATATATTATATGAAATAGTAGAGGAATGAAATCGCAACTAGTCATTACATAATGTCAATTGCTCAACGATAGGATAGTCTAAAGCTTGCCTTTCATTACATAACACTCAGCCATAAATTTCTCATCAGCCACAGGGTCAACGAAGCACATTTAGTGCTGTAGCAGACCTTTAGCAGGTAACGCGCTTCTCCGCAGACTAGTGACTAATAAAATATGTAGTGTGTTCTTGCCTATTTTACAAAAATTATCAGACCTCATTATAACAAACTCGTATCTGCCACGAAAATACTTTGTTATATCCGAAAATTCGTTCTAAACAATTATTTGTAACACTGTATTTATGGCAGAGCTATTAGTCACTTACTTCATTATAATGAATACTTCGTTATAAGTCAGACCTCGATATACGAACCTGGATATAACGAAATGTCGGTTATAGCGAAGTAAAAGAAAAATAGCCTTGTGATACATATAGTGTTAGTAATAAACGTTTATAATGAATTTTCAGGCATAACGAACTTACCTTTACTTTTGTGTAAGATGTAACTTTGTTATAATAAGATTTAAGTGTATTCAAAGTCGTTATATCGAGGTGTCAATGTACTTCTGCTGTAGTGGCCATCTTGTAAGTGTGCTTCTAGTAGTTGCCCCAAGTTAGTATATCATAAACGGGCTTTAGAAAGGCCGCTCTTCCAGCTTTCGCTGCGACTGTGCTGCGTGTTTGTGCAAGCCTGGCTTTTTTTTTTCTTTCCCTCTCCCTCAAAAGTGTGGCTGCTGCGATCATTTTCTTTGTCATTTTCAGGCTCGCTGGGCAACAACAGCAGCAGCAGAACAGCAATAACGCCGACAGCCCCAACGGCGGTAGTCTAGGAGGCGGCAGCAGCGGAGGTGCCGGCATGATGCAGAACGAGACCGCCTGCTTCGCGTCCCTCTTCTTCCGCTCGGAGAATGCGGAGCAGATGACGGCACTGGACGTCGAGCGGTTGAGGGCCGGCGTTGACAAAGTGCTGGCCGCGGTGCTTCCACGCCTGGGCGACTTCCTCAAGCTTCTCACGGACCCACCGCAGGTTGGTGGTTCCCAACTGCAACAAACATTCCTTTGTCTCGTTGCGTTTTGTTGCGGGCAGAGTGGGTGTTCTCGCGGCATGCTCGGGGACGTGCCTTTGGAAACCAACTTTGCTGTTTCTGGTTGGATATTAACCCTTTCAGATGCTATGTACACTCTTCTGTACATGGCTCGTTTTTGTTTTTTTGCATCAAGTAGAGGCTAAGAAAGGGCAAGATATATCGTACACCAGATTAATTGAACCTTGTGCATGATTAATTTGTCTTCATTTAACCTCATTTTGCGGTGTACTGATGCATATGTTTACTTTTCTTAAGGCACTACCAAGTTTAACAAGTCGTGCGATGTGCCACTTCCTGCAAGCAATGTGAAAAGCAGAAATTTTTCTTGCTCACAATTGACATGACCAAAAATAAATTTGCACTGTATTTCTAGCCTGAGAATAGATTTCATTTATGCCAAAAGTAAGCATCAATGACTTCAGGATGAAAATATATTTAATTGTAACTTAATTAGAATGAGTTAATGTGTCACACATAGATTCAACAATTATCTCGTTATTTTTGTTGCAATAGAATATTGAAAGCCTTGAACTAACATTGTAGTGGGTTGACACATTTACGGACATTTCTTAATAGTTGGTGTCTGAAAGGGTTAATGAAAGTTGGCACAGACACTAAGAATTGGCCTTGCAGTCCATCCATAAGGTTTCGAGGTGATATCACAAAAACTTGATGGGAGGCAATTTATTTCTTCGTTGAACCTCCAGGGGGGGCTGGAGGATTTATAAGAGGACCTAAATAGTTGGTAATTATTGTATGCACAGCCAAATATATGCTGAAAGGGGCTGCATTGTCAAAATAATTGTTTTAGAACACTAAAATTTCCTCCAGTGACACTTCAATGAGCACACTTGCACTACAAACAAGAGGCCCCACGAAAAGTTCTTCAAGGAGTAAAATGAAAAGAAATAAGATCGCAGCCCCCTGAAGCACAGTTCAGAGAGCGTTGCAAAACAAACGGTATCGAAATCTCTGAAGTGGTTGCCAAGATATACGCTTTACAAGCTAGGCATAATGCCGAAAATATGGCATTGAGAAAACTGCATTTAAAGTGTCACCTTGGCTTGACGTCTCTGACACGCCTAAAAATTGTGATTTCTGGCTTGTCTTGTGATATTTGACTTCTCCGACATGTGGCCTCTCTTGGTGTGCTTTTGTTGCCTTTTTTATTTTTTATAAGGCCTTTTTTTGATCTGTGAAGAAAATGTATGGATTTCAAACCAAGTTTTTCGTATGAAGGAGGGGTGTGAAAGACATGACTGAAAAGATTGTAATTGAAGGTCATGTATTGAAATGATTACACACCTACATTGTGTTCAAGCTGTCATTATCGTAATTAAGCACTTCTTAATTACAAATAATCACTGAACAATTTTTCATATAGATAGTTGTTCATTGCATCAGAAAATTACTCGCACCATGACAGCATGTGCCTTCTTTCCAAATAACAAACAGTTACGGGCAGGAAACTGGTGGCACAAAAGATTTTTAGCTGTTGATTTAATTATGCAAGTGGGGCAGATAAAAATTCGTACCCCTAGTTCAAACATGTTGTTCTGCCAGTCTAGCCGGGAAACGCGTCGCGACCGGTAGCAGAAACGTTAATCTACGAGGCTTTTATTGTTTACGAGGTGTTCATGACGCCGTGGTTGTCATTCACGAAAACTGAACCAGTAATGACGAGCGCTAGTTTTGTTTTTAGTGCGACGTTAAAAACTTGTGGCAGAATTTCTGAAAGATCGCGATTCTGCCTCTGGCCGCATGTGCATCAAACCCACCGGCATTATCACGGTGGGTGGACGATCTGTCCTCGAGCATCTCGGTGACAATAAATTTGGCGGGGTGTGCGTGTGAAGGCGGAAAGCATGTCTCCGATAAAGGCACGGTCGCTGCGATGCGACCGTGCACTCTGGAGCCGCCAAGAAATGGCAGAGTTCATAGCCGAATTTTGCAGAAATCTTGGGAAAGCTCCTTTTCTTTACCGGATAGTACTCGCGAAAACTTTGTTGAAACGGAAACATCCAGGAAAAGTATTCGTTGTGGCGGACTTTGTAATAGTGGGATTTTACTGTGGATGAATAAATAAATGAATAAGCTATTCTTTTAAAATAAAGATCATTTGAAAGTTATCATTTAGGTTTCTTATTAAAATGTACTCAATCCGCTGTAGAAGAAGTCTGTGACAAATGCCTGTCTTCTTTCTGCGTGGCAGAAATCGGGCTGGACGACGACATTCGGGGTGCTTGACCCGCCGCTTGGACAGACGCGGCTGGAGGTGTGCCACCTAGTGAATGCCCTCGTCAACTCCAATAACGACGATGTGAACAAGAAGCTGGCAGAATTGGGAGCCCTGCCAACAATTCTCGTGAGCTTTTTTTTTCCCCCTTTTCAAAGAAGCCGTATCAGTCTGTTTGGGCCATTGTAGTAGTCAGATCACTTTGTATGATACACTGATGTTAGATTGACAAACGGGTACGAGAGACGCCAGTGGGCCTACATTGAAATACGAGTTCATAAGAAAAGACATACGTGTGCTCGTGCTTATAAGTGACAACTCATATAAAAAAAAGACAAAGTGCTGCCTGGTGTATGTGTCATAATTATAATGGGGATCAACTGTAGTAGCAGGTGTCACGAAAGTCTCGCATGAGGAATATTAATTAAGGTAAATAAAATGGAATGACAATGATAGTGCTATGTAATCATTATATTTCTGTTTTAACAATGCTGAATGACGATAATGACACTAACTGTGTCAGTTTGAATTCACACGATTAATAGCGAGTATTAGTACTGCATACAATGCATATGAATGCTACATTTTGCATGGAGCATGTATGTGCGTAAGACCTGTCGCGCACTCTTTGCGAAAAACGTAGTTTTTGCATATGCATACAGAGATGCAACAGAGGCAGTTCTACAATGTGCGTATATTTAGGTACTCACTGGAGTTGGTACTTGACTGAGAACTACACTCGGCGACAACTTTCTGTGGCAGCACAGCCAAGGCTATGAAGCCCAAGCATGCCCTTTCTTACTACGATTCTGCATGTAGTCCAGAAGCGCTAACTTTTGTATGCTGTGTAGCATAATGGAAAATATAAAAATATGTAAATAATATGTTCAAGGTTGTTCGCATTATCATTATTAAGGATCACTCGTGTAGGTTTTTCGTTCTTTGATGTTTCTAGTTTTCTGGTGGTCTGGTGCCATTTCGCATTTTCCCTGCTCCGGTAAACAATGGTGGCGTCGCTCGATTGCAGCAAGTTCACATCTAAGCATGTGAGCGAGCATGAGGCTTGTTCACTAGGTGATCTGTATTAATCGAGCAGGGAGAAATGGAGACAGCGGTGCGCTGTGAATTATTTCGTTTTCGGCATGTGCAATGGCCGAAAATTTGTGTGCGAGAGATATCATCATTGAAGGTGGGACTCTAATCGCTATCGCCACCTTGAAAATGACACCAGCGACCTGCCAGTCGTCAGCAACACCAGCTGCTTGGAAGAAAAGTGCGATTGGAAACTGTGCGTAAAACTAATGACCCTTTTCCTAAATTGCGTTGCATGCAGGGTCGGTGCTTCGGCTTTCTAACATTGTTGATACGATAACACTGAATATCGCATACCGTAACACCGCTCCCATCGGCGTCTACGAAAGGAGTCGTTGCTTGCACTTTGACTGGGTAACAGACGCGTCCATAAATATTACCCTGTTGACTGTGCAAAAAACCGGGTTCTCGGTCGAGTGAAGATTGCGTTTCACCCACTTGGATCTACGAACGTCGGACGCCCGCTCATGACTGATCGGTGCCAAGATTTCTGCTTCCCGTCGTTGCCTTCGCTCCCCGTAAAAATATAGCATGAGCGTCTCCAAAAAGCTCTTGCGTCTCTAAAAGAAGGAAACAATGATGCCGATCAAGTTTGCACTGAAATTTAGAAAACGGTTTCTTGGTTTAGCGTTGTTTCAATCGCCCAGTACCTGCTCGGTCGTACATTTTTTTTGTGTGTGAAATAAATCTCACCGCTTTAAAGAAGCTTAAAGAAAATGATTTTATTTATGTTCTCTTATATAAGTGCAAGATTTATTGCATGGTGGTCGTGTGAATAAGTACACGTTGGATGCACTTGCGAAACCAAAACCAAAGTCGCACGAAAACGAACTACTTGGCGCAGTAACACATGTGCAGAAGCTCTGCCCCTGTAGCTTTGGCTCTGCTGCCACAAAAAGTTGTTGCCGAGTATAGTCGGCCTAAATTTCCTAGTGGCACGTGGGTCTCGCGTAGTTGGTATTAACAGGCAAACGTAAATCACGGGATCAAGAAGGAACACATACTACACGATAGCTGGCTAACAACTGTTTATTTGCTGCGTTTGCCCCTTTATAAATATACATGAACCACTGGCAAGAAATAGAAAACGAGGGGAGAATAGGCGATATTCGCAAAGCATCTCATCCTTGTGCTGATTGCCAGCGATCTAAAAGCACGAGCTCTTCGCTTGAGAATTCCAGGGATGCCACCCTCGCAGATCTGTTCCTCGCACATGGAAGGTTCATAGCCTCAAAGACGTCACACAGGCAAGAAGAGGTCAGGGAAATCATCGAAGAAATGACCATCGCATGTGCGGGCAACAAGTGTGAGTGTGTGGCATCTCTGACATTGCCATGCGAAAAGCTTGTGCTTTTAGATTGCTCGCCATCGGCACAAAGATGAGATGCTTTGTCAATGTCGTCTGTTCGCCTCTCCTTTCTTGCTGATGGTTCACGTAAATTCATATGTGGCAAATACGGGAAAACAAACAGTTGTTAGCCGGCACTTGTGTCATCCTGTGTTCCTTCTCCGTCCCGCGCTTTTACGTTCGCGTTGTTCCTGCCAACTGATTGATTCACCAACTTGGCCAGTTAGCTTCGCTACTCGAAGAGCTGTTTGGGACTTCATGCAGGACCTGTTTTTCGAGTACTCGTGGAACAGCTTCCTGCACACGCAAGTGGCACATTTGGTGAGCGCGGTGCTTAGTTCCGCGCACTCGCTCGACCAGGAAGGGAACAAGGTGCACCCGCTGCTGGACCAGCTACTGGGAAGCTGCGCGCTGGTGCAGAGATGCCTGGACGCCTGGGATGCCAACAACCTCGAACAGTTGAGTCGTGCACGCCAACTCCTTCGTTCGTTCGATTGTTCGTTCGATTGGAGCAAACGAAAAAGTGACTAGGGAACCTGAAAACCGACAGCACGGGCATGTGGTTTTCATGTTGGTTTTCGTGTTTGCAGACCCCGCTATTTACGGTCAAACCCCTTTAAAGGAGGCACCGACATAAGAGGCAAATGGGTTTAAGAAACGCCAGTGGACCTACATTGAAAAAGGAGTTGATAAGAAAATGCACACTTTGTACCCTGATTATTAGAAACACTTGATATACCGTATTTACACGATTGTAAGACGACCCTTTTTTTTCAAATTTGACAATCCAATGTTGGGGGGTCGTCTTAGAATCGAAATCGAACCATATGTATTGTCATCTCAAATAGTTTCCCGCTCAACCCAAAGCGCATAGTTTTCCGCGTGCTTATACAAAAGCTTTTCTTTTTTTAGCATCTACTGCGCGCATTACGAGTGCCTTTATGACGAGCGCACGGCTCTTGAGGGAGCACCGGTAATCGATGGAAGAGCCGCCGTAGGGGGGGTATTGGTAGTTGACGGAAGAGCTCCTCTTTGTGATACAATTTTCTAAGCGGGCGCGTCGCCGCGTGTTCCTGTCGCTTGTGTCCACGACCGGCTCTCTCGAGTCACTTCTGTCTGACATGAGTGCCGTAACATGAGGACGAAAGTTCGGAATCGGTGAATGTGTGGTGCGGAAGTGGCGACTTCAGCGCGAGGAAATTTTCTCGTGCGACTCCAAGCGCCGTGGCTTTCGCGGGCCGAAGTCTGGCCGCTTTCCGGAACTCCTACGTGAGACGTGAGGTGCTTTTTTTTTTTTTTTTTTTTTTTTTTTTTTTTTTTTTTGGGGGGGGGGGGGGGGGGAGATGCGATTTTGGGGGGGTCGTCTTACATTCGAGTCGTCTTACAATCGTGTAAATACGGTAACAGACGAAAAATTGAACCGCGTATCTTCAGGCTTCGTTGCAAAGGTCTTCGAAAGGTTAGATAGTCTTTTGTCTGGAAGCGCTGCTTGAGATATGGTGCCATGGCAGTAATGTGAAGAAACGAATGTATTTTTAGAACGCAGAGCCACTGGTGGGTCGCAGCACCGGGTTGTTTTAGTTAAAGCCCCCGAATTCTTTAGTGAAGCATAGGAAACACCTCGTTTTTCGCTCGTAGCGTCTCATTGTCAGTGCAGCGTAAATAAACACTTGGGTCTTCAGAAATACGTATCTATACATATTTTAAATAAAAAGACACTGCCTAATGCTTGCGTGCTGATGTTGCGTCTGAAATATGCGTGATATAAGCTTTTTGATTGACAATGTTCACTACTGTATGAATACGACGAACGTAGCTTTCAGCATGAAAAATGCAGTGCTATCGTATAATGTATTTTATGCTAGAACCGATTGTTTTGTAGCTGATGGCGGTAAGCGCGAAGCCTGTGCAAATCAATCACTTCTTTGTTCTTTCTCTGCCCACTGACACGAGTTCTACCTTCAATAATTTTGTTTATTTGGTGTGTACGTGCTCAAGACGTGGCACACGACATGTTGCGTAGTTCTGAAGTACTTTTTATTGCAAGGTCTTTGCTTCTGTGGCATGTGGAGTATTCCCGACATACACAAAAGTATGCACTAAAGGTGCACTTTAAATGATTTTGCTGTGGAGTGATTTAGGTGTTATTATTTAAAGCTGAAAAATGAAAACAATTTCTATTTTTTTCAGCAGTTTCATAATTAAGGCATTAAAATTGTCAAGTCTTATTTGCTGCAATACTCTGGTTTTGTGCAGAGAAAGCTTCTAAGATTAGGTAGGGACTGCCGTCACAGATTGCAACGCATTTGGTTCATTAATTACACGTGCCGTTATTCACATGCACTAGTATGACTGCTGCCATCAAAAATCTTTACCGGCAGTCATTCAGAGGTGACATTGCAGTGGCATTGACGTGGCCCTGGGAAACGATAAATCAAAATGTATGCCAGCTTCCTTTTGTTGCATACTAATTTTCAGTGTTGTCTGGTGATACAAATTTGGGATGATACGAATATTTTTTGGTGACCCTGCGAGATTCGTATCACCGGGGTTTTACTGTATCTAGAAAGTTTTCTGACGTACACGTGATTTTGGGGGTTTGCCCTCAGCTCTTCAGTCCATGTCGGCATCTGAGATTGCATTATTGAAACTTAGCTACGCCCATTCTTTTTTTGTCCAGGTCGGAACCCGGTAAACATCGGCGCGGATACATGGGTCACCTGACGAAAATAGTCAATGACATCGTTGCCGCAGCAGACGGCGGGAACAACTCCGAGATCGTCCGAGAGAGGTTAAAAGGTGCGCTTTTCTGAGAAACAGAAAAGAAATTGATTGTGAAAGTTCCCCAAATCGGGACATCAATCGGTAATAGTGCTTTTCACTTCTCTGGGTTCAAGTTCATGCATTCGAACATTACAGCGAAAGCTGTTTCTGAGACTACAAAAAGGGTCGCGTGCGGCTGCCGTAGTTGTCCGCCGCCGGTGTTTGTAACCACTGTCGCATGAAATAAGAAAAAAAAAACTTGGGGAATAAAAACATCACTGAAACAGCGGGATTCAAAGCCGACCCCCGTCATTTTACCACAGAGCCATGCTAGTGCTTGAAACCCGTTGCAAACTTACCTTAGGCAGACTAGGATTCGGGAAAGGAATCGCATTAAGATGAGTAATTAAGCGTTTTAGAATAGCAGAGCGACAACCAGGCATCACACAATGCGAATTGTGTAACGAGTGGGTCGTCCAGGGCTCCAAGCCTTTACAAAAGCTCGTTCTTGATCATTTATTAGGTGTGGCGCATACCCACTTCAGGCACAATATTTCGTCATCAGCCACTGCATAAAAAATTTGAAAAAAATTTCTTGCAAGTGCGTAGTGAATACCATGCTTCTCCGAAAAATGATGAAAGATAGCACGCCGGCGATTCTTTATGGTGTAGTGGGTACTCTGCAAGTGTGCTTGTAGCAGTTACCCAAAGAGTGTCTAGAAAAGGCTCTCAAAGGCCACTCTTCGAGCTTTCCCTGTGACTGTGCTGTGCTTTTTATTACAGTAGGTTCTCGTTAAATTTGGCATGAAGAAACCAGTGCAATATTTTTTGTTTAGAGTGTTTCTGTTCACCTAGATGTAAGCAGAGTTGCTGAATCTAAGTACGAAACCAATTATATTAGAGCCATTTATTCCATGCAGCAGTTCTGTTTCAGGGATATCCTTCTACCGAGGGTCTGCTCTATAGTGCCTACATAGTGTTAGGTCATGTTAAAAAAACCCCAAGTGGTCGAAATTTCCGGAGCTTTCCACAGCGCAGTCTCTCGGAATTATCTAGTAGTTTTGGGGACATTCAAACCCCAACAATTATTATTAGTGCCAACAGAATTGCATTGGCAGGACAGCAACGTCCAATAGTGTGTCAGATGTCCCAGCTCCAGAAATGCTGCTCTTTCAGAGGTCTCTTTTTTTTTGTCCACTACAATGAATTTTATTTGTTTGATAATTATTGTACTACAATAAAAGCTAAATAATTTGGTTGTCACGGGAGTGGGAAAACTGTCTGAATTAGCCGAATGCTGATTTTTCGAACGTATGGAGGAAACGATATATAAAGGTCTTTTACACTTCTGCACTTTCATCTTCTAGAAGGGATACGTAAAACCAGTAAATATTTTGCATAGGAGCCATGCAAAAGCTGCAATTTTCATTATTTGAAACGCCGTTCACATTTTGAACATGGCTCAGGTCCCCTGTGTGCACGGTACGCTCATCGCATGATGTACCATCAATGTGCTTACAACAACCCTGCTATCTGAAGACCCATGACCATTTCGGTTGTCCGCGGATATTATTTTCGTTCTTTGCGTCACACGTTTGCTGTGCTTTGCGCCCGGCACGTCCAAGAATCGTTCAAATTGACTGTGTTCCAGCCAGAAGTGACCGAATTAACGAGAGTTTTATGGCAGCAAAAAACACGTATGTTGGTCGAGCACTGTTAACAGCAGCAGCTCCGTGGTTTCATTCTAGCTGTCCCAAAGAATTTTCGCGTTTTATTTTGTCGCGAGTACTCGGGTAGTTGTAGAATTAGTGCCACCAAAGATGTCTGCTTGTTCCCCTTCAGACCTTCCCGAGGACTTGCAGGGGCGCTGGAAAACCTTTACAACGGAAGCTCTTGTGGAAGTAAACAAGAAAAACACCGTATCGTTGGTGAGTTGGATGAAATTGGATGCACGTTGGCTGATGTTGATTTCATCTGACAGTGTGATGCTTAAGCTTAACCTAAAATGATGGGCACGCTCTCTCCGTTCAACAGCGTCTGTTTGCAAATCGCCAGAATTATTACTGTGCATTGATGTGCGTCAGCTGTACTTCATGGCATTGAAGCTGCGTCGGGAGATTGAATACGTATTCTCATTTTCAAGCTGCATGACAGTCCAGTATATTGGATTTTTCCGTGACCATCAAATTAGACTGGTGCTTGATAGCCATAATCATAAAATCTTTTTTGTTTTCATAATTTCCGCAAGGAAAATTCGGTGGTGACGCCACCTTAAAATTCGCACACCAGACGTTTTGACGTCATGGATTTCGATGGTGTCTAGTAGCCGGAAAAATGATGGTGTCTAGTAAGCAGTAAAAACGATGGTGTCTAGTAAGCAGTAAAAATGAACTACAGTGTCCTCTAAGAGGACCACAGGCTCAACGTACGCAAATTTCGTACACAAATTTAAGAGTGCAACAACCTTGCTTTCCTTTATTAATAAACCTATATTGTACACTGGTGAGTTTAACGACATTAGTGTTTTCAAAGTATAATTTATTAATCAAAACCTCTAAATTTATGTGCACCTTGAAACACTCGAAGTGGTATGAAATGGATCCTTAGTCTCCTACTATGGCTTGCACTTTTAATTGTATTGTGGCTTTGAAGTGTAAAACTTGAGTGATAATCAGCATGGAAAGGGAATAACGATCCTTGATGGCGTTGTTCCAGGCCGGTGGAATGCCTAATGTGTCCAGCACCGACGAAGACGAATGCATTGACCTTCGCGACGTCAGCTTCCACCAAGAGGCGGCACTCCAGCAGGTGCGTAGAGATTTGTTTCAGCCGGGGATCGTATTCCGATCGGGGCGCAGTCCTGTTGGCAGTGTTGTAGGAAGTGCACGGACTGGTTCAGTCGCCGCGACTGTCTGCCAGCACCAACCCGCCGTCAGGTATCCGTGATTAAAGCTGTGGACTTGTGGCATGCGGTGCCGCTCTTTTACAGCTCCTGCATTATTTTCTATGATGTATTTGGAATTCGCACGACATGATTAACTATTGGCTCTAATCTAAAAAGGTGAACTCTTGATAGGGTGAAAGAGGAGCCAGCCTGTCTGCATTTTATTAGACTTCAGTTGTGTGTAACCCTAGTGTCAGATGCTGCAAAGCAACTGGAGTAGACAGACTGGGCAAGATTTAGTTAGGTGGACTTATGTTTGCTGTGCTAGCTCTCAAAAAGTTTACTTGATGGTGTCATGCAAGGCCGCGATTGAATGACACCGCATGATGTGACATCCACGACTAACCTAACTAACATGCCAAGGATGACAAGACACCGTTGACAAAGGTAGGTCCACCTATCAAAACGTAGGTCAACTTGTCTGAGCGACTCTATTCGTTATCCAACTTCTTAAATCACACTTTGTTTCCATTCAAAGGTTTCTGGCACAGTGTAAGGTAACCAACAAGTTATACAACTGTTGGGAAAGGTATTATAGCCTAATGGTTCTGACAAAGTTGTGAATGCAGAGTGCATCTGCAGGTTTTGTCCTGTCGAAATTGACCATTCTAGGCATATCTTTCTAGAATGATCTTTGCAAGAAAGGGAATGTCAGTGTGAACCTGTAGTATTTCAGCAAACCTTATTACAGCAAGCACGTCTATATGGTCTGAGATAAAGAAATTCTGCAGTTTTTAAATGGCAAGAAAAAAAGATTTCTTGGTGGTTATTATCTATTGTTTACCTGTAATTTAAAAGGACTTCTCGTGAGAGGAGTAAACCTAATATTTTTAAAGAAAGGAAAGCTTTTCATTTTACCAGGAATGACACAGCTGCAAAGAATGGGCAGTTCTATCCCCGCCTGCCCAGTACTGCCTTATGTCATTAATTGCACTGCGTGTATACTATCTTGTGAGAACTAGGAACAGTTATGTCGTGACAGAATGGCGTTATTGAGGAAAGGAAAGTGTGTTGTGTGACAGCTTACTGGTGATCACATGAAATGCATCTTCAGCTGGTAGCAATATGACAGCGTAAATCTGTCATTCAAGGTGGAAACACATTTTAAGCTTTTGACGACCGAAACTGTTTGCTGCGGCTTTGCTTCTTTCATAAATCCAGCACATATCTTACTTGATGCTTCCACGCTTCGCTTTATGTGAATGGGCCTTTCCAAGATAAAAAAAACTGTTTAGTTAACATTCATCCTTCAATGAACATTAGTGCTCTTAGGGTTTTTCTGGGTGTTAAAGCATTTCTTTCATCCTCGCTTACAATCGCAGCTGTGACAACTTCATTGTAACATTAAAATTGCGATTGCAACCATCTAATGAATCATCATGTTTAAGTACCAGTCATTTGAGGGGCACTTTTTCATCCGTGACCAAGCCTCGCTTCTCTTCTTCTTTTTTCTTTTGAGCGATTTTGGGATGTTGATTGACCTGTACGTGACAAGTCTGGAATTCGCGTGACTTAGAGAATGTTTACTCAAGGCTTTCCGTTGTCAAGTTCTCGGTCTCTCTCCCGTTTTTCTTATCACTCTCATTGGGTGTTAGCATCACTAGAGACTTTCATGTGACATCTACCAGAAACAAGAGTTTCTCCGTCACGTGTGACACAACTTTTTTTTTTTCACCCGTATAAAATCATTTTGAATGGGCATTACTGGCCCCCTGACACATTTAAAATAATGAGTGTCTGTGTGTCTTGATACAACTTACACCTACACTCTCACCGTGGGCTCCAAGTCCTTTTAATGGCCAGGGAGATCTTCAAAACTTGTATGCAACTGGACGTGGGTATGACTAGTGCCTGTGACATGACATTTAAGGTGTCGTGTCACAGGTGCTTAAGGAATGTAAATTTCTATGTCACATGTGACCGGAGGTCTCTTGCCTTTCTTTGTGCTTCAACAGCTTAGAATTTTTGTCAGAAGATCTTTCCAGGTGTGTAAACATAGTTTTTTTTTTTTTTTGTCGTGACAGAACTTCTAGAATAATGCCGATATTTTTTTCATCACAAGTTGTGTCATGTGTCTTGTCCTTAGGGCTCTTAGGTTGGTTTCTCTCTTTTAGCTCTGCGGTGTCTGTGCTTTGCTCTCATTTTGTGACTAGCCTTAATTATGTCATGCGACTCAAATGGCTCTGTTTGCCCGTTACAGACAACCTTCACCTCTCACTAAGGGCTCTGGGTGCTTTATTTTTCCCCCACGAGGGGTTCATGATTCTGTTTGCTAACCCTCCTTCTTCCTCACTTCCCACAATGCAGGTTTTCCCGAGGTCTGTGCAGCAGGTGAGATAGGCCTCCTTTCTCTTTCTTTCCTCTCATCCATCTCTCCTCTCTGGCTCTTTCTGCAACCGGAGTTTCTTGTGGAGGCTACTAGAGGGTGCTCTGGTGCAGAGACTGTCAAACCACCATGCAAATGATAGGGTTACTTTGTCTGTCAAGGCCTACAGGTGCATTGCCTGTGTACTGAAGTTCTTCAGAATTGAGACTCCAACAAAGACTTTTTGCCATCACTCACGTCATGACAGCTTGGTAAAGGTTGTGGTAGTATGCGTGTGGGGAATGGTATACTTGTGCAACTCGCTATGGCATTGAACAGAAAGATACTGGGAAGCAGAAAAAGCTTTCGCACGTGTGCCATGGCATGAAGCAGTTTAGCAGTTGTTTTTTGTTCCTAAACGAAAACACTGAATCAGTGCAGCACACCTGCAAGGTCACACGAAGTTTTAATGTTTTGGAATTTGAACTTATTTTACGATTCTTCAAACGTGCGCACATTCACGAAAAACTGAGGCAGGTTTGCACTAGTGCCACCAGAGCGAAACAGACACTACCAAAAGGAAGAGCAAGGTCCCTATTAGCAGTGCCCTAATTATCAAGGTTACAGTTATCATATCTATAATTAGCAAGATCTTAATCAGATTGGTCTTATTGTTTTCTTCAATAGCACAGTCTCAATTAGTATGGCCTTAGTTACACCCCTTGCTAGACAAATCTGCACAGCTCTAAAAATGAATAAGCTTGTGAGAAAATCTTCATGGTCTTTACAGATTGGGCGATGCGAGATGATGCACCATTAACCACCCAGTTTAATTGCACAGTATTCCATGTGCTAAAGGGCTATTTGCTTCTGAAAAAATTAATTCTGTAAACTGTCTCAAGCATTGTTTCTTTTTCCAATCCTAAGGAATTTCACCACTAAAATGTGGGACGGTTAAGTGGAGCCCTATGGTTCTGTAGGCAGTGGTCTGTTTCGAAGAACAGAACCAAGCAAAGTCATCCGTTAGCACCAAGGCGATAGCATGAGCTTCTGCTATCATATGTGATTTGACCATTATATGTATTAAGATCCTGTCTTAGCCACTGGGTTAACATTTTGTCATAATTGTTTCATTGGCACGCATAAACTTTGTGCAAATGTTTAGACAGCTAAAGCATTTGCGACATTTTTTTTTTACTTTAGACTTTGGGTGCATAGAGATAATGAAAGTAGACATAATACACATATACGCAATGAATTATTGGATATGACCTAAACATTTATAGAGCAAATATGTATGACATCAATCGACATGTAATCAGTATGTGCTTGTAAAAATAAATTTTTTGTTGCCTGCAGCGTTAATATACTTAGGCAAGACTTCATGCTTCCAGTATGTTATCTTTAGTTGTCAGCGAACATTTGCTTAGCATAAACAATATTGTTTTAGGGTTTGTTATGAGAACTAGAATACTCCTTAAACTAAGGACAAACAACTGGACCTTACGCTTACTTCAACGAAGCCAATAAATTGTTATTTATGGATTTATTGATATACCACAGCATCAAAGCCAAGTTTAATATTACAGTTCCACGTTTCTGCCATAGCTTTCGCAATATTTTCACACCACCTTCACAGCTGTACATTTCCGTAGTATCATCACTTGTAAAAGAAACATTGGGGTTTTGTCTCCTTGATGTTCCAGACATTGCTTCAACGTTACGGCAGCAATGCAGGTTTTTGAATTTGTATTGGCACCAGACTTCCTTCTAGTAATATTTGTGTGAAACTCTGTGCCTGATGGCTGTCTGTCTGCCCACCTCACCTGGCATCTTTTTTTTTTCCCTTGTTTCCGATTTTACTAGTTGTCCGTGCTGCACGTTGTGAATTGTGTCAATCATTCATTTGTGACTGTGACTGGGCAGCTGTCATTGTGTACCGGATTATCTTGGCTAATAATACCCGTACTGAATGGGGCATGTTGAGGAATGCTTTTCAAACTGGCACAGCATGTTACTGCATTGTCTGCAAATTTTATTTCCTAAGTGGAACTTTTCTATGTATTTCCCTTTGTTCAGTTCCATATTGCACCAGATCAGTAGTATCATTGTAGTACCATGTTTTGTATTGCCAAAAATTTGTCATATCGTGGGTAACTGTTCATCCTCTTGACACTTTAATAGTGGTGGCCTCCTAAGACTGAGAGGGACTCCCATAAGCCTTACTTTTTCATACTGCAATAGCAGAGGGCAACTGGTTTAGAGAAATGGGTGCTGATCTCAAAAGCCTTACATCTGCAACGTTGTAAGAAAAAATAATATACGTGTGGACACTCTGCTCCTTCCCGTTCCTAGAAAATGCATGGCACTTTCTGTTCCTCCATGCCTCCATGTTGCAGAGCTTCCCCTTGTAATTGCGGCCGGCACATGTACTATAGATTGCGAGTTGCGTATGCAGCATCTGCAAAGGCGTCATGTACGAGTGTAAGGGAGAACACCGTGGATCTAGCCACCATACGGTGAAGGCAGCGGTAGCGTTCGCCGCACGTAGAATTTTTTCATCGGGAAAAATGCAGCATGCATTTCCTGCTGTAATTACTATAGACAAGAATGTCGCAGTGCCCCTTCACTCCAGTGGCATGATACTGCAGTCATTGCATGTGCTAAAGCCTAGACATGGTCTCCGTTGTTGCGGTGGGCGGAGAGTGTCCACACCTAAATTATTTTGCTTACACCGTGCCTTTGCGTACTGCAAACACTGCAAGCCATTGCGTGCAGTGAAAGTGTGTCCATGGCTGGCACTTCGTGAGCCTTGCCCATCGATCTATCATTGCAAATTTCGGCGTCTTATTATGCAGTAAAAAAATTCGTCATGAATTGTGCGACTGAAGATGGGACCACGAGTCTTGAAACAAATCGGTGGCCAAGTCCTAGACTGTAGGTAAGCTGAAGGTCCAGTTATCATAAACGTGGTGTGCAAGATGAAGTGAAGACAACCTTATGGCCAAATGCCCAAGTAAGATCGAAGCAGTCTCTGCACGGTTCTTGCTGGGAGTAATTTATCTGTAAACCTTCCGCATGTGGTATGTGGCTCGATGGCAGCTTGCGGCAGAGCCCGTGTTGCTGGGCAACCACGGTCACAACTCTCTACATTGTTGGAAAAAAAAAGAAGGGAGGGGGAGGTATTTGCATCAACCAGTCCTGAAGAGTAACTAGTAACAGTGTAATAGAATAGAGTGAATAGAATAGTTGTATCATAGCTAGGCTATGTTATGTCATGAAAAAGAGAAACGTCCACGCCATTACGTGACGTACCCATGTGCACTCTGTAAGACATACCGCATGTACCCGCATGTGTGACTGAGCTGTCGCATTGTGGCATTTTATTTTACCTCCTGCTCCTTGTTAAGTCAAGTTTTTACCATTATTATTCTTTCACTCTGCTTTTGTTCTTGACTAACTTGCTGCACTCGTCTCTTAGCAGTCATCTCTCCCTGTAGTTGTGTGGTAGTCAAGTTGTGGCGGTGTGCTCCTTGTGCTTGTCTCGAGTGTGAATGTGGTGCGTGACCTTGTGACGTCGATGCGAACATGGCCGTAGGCCTTTTCTGATTACCAGATGGAGCAGGTGACCAGCAACTTCGTCGAGCAGTTCGGCTTCAATGACGACGAGTTTGTCGAGGCTGATGAAAACCTTGTGTAAGTGCCTGAACATTTTCCGCTTGTCTGTCTGTTAACGGCAGTGTTGTAGCACTGGTCTTGACGTGCTACAACTCTGCTCAATCTAAAGTTGAACACATTTCACGAAGATTTGTCCGGCTGTGCAAAGTTATACGAACGAACTGTCCAGCCATGTTTAGTGAGTAGTTTTTAAGATTAAAACTAAAAACTGGCCCTATGTTTCGACACCACTTCAGTATCTTCTTCAGGGGGTGACTGTTCGGCTGGTCCCAATTGATTGATTTGTATGTGGGGTTTAACGTCCCAAAACCATCATATGATTATGAAAGACGCCAAGGCTGGTCTCAAAGCTAGCGTTTTTTTTGTTTCTTGTTTTTTTTTTTCTTCGAAGTGGTGGTTTCCTTCTCCACTGTCATTATTCTCGTCATACCTGAATTAATGCTAAAAAGCATGCGTGAAATGTGGAGTGCAATCATTAGCAAACAGCAAAAAAAAAAAAAAAAAGAAAGCAAGCTTTTTTGTATCAAGGAATTAGACTAAAGATGGCACCGGTTCGAAGGGATGCCATTGCTCTTAATAAACTTTCCTCGGTTTGCAATTGATTTTGATAAAAAAATAGAGTTCATGTATATTTGTATTCTAATTTCACGTATGCAATTATTTTTCTAGTGTAGTCTGTATTATATTTTCAAATATAAAATATTTCTTTTGCCTTGTAAGAAGCTAAATGTTTCTTTTAAAAAAATGAATCAGCTTATCGCAATAATCTAGAATCGGAAGTGTGTGCGATGAAAAAAAAAAAAAAAAACGTTCTAAGCCCGCTTGAACAAAAGTTATCATATGTTGACCAATAGTGAGGGAGTCAATTTAAAGCTAGAACTTAACTTGTGAATGTTCAACATATCATGACTTTTTTCTAATTTTTTTCAGCATATCCGTTATCGCTAAGAACAATAATTTAGTAAAACGTTTTCTGAAGCGAATGAGCGACCTCTCGCTCCACAGCATGCGGCATTAACCGCTCAACCGCAACAGCGCACATCCTTCAGCATACTAATGGCGTGCTGCTTATGTACACCATTTACCACTGGTGGCACGCTGATCTCGGGGGGTGGGGGGATATCAGCGTATTCTCTGCATCACTATAAAGAACGCGCTAAGGGTGCTCTCGGCACCCCACTCCTCAATACATGCTTTGTCCTACAAGGCACAGTCGCTCGTGCACGCGCAGGCACCCATTTCGTGATGGGGGCAGCTTGTACATTGCTCGATAGTGATGGCAATGAGACTTCCCTGTCAACATTTCTAGAAAGATGCCTACGACATCGCACGCTTTTTCTGTGGGGACGGGGAGTTCCTTGTAGTTAAGTACTTTCTCCGCAAAGAGCGCTCGCAGCCGACACTGCTACTTCCGTTCGGTTCGGAAGTGACGCAATCACAAAAACACGACCCTGTTGCCTTCGAGATTGCAGTAGACATTGCTTTAATCTCAGAGGCGGCAAGGTTTAAAACGGCTGCCGCAGCGAGCGCTCAACGCCGACACTGTTTGGGCAGTGGAGGAGGAGAGAACTCGAGAAGGCCAGGAACCAGCTTTTCGCCTGAAGTCGCTGGCATCTTTCTAGAGGAGGTGTTGGCCCCTCTTTTGCCACTGGCTTGCTTTTGAGTCGTAGACTGATCCGAAGCTGAAGCTCAGTCACTCAGTTCATGGTTTCTTTCACACAGCTGTGCGGAACGATGCCTTTTCGATGCCAATGCATATCATTTCATTCGTGCTTAGTCATTGTGTTCTGTTCACAAAAATAGCCTCGCTCCAGAGAACAGTGTGGTTTCTTCATAGAAATAAACCTATAACAGCTTTGCATTTGGCATTGCCACTCGAGTGACAATAGTGGTGCATTCCATAGTTTGAGAAGAAGCGACGAAAACAACACGCTTGATTTGCGTCGCAGGGCTTTTTTAATCGGCTTCACAGGTGTGGTGTCTAGGCTTGATCTGTACAATTTTATGCGTAAAAAGCTTCAAAAGAGCCTTAAAAGAGTGCTGTCACAAATTTTAAATATTTTCGAGTTAATAATAAAAACATGGACGCAGAGAACTCGAAAATGAGCGTAGTAGTTAGTGCTTTGGAATGCGTTGATTATATTTTGATTACCACTGCCTTAGAACAAAATTTTTCGTTTCGAAATCGAGAGGGTGGCGACACACTGATGTCTCAACAGAGGTCTGGCATCGCGGGGAAAATTTAACTCTCAACATACTGGCAACCGCCGCCTGTTAGCTGTCAGTCGCACATGGTTCACGTAAACAATGATGACTTGATTGTCATCCAGAGACTCTGACTGCCATTTCTGCGATTTAGGCAGCATGCAGGACTCAAATTTCGCAAACCGAGAGAACTGTGTTGGATTGTTGTGATAATGTCTATTGTGCTGGTACGGGCTTGAACATGGTGGGGAGACGAACTTTATAATCGTAGTAAAATAGTGTGTACGTGTTTTTTAGCTCCGGGTTATTCAGAGCGTTGACGGTGTACATCATGGAAACGAAGTATGTCCCTTTTGGGGTGCCTCAAAATACAGTAGACTCCTTTTAAGCGAAACCTGAAGGGACCAGATTGATTCATTAATATGTGGGGTTTAATGTCCCAAAACCACCATATGATTATGATAGACGCTGTAGTGAACCACCTGGGGTTCTTTAACGTGCACCCAAATCTGAGCGCACAAGCCTACAACATTTTCGCCTCCATCGAAAATGCAGCTCGTGACCTGCGGGTTAGCAGCCGAGTACGTTAGCTACTATACTATTGCGGAGGGGCGCTGAAGGGACCAGGAAAATGTTTTCTTTAAGAGGAGTTTTGTTTACTGAGAGATAAACAGGGGTGCAATATTCAAGTACGAAACCAAACATATTAGTGGCAGTTGATCTATTTAAGCAGCAGTTTCATTTAAAAGAGGTTTGTTTAATGGAAGTCTACTGTAGTGTCAGTGCTCTAATACAGCGTTATGAAGAAAAAAAATGATCCTGTGGTCGCATCTTAGGCTTCACAGTTTGCCCGTTTGTCTCATTTACAGTGGCCAGCTCGACCAATTGGCTAGGGCAAACTTTCAGCTTCCACCCGAGGTCAACATGGTAAGCAATGTGCTTTTTAGAGGTCTCTCTGGTCTCCTCAGCGAAAGTACTAGAGTTACTGTAGAGCTATGTTAGGCACAGTACGACATGAAAGTGACATTGTTAATATTAACATTGTTGTGCTATTGTTGTGTCTACGAACCAGCTGTTTTTGCAGACATAACCGATGCGATGTGCCAGTGATGACTGTGTCTTCCATTAATCATGCAAATTGCCTTATCGGAGTAGCAGTTCAGAACATGCAATTTTATTGTTGGAATGTCTCCTCATATTTGTTCCTTCATATTCAAGACCACCTGAAAAAATTTTAGTGCAAGAGGTTTTTCAATTTAAACTGCAGCAGCATTGGTAGGAGGTAGGACCAAGCAAATAAGAATAAATGCTGAATGCTACCATCGAGGAGGAACAAGCCAGATAATTTTTAACCTGGTTATCTATATGCTTAATGAGTTGAGTGGTTGCTTTAAGTTTAGCATCTCTAGCTTATGCCCTACCAACTTATAGTGACTTTAGCTTGTTTATGCAAACAGATAGCAGTTTGAACAGTCTTAAATTGAATTCTTTATTGCAACAGATCGGTTAGAAGCAGGTGAGCTTCACTGATACTTACTCAAATTGGATATATAGAATTGTTTTTTTTTTTTTCTGTATCTCTCTTGAAGCAAAGCCAAGCTGACCTCTTTGAGCGCATCTGCCGAGAAAAGGCTCAGACGTTGGACGACGCGGACAGCGACGACGACATCTGGGACGACAAGGAGGTTGTCGTTTCACCAGAAACACGTGGACGCAGGTACTGTGATTGTTTCAGTGCCATCCAAAGATTTTAGAAAATTGCTCCTCGTTCTTGCTTGATTACCCCGCAAATGGACGTGGTTCTCTGCTCATTTCTTAGGATGACCGCTGCTTAAAATGTGTTTCCGACACGACATTGCCAGGTTGGGTGTACGTTTGGTGCTAGCTGTAGATGCATGTCTGGTGTCATGTTTAGATGCACGTCCTGGTGCCAGTTATAGATGCACCTCTGGTGTCAGGTGTAGATGCACATCTGGTGTCGGGTGAGGATGCACGTCTAGTGCCAAGTGCAGGTGCAAGTCTGGTGCTAGGTGTAGACGTATGCCCGGTGCAAGGTATAGATGCACGTCTCGTGTCCAATGTAGATCCATCTCTGCGCACCTGATGCCATGGAATTACCATGGCACTGTAAAAGTCAAGAGGTCGATGGTGCAGTTATTCTCGCATTTTAATCATGTAGGGGTCATGGTAACATGACTGTCTATCAATTCTGCATGCCTATCCCTTTAAATGTAAGCTTGCTAAGTTTTCTGTGATGGTGACGCGGGCAAGATTACATTATGAACTTATTCTTGACAGGTATACACTCGTACGAAGGAACTATTTATATGCTATTCACAGGTGCATGCTCGTAGCGATTCCTACCACAAGCCCCGCTGTGGTGGTCTAGTGGTTAAGGTACTCGGCTGCTGACCCGCAGGTCACAGGATCAAATCCCGGCTGCGGCTGCTGCATTTTCGATGGAGGCGAAAATTCTGTAGGCCCGTGTGCTCATATTTGGGTGCACGTTAAAGAAGCCCAAGTGGTAAAAATTTTCGGAGCCCTCCACTACGGCGTCTCTCATAATCATATGGTGGTTTCAGGACGTTAAACACCACATATCAGTCAAATCAACTGATTCCTACCACAAGTTATACCTTGAATGCTTGGCGGCTCTCAGCTACAGCCTTGCTACATATACACTAAAAACCTGGATATAACAAACTATCGGTCATAACAAAGTAAATTAAGAATTGTCTTGCAGTTTAGTGTTAGAAATATATCTGTATTGAATTTTCGGATATAATGATTTCCTTTTGCTTTAACATGCAACTTTGCTATAATGAGGTTTGAGTGTAAATCCAGGCAAAGATGGCAAACCTTGGTTGAAACAGCTCTTGGTGCAAGGTTTAAAGGGGTGCTTTTGCTGCGCCAACTGCGACCAAGTGCACTGGCTGCTACACTTCTTCAAAGGAGTCTGCGCCCAACCTGCACCAAATGGTGTATGCCGACCTTCAAAACAAAGTTAACTACTACAGGTTCTCCCATTGAAAGCTCCATCTTGGTGCATTGCGTACAACGTTATTCGAGCCGAGCCAAGAGAGAAACAACTCTATTGAAGTGATAAAGAGTATTTTTCACAGAGGGAATGCAATCAGGCCGTGCCTAACTGCCACCTTCGCAGCTCGTTGTGTGGCCCGGAACTGTACCTCGAAGCTCGGGGTTCACAACTCCATAAAACACTCCGTGTTCTGGCAACACTGGTCGAAAAAACAAAAATAGCTGCGCTTAACAGGGTCAATGCGCCACTTCCGCTTGGTACTGTGGTGAAAATTCTTGACTGTATTGAAAGGGTCATTCTCATCGACATTAAGTTCTTAAAAACCCTTGAATTTTCATCATCTAAACGAGCTTGAACCCTGTCCAGAAATGTTCCGCTTGGTCACCGTATGGCGAATGTAGCGACTATATTTGTGCATGGGGTCATGCTTGAGGACATTCTTTACTTTTGGGTTGATACACCAACTGCACCGTATCCGAAAATGTTCAGGCTTTGAAACGGCCAAGCGATACTCATGCAAAATGTACTAAACAGTATCTTATGGTCACGGGCAGTATTTTAAAAATCGTTTGGTCATTGAGTTCAACAAACCAGCTGTTTTTTTTTTCTATTGGTATAGATGAAGCACCTTCTATAACATATGTGCAGTCACTGAGGTTTCTGTCATGTTTAGCATACAACTATGGAGGATGAACTCATCTGTGATAACCATATCATCGTCAGTAACTTAATAATGAAGTGCTGTGGTTCTCTGTTTCATCATTGGCTTTGTGCACTAAATACCGTCGGGCCAGCCACAGGTGTTATTGATAATTCTATAGTTTTATTATGCTTAGTGTGCAGCACACTATGCTCTTAGCGGCCGTCTGTCGTAAGCGCAGTACGCGTCTTAATTTGCTTCCAGCAATAGCTCCTCTGAAGAGCCAGTTTGACTGCTCCACAACGCATTTTTGCCCGCTTCAAAAGCTGCTGCAAAGCAGCCTAAGCCAGTAGCATCACTGGGTTTATTATGATTGTCTCACACTGTTTCCTGTTTTATGTTGGTAGGCTTCTTTTGAAGTAAGTATTAACTCTTGCTTGACTTATCTGCATGATTTGTCTGTTTCTTTTTGCTAGTAAAGCAACGCTTAAACCAAGAGTATGCTTGGAATAGCCAGGGCATCAAAGCAAAGTATGTACTGTACTGTTGTGTGCTTGTTCTCATACCAGTCTCCACAATGTAAAGAAAAAAAAATGACTGCCTTTCAATGATTTCCTCGTGAGCATTCATGTCGTCAAGCTATAGAGCAGGAGTTAACTTGCCTATTGCGTTGGGTAGAGTTTGTTGCGATTTTGCGAATATAAGATTTTTGCCCCCTCGTGAGTGACAGTAATTTGATGGAGGTCATGTGATGCGCGAAGTCAATTTTATCTTCCTAGTGTGCACAGAGAACGTTCTTGAATTTTTTGTGCTGGTGCTGAAAAGAAATAGCGGCTGTAATGCTGTCAGGAAAGACAACCAGGCCTTTGTCATGAGTATTCAAGCAATCTTCAGGTCTCTTGAGGTTTTGCTTAAGAGATACATTCAAATCACGATATAATGAACCAGGATATAACAAATTATTGTTTATAACAAAACTAAGAAAGCTCCGTCGTAGGTACAGTGCTACAAATATATTTTTTTAACGAATTTTTTTATATAACAAAGTATTTTTGTGACAGATGCAACTTTGTTAGAACGAGGTTTGAGTGTGTTAGTGTAGTGAGAAATCGGACACTTTGGGGGGGGGGGGAGCATCAGGCCTTAACGTTTGCTTTTTCTGTTAAAAAATTGCTGACCACAGTATTGGTGAATACAGCTTTGAATTAATATTTGCTAGGTATAACTAACCTTTTGTTTATCTTCAGTGTCAGGGAGACTTGGAGCGCTCATAATGCCTCTAATGGAACACACTAAAACGACTGATCATATTTCTTTAATCACTAGATGGAAGCACCCGCTTTGCTCATTCATGTAAGAGACATGCAGCCGCTTTTATTTTACTTTGCACCTCAAATCCGTTTAACTTGAAGCAAACTGCTTTAGAATAGCATTTCTAACTAAACGTGTTATGCATCTAAACAAATAGCGCCCTCATTACACACGCTCCAAAAGTTATCGAGATTCCCAAGTTTGTATTTCGTGTTAATGTATGTGATTTGGCAAGGTTAACGTTTGTAATGTTTACATTAGCCTTGTTGATCATGGCAACACCCATGGCTCCAGCTTCAGTGTGAATTCCCTTGCTTTTTATGCCTTCACTGTCGTCAGTTGCTAGTAACTAGTTGACCTGATCTAACCTCTCTTAAAATACCGTTTAGATATGTGCTTATGCTTACCTAATTCCTAGTGTGTTCTTTATTGTAGTTGGCAGTGTATGGGCTTGAGTGTACATAAAATAAAAGCTGGGATGAGGTTTAAAGGTATTTGTGAAGATTGACTATGGCTTCTGTTGGCCTAACGAGAAGCATTGGCTATTGAGCAAGGAAATAATTTACAGGCAGCATCGCACAACCTAACTGGAGCAAAAACATGGACAATAGTGTCCATCATTAAATGCAAAAATAGCATCATGGGTGGCAAAATAACTGAAAGATGTCTCAGGTGGAATACAACCACTGCTTCTATAGCATTACACCTGATGTATGAAACAGAGTAATAAGTAAGTTTTCTAGGAAACATTGATATATAGATGCCTTGCAGTAACTTTTCAAGGAAACCTGGACCTGAACACTTCGTTTTGACTGTCCTTCTTTTTTGTAGTTTCAACTGTTTGTACGTGAAATCCATTCAGCATTGTGTCGTGCTCTTTAGAGTCACGTGTATGTATCAAGCGTAGCTGTGGGTAGGGCACCATGCTTGATGCTGCTCTGCACTTTTGTACTTATGATGCAGGGAATCCATCGAAAAATTATCAATTAGCACAGTCGCAAGGATGTTCGAATATGGAATGACAGTTTAGGCAAACTTGTCTGCTCTCTCGTCACTCCAGCTGAACGAGGAAGCTTTTATAGGCACTATGTAAATTTCAGAAAACAGATAAGGGCACTCTCTAGTAAACTATCACAAAATGTTGATGTGTCTTACAGTAATACGTCTAGGAAACCTAGACACAAGGAATTCGTTTTAACTGTCCTTTGTTCTACATTTTTTTTTTCTTGTGCTTCACGCAATAGTGAATTTCCTTCCTTCTGTAGCTGCAACTGTCAGTGCATAACGTCAGTTTAATGTCATGCCACAATCTTTAGAGTAGCGTCTGTGGAATTGAGAGTAATTGTGGGTAGGGCGCAACGCTTGCTGCTGCTCAGGAGGTTGACTGACGACAGTGAGGAGCCGTACAGCAGCGACTCGGACGACGAGAACGGCCCACGGCCCTCCGCCGTCGCCACGTCCAGTGAAGAGATCAAGATGGACGTTGACCAGTCGGCTGAAAGTGAGTGTGCAACGCCGTCGCTGTGTTCTATCATTTATATCTTTTCTCGTGAATGCACAAGTTTGCGTCTAGGTTGTGTATGAAGATTTACCATATTTACACAATCGTAAGTCGATTTATATTTAAGTCGCCCCCTCCTCTGAAATTCCATTGTAGCAAAAGGAAGGTGGGAGCACGAGCACATTTCATTAAAAAAAAATTTGCTGCCTGTCTTCATGCTTCGCTGCAAAAGACTTTGAAAGAAGATAGTCTTTTGTCTAAAAGCACTGCGTGAGATAGGGCGCCATCTGGCAGTAATGTAAAGAAACGGAAGTCTTTTTTTAGAACACAGAATCACTGGTAGATGGAAGCATCAGGTCTTTTCAGTTAAAACCTCTTAACCATTTATCGAAGCATAGGAAGCGCTTACTTTTTCATTCATAGCATCGCATTGTCAGTATAGCGTAATAATATAAACACTTCTGTTTTAGAATTACGTATGTATGCATTTTCTAAATAAAAAAGACACTGCATCGCACTTATGTATTGATGTTGCACCTCAAATACCATATTTACTCGCTTAATGAACACACTCCATAATAAACGCACCCTCAACTTCAGTCATCTAAATTTGAATTTTTTTTCCTCACCTAATAAATGCACCCCCTACATTCATTCTCTGCAGTCTGCCTCCTCACCCGTTAGATCTCTTCCGATTTTCATTATTTTGTCGACCCCCTCCCACTGGCTACCTCAGCTCGCTCCATTCCTTCCCCCTCCCCCTTCGCTCATTGCCGCGTGCCTATTGCTTTTTTTTTCTATCTGTGCGCGGCATGTCCCCGTCTTACCTGTGCACCACAGCACCACAGCGGGGTTTATGAACAGTGTGAGTGTAGAAACATTGCAGCTGATAAGCACACAGGGAGCAAAGGTCACGAAACTGCCTGCGCCAACCGAGCGAGGGTCGCTTCCTGCGAATACGGAAAAGCCCAACCACGTGCACGCGATTTTCAAGCGAGGATGACAGGGATTGCTGTCGCGAAGGGTCATTCGTTGTCGCTATTGCGTCGCAGCTTTCTGGAAAACCAGAAAAAATCGCTTGTCGTCCAGAAAAGATTGTGACAAGTTCCGCAACACGGTAGCACACATTGCTTCACTTGTTATCTGTGCGTGGATGAACTTCTCATGTAGAAGCAAGGCGGCGGCTGTATTTTGTCGTTAATCTTGTTATCGACGGTTTGTTTTGATGCTTCGGGGGTGCAATGTTGCTTACTTGCTACAATGTTAACAGCGTCGTCACGGTCGTCGTGCGAGGTTACTGCACAGTTGGCAAATGTGTTGTAGCGTCGTAGCGCACTGCTTTTGGGCACCCCTCGAGATCAGCAGGAGATACCACTGTTGCGGATAAACGATTATGAGAAAAGATAGCCGCAAAACGCTTTTATGACGGGCCCGGGCGGCCCGGGGACAGCTTGCAGAAGATAGCGCCATCAACCACCGAAGAGGAGTAAAGTGCAACAAATGAGCTGTTTCCAAACAGTGTACACATATGTCAATTGCGAAAGGCTAAGCGACCAAACTTTTTATTTTTATTACCGCATTTTTCGCTTCTCCCGAAAAAGTTTTCTTGAAATTTTCCCCGCGTAATAACCGCACCTCCCAACTTTTGTCAGATTTTTCGAGAAAAAAAGTGCATTCATTAAGCGAGTAAATACGGTGTGCGTAATGCTTGCTTGTTGATTGACAATGTTGACAAGTATGAACGCAGCTTCTAGATCAAGATGGGTGGGCTTTCAGCACGAGCTTAACCTTTTGCCAGGTGGGTGAATCATTGAACACCAACAGACCGACAGACCAAAACTTTTCCGTTGAAGAACCCCCAGAAATTTCTTTTTAATATCTCCAAAACAAACAGTCATTTGTCAAAAGTGGCTTCACAGCAGTGCTTGAGAGCTTGGGCCGGCAAACTGGCTTCGCGGAGAATATTTTCAGAAAGTCTTCACAATCGAAACATGTTTTCGGTTCTAGGTCGATGCCATCATTCTGATTTCAAACTTAGACAAAATTGGTCGACCTACAATCGTGTAAATATGGTATCTGAACCATTCTCGCTACATCTGCGAACTTGCGCTGGGTGTCTTGAGTTTCTTTTGCGTGTGTAAAAGCTTGTCTCAATGTTTTTGTGGACACCCCTTATCTCTTTCTGTCACTACGTACGCATTTTCGTGTAGAACCTATTTTAGCCAGTAACGTCCAATGCGGGCTCGTTGAATCGCAGTGTAGCTGAACCATCTACCAGCTCAGTGCGCCTCCATCTTGTAGTTTTGCCATGTATTGTAGCACATGGCTGCTCTACCTAAACTATCATGTCTGGCAGACTATTTGGTTTGCCATTTTGATAAGCAGTGGTACAGAAGTCAGTTTTACTTTCTCGTAAATTCTGCAGTAACTAATTACCTTGCATGTGTGGTTTGAGCTGAGAAATCAGTTTTCATGTGTAAGCACGTTGTGGCTGACTGTGCTCTAGATAGAGATGGGATTTCTGCGATTTACAGGGTTCGTTAGACAATGTACAGTAGGTTGTAGCGCACCGCTCCGCACGCGGTCAACCAACAAGGCATTTAGCGCGGCGCGGCAAAACAGACAGTGTTCAAATACAAAAATACACAACACTTTATTGCCTCTGGCGCCACCCCGAACAACAGTACAACATCCACTCCCTGGACGCGGGGAACAAAGGCACCCGCACGCGGACGTTCACATAAGGGGGGACCGTGAGCACATCGCAGCTGGCAACGGCGAGCTTTGACACACCGCTCGGGAAAAGGACCCTCGCAACTATGCTGTGAACTCTCACGATGGCCACTGGGCCTGGTTGCGAGTGTTAGGGCTAATCTCGTATGCGTAGGCCTACGGCAAGTGCTGCTCGGTGTGGTACGACCACTTCGAGCACTAGGCACCGCTGTGAGCTTAGCGTACGGTACCGAAGCTAGCACTCAAGAAACACGCCTGCTGAGGTGCCAAAGGCCACCCCAGGCAGGCTACAGTCCGGCGATTTCTAAAGGGGACGCGGACGAAGGAAACACGTGCTTACCTGGCGCCGACCACGGAGGAGAGAGAGCTCCCTCGGCGCGCAAGTAACACGTGCCACGTCCACACGTGGCGCCATATATCGCCACGTGCCGTTACCAGAGCAGAAAAAGTAAAAGGGTGTGGCCGTGTGGCGGAATGCCCGCGAAATGGTCGCGGGGCACGCCTCAGATCCCCACAAGGTGCCTCGTGACCCCCCGACTTCCTTTTGGCAAAGTCTGCAGCATCTTAAATCGAAATTATTTTTTACTGTTCTGTTTGATGGTGTCACGATTGGCAAGTTGAAGGGCTAGAATCGTCAATGATTAGTGTTTCTTTGATGTTTGTCTTAAATGTCTGGTTGTGTGCACATAATCAAGGAAAAAGTGACATGACTAGCACACGTGACAAGCATCACACATAATCATGACTGCCGTGCAGTGAAATCTGAATGAGGAGATTCAGCATCAGTATCAATGCTTTGTTGGAGTGATGCACGAGATGTTACAGGTCACGTGTACCAGGGCATTGATCTGTTGTTAGAGCAGTTTTTTTGCTCTGTTGAATGCATACTATGCTATTCCTTCAACATCTTGCTAATGTCTAGAGTGCCCTCTGTGCCAGCATAAATGTTGTCTAATTTGGCAAGTGCCTTGGTAATATGGTTGTTGCAAGAATGAGCTAAGAATATTTTCTGCCAACTGCAGTTGACGCCACGGTTGCCATGGACACTACGAGTCCGTGGGAGAACGCTGCGACGTCGAATGTCGATACTGGGTGGGCCACGTTCGACAACTTTGCCAACTTTGGTGCTGCCAACTTTGAGGCGTAAGTGCCTTTTGTCTTCTTAGCTTTACTGTGTAAGGCCTCAGGTCTTGCGTTTTATGAGCTTTCTGTAGTGCAAGTGGAGATGGGGGAAATGCAACGGTAGAAATATGCTTTCGCGATACACTGGATGGAATGCAGATAGGTACTGGCGTTGTATTGAATAGAAATTGTGGCTTCTATACCAGGGCTGCAGTAGTTTGACTTCCTCGCATACTTGCACGAAAAATAAATAAGTTGCTTAACACTCTTTACTGATCGTGTGCCCAAGTTAGTAGCAAAGCGACCCGTTATAGCTCAATCCTTCACTGTTTGATTTTTCCATCACACAACTCCAGTCTCAAACCTATGAACTAGTCAAATGTGCAGGAAGAGAATGTCGGTTTATTTCTCTAGTGTACTGGCAATGCAAGCATGCATGGATTCTTAGTGATGATGGGTGCAGTTCGCATGCAGGTGGGAACATCAGCGACGCCTGTGTTTGTCACTAAGTGCTCGCTGACCGATGCTAGTTGAATATGTGAATAAGCCTTTGTGCGGCATGATTACTGTGCTGCAGTTATAGGGAATACCGTGCTCCTAACCTCATAGATACGTCATTGAGTGCTCACAGAAGTGTCGCATTTCTCAACTGTGCAGTGCCGCCGACACGACAACTCCAGCCATGCCAGTTGCCATGGAAACGTCGGACCAGGTGCCGTCGCCTCCTACGCTCGCGGGGGCTGCAGCTCCATCATCGCAGCCCTCAAACGAGCCGGATTCGACTAAATGTCCTGGTGAGGAAATGCCCCTTCCCATTGCAGTAAGACCAGCATTCAAGCGGGTTTCAAGTACTGAGACACTTTCGAAATACTAATCCTTTGCGCTTTGTTGTCGGGCCGTGCCTCAGCAGATTGTGATCAGGCACTAATGGACAAGTTCTTTCGCGGTTAATTCACACTCGTGTTTTCTCACTGCATTATGCGCCATCTGTGAAAGAGGAAATAGACTCCTTTTACTTGAATTTTGAGTCTCTTAGTTTCGAACAGGAACAGGTGGGAAAATGTTTTGGACCCCAAAAGGCTAAATTCTTGTTCAAATGAACTTGAATGCTGTCATGGTGTCTCGAACGTGACGGCCAGTTTTGCCGACACATCTGATATGATGACTTGTCTCTCCTTGTGCATTGCCCAGGGCTTCTGTATATATATATATATATATATATATATATATATATATATATATATCATATAAATATGATATATATATATATATATATAGCATATTTAAGCAATAAGGTAGTGGTTGTTAGTTCGGCACTTTCGTCTCGTGTCCAGCACGGTTTGTTCACGTCTTAAAAAATGGTGTAATACTTGTTCAGACTGAGGGCCGTGAGTTATTTGACGTATGCATGTGGGAGGTAGTGGCCAGATACTGCACCAGGGTGGCCAATCCTTCTCTGGTGCGAAGCAACTGACCACGGCGGCGGTCAGATCTGCAACGCAGCAGAGGGTGCTAAGAATCTCTGGATCCGGACAGGCCGCCATTGGAACCTGAACTTGGCAACGTTTAACTCTAGAACCTTATCTAGTGAGGGAAGTCTAGCTGTACTATTCGAGGAGCTAGAGGGTGTTAAATGGGATATAATAGGGCTCAGTGAGGTTAGGAGGACAGATGAGGCCTATACGGTGCTACAGAATGGGCACGTCCTTTGCTATCGGGGCTTGGCAGACAGAAGAGAACTGGGAGTGGGGTTCCTAATTCACAGAAACATAGCTGGCAACATAGAGGAATACTATAGCATTAATGAAAGGGTGGTAGGTATCGTAATTAAACTGAATAAAAGATATAAAATGAAGGTAGTACAGGCTTACGCGCCTACAGCCAGCCATGATGACGCTTCAGTTGAAAGCTTCTATGAAGACGTGGAATCGGCAATGAGTAAGGTAAAAACACAGTATACTATAGTGATGGGCGACTTTAATGCAAAGATAGGAAAGAAGCAGGCTGGAGACCAGGCAGTAGGAGATTACGGCGTTGGTACTAGAAACGCCAGAGAAGAGCTACTAGTAGAATTCGCAGAACGCAATAATTTACGGCTTTTGAATACCTTCTACCGAAAACGAGGAAACCGCAAGTGGACATGGAGGAGCCCTAATAGCGAAAATAAGAACAAAATAGACTTTATAATGAGTGCCCACCCAGGCATCGTGCAGGATGTGGAAGTGGTTGGCAAGGTACGATGCAGTGACCATAGAATGGTACAGTCTCGAATTCGCCTAGACTTGAAGAAGGAACGATAGAAACTGATACGCAAGAAGCCAATCAATGAGCTAGCACCGAATAGGAAAGTACAGGAATTCAGAGTGTCGCTGCAGAACAGGTACTCGGCTCTTAGTGAGAAAACCAACCTTAGCGTAGATACAATGAATAATAATCTGACGAGTATCATTAAGGAGTGTGCAGTGGAAGTTGGAGGCAGGGTAGTTAGACAGGACACTGGCAAGCTTTCCCAGGAAACGAAGAACCTAATTAAGAGGCGTCAAATCATGAAAGTGTCAAGTACAACAGACAAAATAGAACTGGCAGAGCTTTCGAAGTTGATTAATAGACGTAAGGTATGCGATGTAAGAAGGTATAACATGGAGAGAATTGAACATGCTCTGAAAAACGGAGGAAGCGTCAAAGCAGTGAAGAGGAAACTTGGGATAGGCAAAAGTCGGATGTATGCAATAAGGAACAAAAAGGGCAAAATAACTACCAATATGGATAGGATAGTTAAAATAGCGGAGGAGTTTTACAGAGATCTGTACAGTAGCCGAGACAACCACGACCTTAATACTATAAGAACTAGCAGTAACCCAGATGACACCCCACCAGTAATGATAGAAGTCATAAAAGCTTTGGAGAGCATGCAAAGAGGCAAAGCTGCTGGTGAGGATCAGGTAACATCAGATCTGCTGAAAGATGGAGGACAGATTGTGTTAGAAAAACTAGCCACCCTGTTTACGAGGTGTCTCCTGACGGGAAGAGTACCAGAGTCTTGGAAGAATGCTAACATCATCTTAATACATAAGAAAGGAGATGACAAGGACTTGAAGAATTACAGGCCGATCAGCTTGCTCTCTGTAGTATACAAGCTATTTACAAAGGTAATTGCTAACAGAGTAAAGAAAACATTAGAATTCAATCAACCAAAGGAACAAGTAGGATTTCGAACAGGCTACTCAACAATTGACCACATTCATACTATCAATCAGGTAATAGAGAAATGCTCAGAGTATAACCAACTACTATACATAGCCTTCATAGATTACGAGAAGGCGTTTGATTCAGTAGAAATATCAGCCGTCATGCAGACACTGCGGAATCAGGGCGTAGATGAAGTATATATAAACATTCTGGAAGAAATCTACAGGGGATCAACTGCTACCATAGTGCTTCATAAAGAAAGCAACAGAATACCAATCAAGAAGGGTGTAAGGCAGGGGGACACAATCTCCCCAATGCTATTTACCGCGTGCTTACAGGAGGTTTTCAGAAGCCTAGAATGGGAACAGTTAGGGATAAGAGTTAATGGAGAATACCTTAGTAACCTGCACTTCGCCGATGACATTGCTTTGCTGAGTAACTCAGGAGACGATGATTACGGAGTTAGACAAGGAGAGCAGAAAAGTGGGTCTTAAAATTAACCTGCAGAAAACGAAAGTAATGTACAACAACCTCTGAAAGGAGCAGCGCTTTGAGATAGGTAATAGTGCACTTGAAGTTGTAAAAGACTATGTCTACTTAGGGCAGGTAATAACCGCAGAGCTGAACCACGAGATTGAAGTAACTAGAAGAATAAGAATGGGGTGGAGCACATTCGGCAAGCACTCTCAAATTATGACAGGTAGATTGCCACTATCCCTCAAGAGGAAGGTATATAACAGCTGTATCTTGCCGCTGCTTAGCTACGGAGCAGAAACCTGGAGACTTACAAAGAGGGTTCAGCTTAAATTGAGGACGACGCAGCGAGCAATGGAAAGAAAAATGGTAGGTGAGACAAGAAGAGAGCAGAGTGGATTAGGGAACAAACGGGGGTTAAGGATATCATAGCTGAAATAAAGAAGAGCAAAATGGACATGGGTTGGGCATGTAGCGCGTGGACAGGATAACCGCTGGTCATTAAGGGTAACTAACTGGATTCCCAGAGAAGGGAAGCGGGTTAGGGGGAGACAGAAGGTTAGGTGGGCAGATGAGATTAAGAAGTTTGCGAGTATAAATTGGCAGCAGCAAGCACAGGACCGGGTTAACTGGCGGAACATGGGAGAGGCCTTTGTCCTGCAGTGGACGTAGTCAGGCTGATGATGATGATGATGACTTGTTCAGACATCTGAAGTGCTCGAACAATTGCACAGGCCTGTTAATATGGTACTGACGGATGGCCTTGCATGTTTTTACGCAGAAGTCGCTTCAGCAATAGCGCCGGCGGTCGTGCCATCAATAAGTGGCCATTGTGAGCAAAGCACGGTTGAGCAAAAGCCCACTGTGGAGTCGACGATCGACGACTTCCCTAAGGTTGAATGCCCCGACAGCAGTGCGCCGAAGCCTTCCACGTCTGGCTCGGCCGTCAACTGCATCGAGCTCAACTCTGCGGAAGTCAGCTCTTCGGCAGACATGAGCATCCAAGAAAACCGGTGGGCCTGAGGCGTCATTGAGAAAACTACACTAAAACCTCATTGATGCTTTTCCTACTTGTTACATTCTCCCGGCTCTTGTCTTCTGAAATGCTAGTGCTGTTAAATATTTAGTAGGGTCGCATGTGTTAGCTCCCCACTAGGTTGGGTTGCGTTGGGTTAGGTTGTAAAAATGCCAATTACGAAAAATTTTCCATAGGGTTGCATCAGGATAGAAGGATAAGAGAGCGTTGATAAGCCGCTATCCAGCAGGAAATACCACGAAGTTAAGTATGTAGATTGACGGTTGACAATGGTGGGAGAAACAGTGTTGATCAGGATGTTTTTTAAGTGAATCGTAGATGCACTCTTCGGTGCATAAATTTCACTTTCTCCTGCTAAATTAGCCAGGTTTCATCGCCCCGCAGTGATTACCAGTGGCCGCCTTTCAGAGATTTCAAAGGGGCTATGAACTATTTACAAGAAGTACTTCAATCCGTTTATTGGATTTCACCGCCTAGTTACACTGGCTAAAACATTGTGTTACTTTCTATGGTTACTGTTGTAATGAATGTTTGTGCATATCTGAAGATACGTTCTGCCGCGGTAAAAAGAACGCTGCAGGTAGCACGCACATACCTCCTCTCTGTAATTTTGCAGCGGTGGACACATTTCTTGAAACGCCCTGTATACTACGCATGTTGGACATGACAGCAAAGATCGAGCGGCAATATTGCTTTTGTTGGCGCTGTGCACGTTGACGGGCAGGCATAACAGTTTTTGTTTTTGAAACTGCCGCAGCGTCGCAGAGGCCGTTGAGGGGCCTGCTGACTCGACGCCTGCCTGCACGGACAGTAGTGACTCGTTGAAGCCGGTTGCCATGTTGACCTGTGCCAACGGCCCTGTGCCCTCCGTGGAGCCACTAAAGACCTGCAATGCCACGCAGATATCAACACAAAGGCAAGCTGTTGCTGTCATGTTTTATCACTTCGAAACGGCAGTGCGGTTCGACACATCACGAGTCTGTTGGCGCTTTGGCTGACTGGCGCAACACTCGCAGATTTAGATGTGACAGTTTATGGCCAAGTAATGGATGTACCGTCTTCACAGGATTATTGGTTGACCTCTCTCTATCGAAATTTGAAATCTAAAGTTAGGAGCGTCGCCTTACTATTGAAACCGAAACAAGCGCTGCCAATAATTGCAGGTTTAACACGGAGATGCTGTGGCACGGTTGTCCAGTCGAACCCCGCTACAGCGAAACTGACGGGCTGCAACAAGAATTTCGTTGTTGTGAAGTCGAAAAAATATAGCCGATCTGAGCTAGCAAAACAAAGGAACGTTTATTCTCAAAATTCAAAAAGTGTCCGCTGCTTCCTATTCTTTCCCAGCCGACGCGATTCTCACCCATGCAATGCGAGGCCATGATGAAAAGCACGCTGAAACAAGGCCTACAACTGCTTTCGTAAACGAACCAAACAGCCGCATTAACATGTTAACACCAGCAGCTGTCCGCCGTCAAAGTGTATCCGACAACGCCGAAATGGAGGCACGGTACATTGGAGCGGAGACTTTTGCCTTATTCTATGCCATTCTTATCAGCCACCACTCGCTGCTAGCTGATTTTGTTGGTAATGTAGACGAACAGCTGCAGATAGACGCAAGTGCTTGCAGTACTCAACGAAATGCTTTGGATTTAAAAATACCATTTCGGTGTTCAATTGTAATGTGAGGCACATTATTAGGTAGCTAAAATCTGGTAAAAAATAAACTTTATGCATTCAAGTAGCTCCAGTACTTTCTCTTCTTTTCCTCTATCTTTTACAAAGCCACTGTTTGCTATGCCACTGCTGATTGAAAGAGTGGCTCTTTCCCTTCACAATCTTGTCACATTGGGCTTTTTATACAGGGTTATCAGCTACACACTCGAACTCTTCTCTAAGCCACCAACAATTTACCCATTTTGTCTCGCAGGCTAGAAGACTCGAGCAAGGCCAACGGTAGTGGAACAAGTGTAGACGAGGTCATCACAGCAGCCACCACCATGACGTACGGCGCTGCCGGCGTCAAGTGCGGCCGATGGCACCGACCCTTCTGCCCCGACTACAACCTCAATGCTATCGACGGTGGCGACGGTTCCTGAACCACCAACTCAACCCCAAGTGCAGAATGGACCTCTGTGAAACTTTTCCTGCTGCCTCAATGAAGATTTTTTTTTTTTTACCCTATTCCTCCGGCTGTAGGTTGGAAAAAAAAAAACCAAGAAAAGGACTTGTGTGATGTGCCGGAGTGAAGGAAAAATGGTGCGGCGTTCTGGACTTGTTTACGAAAAGGACACAGTCAATTTTCTTTCTTTTTTCATTTTTTTCCAGCCATCCGTGATGCACGATTCAAGGGATTATCGTTTCGTTAATGTCATCTGTTACTCTTTAAAAGTATGCTTGTTTTCCTGCTTGTTTTTTCTTTATTCTCTTTAAGCTTCCAGTGGTCACTTCTCGCATGGTTCCAGTTCTAGTGCTTGCAATCAGGGAGGGAACGGGCGACACCCGGAAGCATCCAACAAAAAATGTTTGTCTCAGTATCACCGCTTCTACGGACAGTCTGCTAAAGTCGTTTTAGTATCACGGGTGGTTACTGCTAGCTCGAAACGAATATGTACCTTTGAGTTTTGTTTTTACAAGCTGGTGTTCGAATGGCCCGCCTTTTTGCATCAACCGAAAAGTGCTGTGTCATAGGTTGCATGAATAACAATCATATTTAGTGGCACTTCACCTCGATGTGTGAAATGACAGGTGTGTCGGGACGTGCGTTGCGTTCCAGATCACGTGGACGGCTTTAGCTTCGAGTTTGAGAAGTGGTGACCTTTTTTTTAATTTGTGTTTGGGAGCGTTTTCTTATGAGTGCGTGTGGATACAGATTGTCCTAAAGCCTTTCAGTCACTTAGTTGTTCACATTATCGGTTTTGCTATTTGTCGTAGTGTCTTGGGCCAAATCTGAGCCAAAGCGTGATGCGCTTTAGTGCATTGCAAGGGTGCATTGGGTATCGCCAAGTCTGTCACTATTCGAATGTCGTCACCTTTCTGCATTTCCTTGAAGCTAGCTACTACGCTGCATTTGAAAACTTGTTATGCTTTTTCTTTTACTTGTCACTGTCTTACTTTTCAAAAGGTCATTAGAAAAGGTTATCAGACTCTGTGTTTTGCATTACTAGGACACTGGGGCACAGCTTACAGCAAGATTGTAAAAAATTTCGTTTTGTCTTTCGAAAGGATTATTTTGTAACGTAGAAATTTGTTTCTTGTGTCATTTGTTCTTTATCAACCATCGCTTACATTTGCATCAAGAGTGATGTGTAGTTGTCGACATGCCGGTGGCAAAATATCATTTCTTGCTTTCCCCATATCAATGGCAAAAAAAAAATTTACATTTGTCAAAGTTGTGCTTGAAGAACAACACACAATTCTCAGCGCTCGCTTACTTAGAAAAAGTCGTCATCGCTGTTGAAAAGTTGCACACTCTTCTGCAAGAGTCGTGCTGCGACAGTTCAGGCAGCCAGCATTGGAAAGAGCGCGCCCGTCGAGATCCTAGTGGACGAATCTGTTACTGCACTGAATTCAGTTGGCTATGCAAGCAAAACTCCGATGTGTGGGAGCTTCTTATCTCAAAGTAGACGCTGTCTGAGAGCAATTTAGTTAGAAGATGGCTGCTTTCTCTTACAGAACGCCTGTCATTGATTGCGCGTTTCTCACGCACACGTGAGTTTCAAGTATGTCTGCGATTGCATTGTGACTACAGGTACGTTCTTGATGTGCCACTAAAAATAACTATAGTGTCTGCTAGCCTTGGTGTCGTTTTTTTTTTTCTTTTTCTTGCTTTGCCTAATTTGCAAGGGTAACCAGGCTGCTGCAAGTGCGATAGCGTCTTGCACGAATCTTGGAAGTGCACTTTGCTTGTGGGCATAGCCACTTTGGTAGGCACATGTAAATAGAATATGTTGTGCTCCCAGCCCCCTCGGAACTACTCCAGAGGCATCCTCATAGGGGTGGGGAGGGCATTTTGTCTGCTAAGGAAAGCCTTTACGAGACGTTTTTCAAGGGGAGATGGACATAGTATCGAGGCAGCGTATACTTCGAGGAATGTGTGTACAGGGTGGGGTAGTAGTCATTTTTACATTGCACCAAGAGAGAAGGAAAGTTGAAATGTATATTGTTGTGAAAAGCACGAAATACTTGTAACACTCAAACGTCTGTGGTTTTCATTAGATGGCCAGTCAATCGCTTTCACTAGATTTCTGTTTCGCTCACTAGGTGGTCATGCACCTAGCCACGCACACTGCAAGAGCGTCTGTGTGGTAGGGCTCGATTGACGACGCTGGCATTTCTTAGTGGAGCTTGTCGTGGTGCAGGAATTTTACATTTTTGCGTGGAAGTGGTATGACGGCTGAATCTTTACGCGCTTCTTGCAGTTTTTTTTTTCCTCCGGTCAGCCCACTCACCGAACTGGTGTAGACTAAGAGTGGCAGAAGTGCGAAGGCATCACATTTGTGTGTGTCATAGCTTCTAGCGGTCTCTTTCTTTCATTATCCCCAACTTTCACCACTTGGAGCCGCCAGGGGGAGGAACTGGTGTCGGCCCCTAGTTGTTAGGCATCATCCCTCTTTCCTTACTGGTGTAGGCTAAAAGTGACAGAAGCGCGAAAATGTCACGTTTGTGTGAGTGCTGGAGATCGTAGCGGTTGCATTCGTAAACCCCCTGCCTTTTGCAACCGCCAGGGGGCAGGCTAGTGTCGGCCCCTGGCGGTCAGAGTGATAAGCTCCTTAGGGAGTCAAGTTGGGTGGGGCAGTGAAGCGGTACAGGCGACGAAGTGCCTTTCGGCGGACTTCGAGAGTGCAACTCAGAAAGTCTGATCAAACTTTTGTGCTTGTTCGTCACGGTGACCGGACTTTTTAGTGCCCTATGGGGTGAGGGGGGATAAAAAAACTGCATGCAGGTTGCTTGCGGTCTTTACGTACCTGTGCGCTCTCTACATACGGTAGAGCTGTGCTCGAGACATGCCTCGGGCGAGCGTGATTGCTGTGCACGTCGCTGGCTTTTTGTTCCCCCTCCGCGATGTTTGCCGAATTTGTTCTCTCGAAGCTCGTTGCCGCTGCTGGGGTGTTTTATTTTTTTGTAGAGTTGCAGAAGGAGTGAAAGCAAAACTGAAACGGCGAGGAGTCAGTGATGCAATAAAAGTGAAGAAAAAATGCTGTTGTGTGTCTCAATAATTGCGAACGTAGTTTGTTTTTCGAATGTCTGCGTATTCGTATGAACTTCTACCGCAAACTAGTATGAAATAAAAGGGGGAATAAGGACTCAATCCCGTGAGTCTTGTCGCATATCGTGCCTTTGGGTTATAATAAATAAGGTTCACGTTAAATGCGCATACATTCGCACAAATTCTTCGTTTTATAGAAACAGCTGTCTCCGTTTCTGTATCGCTAATGTAGTGCGCACTCGCTTAACGCGCAAGGATATCGGCGTATGCGCCGTATCTATGAAGGGTCGCCTCGGCATTCAAAACTCGCGCCCACGGACTGGCGTTTTTCGCGATGTCTCCCGAGAACTTGCGAAAATCGACGGGGCCACATTCGCGTATAGTTTCAAAGGACTGCCTATAAGTTGCCGCAGGCCGTGCAGTTTGCCGCATCGGTTTCTATTTTTTTTTTTTTTTTTACTTTTTTTCAGTCTCGGCGGAAAATTACTGCGGAAAAGCGATCGTGCGCATTGAGCTCGACTCTCCTGCGAATGTCTCTTTCCTGCAACGCAAGGTCGTGAGGTGGTGAAGCCAAGTGTCTGCTGCGGCATCGTTCTATTGAGTGCGAAACGTGTCGCGTAGCCGTTTATACACTACGGGGTTACCATCGAAGGAAACGCATAGTGAGGTGAGTCCTGGTGTAACATTTTTTGAGCGTCGGCAATCGCGCGAAAGCGTGCGCCGACGCGAAATTAGAATCGAGGTCAACCCAATCGGCGCGCACGCAGCTCAGGCCTAAGTGACAGGGAAATGCGTGTTAGACTGCGATTATCGGTGTTTATATTCAACGTACCCGTAGAAGTCATCGGAAAATTTGTGTCTTCATTTATGGTTTTCCGCGGGGTCAAGATTTTTATTGCGAAACGACGTTCGCAAGGCAGCATGAGTGCGCCGTGTCGTTGTTGCGGCGCAAGATTTTATTTTTTTTTCTTGCTCCGCGAGTGTTAGCGCGCACTTCGACGCTCAAGCAGCGAGTCCACTGTAGTTTTACTTTCTAATGTTGTTGTCTAGAGTGACCGCTGCCCACCGAACGTACTTGCAGCGGTGGGGATCACTACGGGGAGAAAGAAAAAAAAACAACAAAAAAAGACACCGAGGACGTCGGCATGTGCGCAACTGCGGCTTTGAAACTGGCTTCCGCTCGCTCAACTGTTTGCGCCGAGCGTCGGTGGTGAAGCCGTTCCTGCGGAGTTGACCGAGGACCGTGTGAGTATTGTAACGCCGTTCATCTACTGAAATCCTCGGCTCGACACCCGTTACGTCTCGCTAGAAAGTGATGCCGAAGCATCGGGCCTGCTGCGCGTGTCCTCTCGGGGTGCTGACACGGCGCGCTAAGGTTGCGAAAACCGCGTCGCATCGGGCTCGTACCTAAGCCTCGTACCATTCATTCGCGCTTTTTCCGCGACCCACTCCTAGCAAGTTTTCGTCGCGGCCCGTGGGACGTTTGCGGAGTCGTCCCCAGTGAGGCTACTGCGATGGGACACGCTTTACGACTCGTGTCAAGCGATGTCACGGGCGCTTTTGTAACCGGCCGGTGTGCGCCAGGGATAGCGTGCGGCGCGGAAGGGCATTGACCGCTCCCCTCTTGGATCGATTGCTCGGGTGCGCTTCCTATTGCTGGCCTGTCTTTCTGGGCCTGCCATGCGCAGATCGTCTTTTGTGTCTCTTTCACTTGCATTGTGCCCGCTTTCTCGCTGTTACCGTCGCGCCAATCAACTAGCGGCAGGTGCCAGCTAGCAACGGTCGCTCGTCGGGCGCACGCCGCAGCATGCAGTACCGGATGGCTAGCAGTTCGGCAGGCCTCCCTTTTTCTTCTTTTGTATTCTCACGTCCCTCTCGTTTTTTTTTTTTTTCTGTCACGTTGCTTTGGCGTGGGCGAGCTTCTGACCCATATTCGTGAGCTGTGTGCCCGTTCCGTCGCTCTCGCTTGCCATCCACCACCCCTCACCGGCGGCTTGGTGAGCCTCCTCGGGTTAGCTGCGCCGTAGGAACACGTTTTTCGTTCGTGCCTAGTCATTGGTCGCTCCGACTCGCTCTTTGCGCGCGCAGTGTCACGGCGACGTAGCATTCGAGCGCTGCGTAATAAACCCGCATCGTTAGCGACTCGTGCGACACGCGGTGCATAGTACGTGACCTCGGAAAAGCCCCGTGTGCCAAGTGCCAGAAGTTGACCGTCCATGCTAGATAACCAGCGTACCTCGCTGCGTAGGCGGTGTAGGTAGCTGTTTTCTAAAGCTTTCGTCATAGTGACGTCAAAGTATCACGTTGCGCCCAGCGGTCACTTGACCTTTTCGTGCGAATTTGAGGACCTTGTTTGTTTTGCCTGCGTACAAGAGTAACAGTAGAGGTTGACAGTAATAAGAGACGAAGAACGTAGACGTGGTTGATTATTATTTACCGGCACCATTGTGTGCTAATACACAGTACCACCATGTTAGTATCACTGACAATCATCAAATTTCACCTACTCTTAGGAGCTTTACAAGTTTGTGCTAATTTGTCATTGTTAATTTCTCAGTCATGACCTGTCCGCTCCTAATATGAAGTGAAAACCACGTAAGTGATCTTTCAAGCCTGTTGATGAGAGACTGCATACGTTTTAGTTGTTCAAGGTTTTTTTAGAGCAGGTACCTTCATTTTCTTAAGTGAAATTTGCTTTAAGAGTGCCCGAAACTTTCAGTTTACTGCCTCCACAATTAGCAGCGGGAGCAGATAAGCAAATGATCGAATGCTGTACTTGTTGCTCACATGCGACATGATCTAACAGACCTTAACAAAGTCATCTGGACCTTATGTGAAATTGCTGCCATCTGTCGGCTGTCGTGTGCACAGCTGCCACTGTGCAACGCAGTACGCACAATTCACGCATGTTTGCGTAGGCGTATATGTAAGGTGTATCGGTGTTGGCATTGCGCTAATCGCAATGACGACGTATTGCTGCACACGGAGAGTAACTCCAAATGCCCAAAAAAAAAAGGTAATGCCGTAAACTGGGCCCCTTGTCATTTTTTCAAGCTGATGACGTTTACAGCATGTGCTCTGGCTACTGCTCCCCTAACACGTATGCGTTCTCTTTTCTAAGCAAGTAAGACGTGCAATAGCATTTGTACTCATGTTGTCGCAACTTGCTGTACGCCGAAGCAAGGCAGCTTTTGCAGCGTTATTCGCTAGCAGCCATTTCGCTAAGGGAAGATGACTCGTAAGACTCGCACAGAAGCCACATTTACACAATGAGCTTTATCGCAGCTATATGTGTGTGCCTTACATTTCTTTGAATGTGCTGTTTTGTTTATTACGTTTGGGTAACGGCACACGCTGAATTATAGCATGTGTGCGTCATATGTTCATTCTGAGAAGGGAGCGAAGGTGCTAAAGCATCTTTGTTCATGTTGTTTCGTTTTCTCTTCTGGAGTGCGACAAGCTGTCTTAAAGTGGGATAACTTGCGCATCACTGCGCACTTTTTTCAAGCATTCGATGTGCTCGGCACAGTTATCGAAATGCAGGCACGTGCAATTCGCTACGATAAAGCTCGTTGCATGGAGGTGGCTTCTGGTAAATGGCTGCTGGCAAGAACATTGCAAAAACTGCCTTGCCTTGGCATGCAGCAATTTGTGGGAACGAAAGTACACATGCTATTGCACGTCTTACTTGCTTAGAAAGGTGAACACAAAAACTTGTTTAGGAGCACATTATAGCTGGAGCAGATTCTGGAAACATCACCAGCATGAAAATATATGGGGCAAAGTTTACAGCTAACATTTTTTTCAGCTCAAGAAGTGTGGGAGGTTAGTTGGTAAGACATTAAACCATTGTTAGTCTGTGATCGTCCTCTTCGTTCTCGTGTCTCATTTTTAGCACAGTTATAATTTTCCTAAATTGCTTTCAGCATTTAGAGTTCCTCTCTGTGTGCAGGAAAGGGCAAAGCAATATGTTTGCTTTACGATTATCAGCCAATACGCGTTAGTGACAATACGCCTTGCGTATACGTAAACACACGTGTACTGTGCATACTGCACCACGCTGAGACTCTCACATGGCGGCTGTGTACACGACGAACCGACTGATGGCAGTAATTTTGCATAAGATCTAGAGTCACTGTATATCCTCCCTATGGGAGCAGAGTAGCGCATGGGTCCGCCATCTTGCCTGGTTAGCAACCTTAGTTACGCAGTGAAGCTGCACTCTGTTTTTGCAGGCGACTTTCTTAAGCCTGTCGCCGATCGCCAGTTGACGTAATGCCTGGCGTGTCAATGATTGGCAAAAAAAAAGAAAGAAAGAATACCTGCTTTTCAGACTCCGCCACGGGAGTTCGAAAGCATTTTGTAGTCTGTTTGGTAACGCAAACCGTAGAGGCGTAGCGTAGTGCTGAATAACACGTACCTGCTGCTGTCACCCGGTCAACTGCCAGCTGTGAAAGATAAGCAACAACTCATAAACACAAAATACAGGTCCTCCAATACTTAAGCAGCGCCCCACTAAGCCTACAGCATTGATTGTTTCCATGTTTTTCGAAAATGGTGCCGAATTCCACACGAGTATATTGCCGTTGAAGCTTAAGGACATCAATCTAAATTAAATGAAAGCACCGGTTCGTAGCTAGCATGCTACAGAGTGCACGACAGTCGCTTGGTAGATTCTTGGTGGACGGCAAACGCTTTCGGCAGTGCGGCCTGTGCACCAGCTTCTCTGCAGTGCATGGTTGCTATTGGCAATGGAAAACAAATGCGCTACTCTGCTACCTTTTTAAAGGTAGCATATACAGTGATTCTAATAAGGTCTGTAGGTAGCTTCTGCATATCCTATCCATCAGCGCTACAAAAAATTCTGTTGGGTTGGGTCTCTCCTTGTTGGCGGGTCTTTCCTGTGCAGCATACAGATAACGTTCATCTCGCCTCTAAACCGTCTAATGTAATCATTAATGTAGCTGATCATGCTCGATGCAAACTGAAAGGGCACCCCGCTGTTCAGTATCAAGCAAGCTTGTTTTGCATTGCTCCGAACTTATTTTTGACATGTCGCTCCACGGGAGGCGAAGGTGCAAGTCGTCGCCCGGCATGCTATAGCTGTCATGCCCATATGGTTGATATAAATTAAGGTCTGCAGTTGAGATCACATTGAACCAGTTTACCCTGCTGTAGGCAATGATGTTGAGGCAGAGCGTTAGCTTAGCATGCCAGAGATACGCGGTTCGAATCCTAGTGCTGCACTATACCCTATCGAATTAAAGAAAAGGAGGTCCAAGTGATGAAGAAATGGCACAAAGAGGCCTGGGGTGCAGCCTCACCAGTGACCACATCAGTAATTCACTCCTCTCACCAGCGAGATATTGGCCTTCCTGGTATACCTCCCGCAATAATAGACCAATTAGCCGTGAGGTCCTTGATAGCCTTGTGTGTTGTCAATAGTTTAACTTGTCACTTGTGTATTGACCATAAAACAATGATCACTTAGCACAACAACAACTGAAAAGAAAAAGCAGGGAACTGGAGCAATTTCTGGAGAGAAAAAAAAAAATCATTGTTTCACATCCTGTGACTCCTGTTATACGTGACCACTGCTTTATGGTCAATACACAGTATGAACTGACTCGTCCAGCAGCAAGTACTTATCGATCATCATTGCACAAATTTGAGAACAGAAAGTCTGTAGCAATTCAGGTTGTGAGGCGATGGCTGACATGTATCATTTTAGCGAAATGAATTGATCTATAGCTCACTGCCTAGCACTAATTTAGTGAGACTGAAAGAAAGGTCACACCTGTGACACAATCATTCTTCTGGGCCGCCGTTCACATTTTGTTGTCAAGTGTTCAGGCAGCTGACCTCAGGGAGGCCACAAAATGTGCAACAGTTTTGGGAAAAGGTGGCACTTCGCATTTATACAAGTCGGCTCTCTTAACTGCAGCTGTGTTGAAACGGATCTTAACCATGGTGCTAAATGTTGCTTGCACAGGTGTTGGAAACAGGCGGACTGCGTCTAGGAACAATCATGACTTACAAAACTGCCACCTGATCTGCTGATTGATTTATGATTGAGTATGGTGCGCTTAGCGTTGCTCTCTTTATTATCTTTAATGGTTCTGGTTGAATGTTACCTCTGGAAAACTAAGACTACCCAGGATAAATGTGGGAACAGACTGTTGCAGCAAGATGGAACGAAACATGTAGAGGTTGCATATGTCAAGAGGTGCGGTATAATGATTCTA